AGACTAGCAGTGCAAACAGTGGGGTGAGGGCAGTGCTGTGAGAGAGGCGCTGCTCTTACCGGACAGGGCGGCTCGGGCGGCTCGGCTGCAGGGCGGCTCGGCGACTCGGCTGCTGGGCGGCTCGGCTGCTGGGCGGCTCGGCGGCTCGGCTGATGGGCGGCTCAGCGACTCGGCTGCTGGGCGGCTCGGCGGCTCTGCTGCTGGGCGGCTCGGCTGCTGGGCGGCTCGGCGGCTCGGCTGCTGGGCGGCTCGGCGGGGCCGCTGAGAGGGCGGCGTCCGGGGCCGCTGGGAGGAGGCGGCGGGGCCGCTGAGAGGAGGCGGCGGAGCCGCTGAGAGGAGGCGGGGCCGCGTCAGGGGCCGCGACAGGGGCCGCGTCAGGGGCCGCGTCAGGGGCCGCGGCAGGGGCCGCGTCAGGGGCCGCGGCAGGGTCGCGTCAGGGCGCCGCGTCAGGGGCCGCGTCAGGGCGCCGCCAGGGGCCGCGGCAGGACCGCGTCAGGGCCGCGTAAGGGGCCGCGGCAGGGGCCGCGTCAGGGGCCGCGTCAGGGCCGCGTCAGGGCCGCGGCAGAGCCGCTTCAGGGCCGCGTCAGGGGCCGCTTCAGGGCCGCGGCAGGGGCCGCAGCAGGCCGCGTCAGGACCGCGTCAGGGGCCGCGGCAGGGCCGCGTCAGGGCCGCGGCAGGGGCCGCGTCAGGGCGCCGCGTCAGGGGCCGCGTCAGGGCGCCGCCAGGGGCCGCGGCAGGGCCGCGTCAGGGCCGCGTCAGGGCCGCGTCAGGGGCCGCTTCAGGGCCGCGGCAGGGGCCGCGGCAGGCCGCGTCAGGGCCGCGTCAGGGGCCGCGGCAGGGCCGCGTCAGGGCCGCGGCAGGGGCTGCGTCAGGGCGCCGCCAGGGGCCGCGTCAGGCCGCGTCAGGGCCGCGTCAGGCGCCGCCAGGGGCCGCGTCAGGGCGCCACCAGGGGCCGCGTCAGGGCGCCACCAGGGGGGCGCGTCAGGGGCCGCGATAGGGCGCCGGCAGGGGCCTCGTCAGGGCGCCGCCAGGGGCCGCATAGGGGGCGCGTGGGAGGCGGCGTAGGGGCCGCGTAGAGGCAGCGTAGGGGCCGCTAAAAAAAAAATTTAGGGCAGGGCGCAATGTGCGCGGGCAGCTAAAAAAAAAATTCTTATGGTGGGCCCTTAGGAAGGAACGGTCCCATGTAGGAACCCGCTCTATACCATGTGAATGACTAAGTGAAAGTTGGGTACAAGAAGCAAACCCTAGAAAACTGTACCCCATATGTGCTACCCCACTCTAGCCTACAGTAGCTATGTCATATAAATCTGACAGCGCACGCGCTTATCATAGGCCTGCGCTTCTATCCGGGGTGATACGGTAAGTTACCATTGACATATTTTCCCCTTTTTTTTTGGGATTACTGTTACACTGATTTGAAAGTGAAACGATTTAGGCCACACTGATACTCTGGGGTAAATTTTCCCTTCGCAAAGATTACCTTGAAGAGCGTACAGGGAACCCCCCCCCCTCACTCCATGTCTGCGTGTAACCTACTGTAGAGGCGATGCAACCTGATTGGTCAAATCCGCACTCACTGCAAGAACTTTCACTTTCTTGACTCCGAAATTTGGGACTCGAGGTCCCCAAACCCACGTTCCCCCCGGGAAGCTTGCTGACTCGGCGAAAAAACAAGTGTTGCAGCGAAACCAGACAAGCCACTGCGCTCAACATTTGAGTTCACAACCCCCACCCACCAGCGCCCAATTTGGGCCTCGGGCTTGGTTGCTGCCAGCACATACTGAGCTGCTTACATTACAATCAGGGTTAAAAATATACCGTAATCACCCGGACATACCACCCGCCGAAATTGTAGACCCCCCGGGTGGCTTGTGCGGGGTGGGTGTTATAGTTGACCCTGTTTGTACTATACCCCCCCTTTTGGGGTGATTCTTTATAAGACCCGGAGGGAGGGTGTTATGTCAGGCAAAAGTTCTCATTAGAGGTAGATTTCATAGATCTAGGGGTGCAATCTACTACCTACTAAGATTACCGCCATCAAGAACCAAGAGTTTCACATAAACATCAAGATCATCTACCGCCCAGAGATCATGAATTGCAATACGGTGCTATCTACTCATCATCGTCCCCTGCATGCCATTCTTCAACCTCTTCTCCGTCAAAGCGGCCGGGACGCCACCAGTCATCATCATCGCTGCACTCCCCCGCCTCCTCGCCGTCTGCAGGCCCAACCCCCTCCTCGTCTTCCGCCTCCGCCTCCGCCTCTGCGGCGTCATCCTCCTCTTCCACCTGTAGCTCCTCGGCCGGCATGGGGACTTCAGCGTAGAAGGGGTTGACGACAGTCTCGTCGTCAACCATCTCGTTGACGTCGTCCAGCACCTCCACCTCACCCTTGTCCCGCATGTGGGCAAGGATGAGGTGGTCTTCGGTGCCGTCGATGCTGGTGGAGATCCCGCATGTGACGAACGCCTTCTTCACGAGCTCTTCTGGAACAGCTTCCCAGGATTCGTCGATCCAGCGGAGAACCGTCTCCGCAGGCGGCTTTTGCAGATTGCCTGTGGTAAGGGAAGAAGTTTACATTCACGATTGAGGACTTGCAAACCGAGCCATAGTTGGGACATATGCATGCACAATAGCCAGCCTCGCGGAAATGCAAGTTGAGGCATCAACTCACCTGCACGCGTTGTCAGGTTGATGCCGTCTTCTTCGAACCACGTGCTGTAACGGTGACGCACACCGCATTTAAACGCGCGGTTGATCGATACATCCAACAGCTGCACAAGCGGTGTGCACCCCCCTGGGATGACCGCCCTCGACAGCCTGAACATGCGCATCGTCTGACCAACAGCTTCGGTCAAGTGGCCGCGGTATGAGTCCAGCACCACCAAGGCCTCCCTTCGGCGTCCGGCAGTCTCTCGCAGAGGCTTCATAAACGGCACAAGCACCTGCGTGATCCAGTCCTGCACAAGAGACTCATCCATCCATCCCTTCTCTTGTGCACGGACCACCACACCTGTCGAAAACAACGCGAGCGTCAGAGTCCCGCAGGTTTGATAGAGAAGCAGGCAATAGCACGGGTTGAGGCGTGGTTTGGTTCACTTACCGGCAGGAATGGCCACTTTCGGGACGGTCTTCCGCTTGAACACAACGTAGGGGGGAAGCTTCAGCCCTCCCGCCGTTACTGCCAGCATAACAGTAACGCGTTCCTTTTGGTAGCCCGCAGACTGCACGTGTACCGTCCGCGCTCCCTTCATTTCGATTGTACCTTCCGCCGACATCTCTAGGAAAAGCGGAGTCTGATCGGCGTTCACGATCAGATCGAGTGGGTAGTCATGCAGAGTGCGCATCTGGCGCACAAACTCCCAAAACGACTCGACTTTCTCCTTGCAATCTGCATTCAGAACCACGGTGCACATTAGAACATGTTCGAAGACGAACCATGACCGCACTTCAACGCGAAGACTTCCCCGCTGCCAACTTCTGCCCCATCTTAGTCTTCACCCTCCTTGCCAAGTGCCACCGCGCGCGGAAACGAGCCGACCAGCGGAACGACGCGCGCCAATTGACCCCAGGCATCCGATGCTTCATATACTTCGCGCTCCACTTCTGGAGCATGTTGACAGAAACGGAGAGCCCCTTTGCCCGGTGGCTCAGGAACTGGCGGTAGACCGCCCGTTCCATAAACGGGTACTTCGCCTTGCGTCCTGCCCCCATGAGGCGACGGCGGCATCCGGAAGCGACCTCCAGTCGTTCCCTCAACTTTTTCCAGTCACGAATCTGGCAGGGTTGCACCTTTGCGAGCTTGGCAAGAGCTCGATTCGACAGGTCCGGCTGAAATTCTTGCATCTTCAGCAAGTGAAGCTTCTCTTTCGCTGTGTACGAGTGACGAACGCGTTTCGTCATACGATGCCGCGGGGAAGGAGGCTCTGCATCCGCATTGCACTTCACTTGTCCCTGCGGGCGATTACGTTGCGGAAAAGTGGGGACAGCCACTCGGGGAAGAGGAGGCCGAGGACGGTCTGCGTTACTGCTCGGTTCATCCTCGCTAGAGCCACTGGCTGCAGGAGACGACTGAGGCATGTCGGGGCGAGGAGTCGGGCGTGCGCGTGCAGCAGCGGGAGACGGAGTGTAAACAGGCCGGTGCCGTCTAACTACCGTACTGCTGGAATCTGGAGAGGTTGCCATCTAAACCTACTGCAGGTTGGTGTCACTGGCCATAGCTAAACTGCGTTTAAACTAACGAAGTTGCGACAGGGAAAGAAGCGCACTTACAGCCTGCCGAGCACAACACAGATTCGAGCAATGGAGCCGCTGCATAAACGAAAGTTGAGAGTCGTTTGAGGGAGAGGGACGTGACCAAAATGGGCACGACGTGACCGAAACAATGACAACGCAGCACTGTGAAGAATTCCAGCCTCGGAGGGCCCATGCAACCTCGCCGCGCGATGCTAGCACTATTTTCACCCAATCAGGGCCAGAGGTGGCCCATTGGGACTTGCCATGTGGCAGGTTATAGTGGGGGGTTGCATTATCGTCGCATACTCGATTTCGCGCGCGCGAACACCATTTTCCCAGTCAAGTAAGAACCCTGTTTTTCTTTCCAATCAATTCTTCTTAAAAAAACATGTGCTATATACCGTATATGAACCCGGGTGTTATGTAGCTTTTGCCATTGAGAAGACCCCCCCCATTTTTTCACTGTATTTAAAGTAAGACCCTAGGGTGTTATATCCGGGTGATTACGGTACCTACACTGATGCCACTGGGTAAAGTTTTCAAAATTTCAAGTTACACTGATCCATCGGTGTTTCCAAAAAGGGCACACTGCTCAGAAGGGTTTTGAAAAAGGCTACACTGCTAATTGTGAGTAGCCAAAAACCAAACATAGGCCCTGGCTCAATCTTGACATTTTTTTTATTAAAGTTTAAATCTACGTATGTGAAGACAAAGAAACTGTACAAGAGATGTTATCTCACTGTAGCTGCACCAGTCAGCTCAAGTCATGAGAAGGACTGCACCCCTCCCTCTTGCACACCTCCCTCTTGCACCCCTCCCTCTTGCACCCCTCCCTCTTGCACCCCTCCCTCTTGCACACCTCCCTCTTGCACCCCTCCCTCTTGCACCCCTCCCTCTTGCACACCTCCCTCTTGCACCCCTCCCTCTTGCACCCCTCCCTCTTGCACACCTCCCTCTTGCACCCCTCCATCCTGCACCCCTGCAGCCACCTGATTGTGAGGTGACTCGCGATGCACACCTAAGATTGTAGGCCATTCCCTCCCTCTCTGATGTTCTACTCTACTCCTCATCTCAAGTCATGGGAAGGGGCCTCGTCTTGTACCTCTGTAACAGTCTGCAGCACATGAGCGAGAAGGAATGGCGACGAGAGGGGGACAGTGGAGACTTATGCAACACAAATGGCATGACATTCACACTCGCGCTAAGGGAGGGAGTCCTCTCAGTAATTCATCTCATTGAACAGCCTCTGCAGCTTCTCTACGCCAATGCCCCGCCGTCCACGCTCTGCCAGCTCACACACACACTCTATTTATCCCCACCCACTCCTCGTGCCACCACACCACGCAACGCATGCAGCTCTATCTGGAAAGCCCTCCCTGTCACCTCGTTGAACAGCGTCTGCAGCTTCTCTGTGCCAATGCCCCGCCGTCACTGCTCTGCCAGCTCACACACACACTCAACCTCCCTCTCACCTCGCTGAAACACCTCTGCAGCTTCGCTTCTCTGTGCCAATGCCCCGCTGTCACTGCTCTGCCAGCTCACACACACACTCAACCTCCCTCTCACCTCGCTGAAACACCTCTGCAGCTTCGCTTCTCTGTGCCAATGCCCCGCTGTCACTGCTCTGCCAGCTCACACACACACTCAACCTCCCTCTCACCTCGCTGAAACACCTCTGCAGCTTCGCTTCTCTGTGCCAATGCCCCGCTGTCACTGCTCTGCCAGCTCACACACACACTCAACCTCCCTCTCACCTCGCTGAAACACCTCTGCAGCTTTGCTTCTCTGTGCCAATGCCCCGCTGTCACTGCTTTGCCAGCTCACACACACACTCTACCTCCCTCTCACCTCGCTGTAATACCTATGAAGCTTCTCTGTGTCAATGCCTCGCTGAAATACCTCTGCTCTGCCAACTCATACGCCCATTCACTTTATCCCCATCCTCTTCTCGTGTCACCTCGCCAGGCAACACTGGCAGCCCCGCCAGGCAACACTGGCAGCCCCGCCAGGCAACACTGGCAGCCCCGCCAGGCAACACTGGCAGCTCCGCCAGGCAACACTGGCAGCCCCGCCAGGCAACACTGGCAGCCCCGCCAGGCAACACTGGCAGCCCCGCCAGGCAACACTGGCAGCCCCGCCAGGCAACACTGGCAGCCCCGCCAGGCAACACTGGCAGCCCCGCCAGGCAACACTGGCAGCCCCGCCAGGCAACACTGGCAGCCCCGCCAGGCAACACTGGCAGCCCCGCCAGGCAACACTGGCAGCCCCGCCAGGCAACACTGGCAGCCCCGCCAGGCAACACTGGCAGCCCCGCCAGGCAACACTGGCAGCCCCGCCAGGCAACACTGGCAGCCCCGCCAGGCAACACTGGCAGCCCCGCCAGGCAACACTGGCAGCCCCGCCAGGCAACACTGGCAGCCCCGCCAGGCAACACTGGCAACCCCGCCAGGCAACACTGGCAGCCCTTTCAAAAAGCCCTTTCACTCACCTCACTCAGCATTTGTTGCAGTGCCTGCAGAAAAGCCCTTTCACTCACCTCACTCAGCATTTGTTGCAGTGCCTGCAGAAAAGCCCTTTCACTCACCTCACTCAGCATTTGTTGCAGTGCCTGCAGAAAAGCCCTTTCACTCACCTCACTCAGCATTTGTTGCAGTGCCTGCAGAAAAGCCCTTTCACTCACCTCACTCAGCATTTGTTGCAGTGCCTGCAGAAAAGCCCTTTCACTCACCTCACTCAGCATTTGTTGCAGTGCCTGCAGAAAAGCCCTTTCACTCACCTCACTCAGCATTTGTTGCAGTGCCTGCAGAAAAGCCCTTTCACTCACCTCACTCAGCATTTGTTGCAGTGCCTGCAGAAAAGCCCTTTCACTCACCTCACTCAGCATTTGTTGCAGTGCCTGCAGAAAAGCCCTTTCACTCACCTCACTCAGCATTTGTTGCAGTGCCTGCAGAAAAGCCCTTTCACTCACCTCACTCAGCATTTGTTGCAGTGCCTGCAGAACAGCCCTTTCACGCACCTTGTTGAAAAGCTTTTGCAGCTTCTCCGCTCCAATGCCCTACCGTACATGCTCTGCTCTGCCAGCTCTCTCTCTCTCACACACACACTCACTTGATCCCAGCCCACTCTCTGCAAGGCCCTCCGTCTCACCTCGTTGAAAAGCTTTTGCAGCTTCTCTGCTCCAATGCCCTGCCATGCATGCTCTGCCAGCTCATACGCCCACTCCTCCTCCCCACCTGCCCCACGTGCCCCCTTCACCAGGATAACATATCTGTGCGGCAGCATGGTGGGAGGAATGTGGAGAAAGAGAGCGGGAGAAAGGCGAGGGCGGGAGAAAGGCGAGGGCAGGAGAAAGAGGGCATGTAACGGTGAGACTGGTGTGGTGGTGAGAGTGTGGTGGTGAGAGTGGTGGTGAGATTGTGGTGGTGAGAGTGTGGTGGTGAGAGTGTGGTGGTGAGAGTGTAGCGGTGAGAGTGTAGTGGTAAGTCTGCTTCTCCATGTGCTAGAGTTTCTCCTCCACATTCCCAGACTGTGGATGCCTCACTCCCACCTGCAATCTTGGAGCCTCCGCAGAAGTAGAACCTCTATTCCCCAATCCTCCTGTTCCCCCCGTTTGTGTCTTGGAACGTTTCAAAACTCAAAGGTCTGAGATGTCTTAGAACCTATCCCCCCACTCCTGTCCCCTCCGCACCTCCTGTTTCTCCATGCGCTTAAAGCGACGGTGCACATTTGCCACCCAAAACCCAGAACCCTGGCGAACTGTTACTGCGGATGGAAAGTGTCCGCACGAAATCCTGGTTTTCGCCAGCCAGCACTTTCGCGCTGGCAAGCCTGGTTCAAAAAAAAAACTTCTGAACCCAACACTGCCAAAAGTTGCCCGTCGCTTTAAGGCTCTCCTCCACATTCCCAAATTGCGGGTGCCTCTCCTCCCCTTCAACATGCTTGAGCCGCCCCATGAACAGACCCTCAACTCCCCCAGCCCCCCTGTTCCCCAACCTGTCACCCCTCCGCACCTCCTGTTTCTCCATGCGCTTGAGGCTCTCCTCCACGTTCCCAAATCGCGGGTGCCTCTCCTCCCCTTCAATATGCTTGAGCCGCCCCATGAACAGACCCTCAACTCCCCCAGCCCCCCTGTTCCCCAACCTGTCACCCCGCCGCACCTCTGTTTCTCCATGCGCTTAAGGCTCTCCTCCACGTTCCCAAACTGCGGATGCCTCTCCTCCCCCCGCCGCACCCCCATTGCCCCCAGCAGCGCCCACAGCTTCTCTGCGCGGATTGGGGCAGAGAGGCGGGGGAAAGCAGGAGGCGCAGGATACAGACGGTTTTTGAGACGCTCCTCAACAACCGTCTCAACGCAGCGCCCCCATTGCCCCCATCTTTTACTTTTGAGTCGACTCAAAAGTCAACAGGATACAGACGAATTTTAAGACGGTCCTCAAGAATCGTCTCAATGCACCCCCATTGCTCCCAGCAGCGCCCACAGCTTCTCTGCGCGAAGTGGGGCGGGGAGGGTATGCGGAGGGATCGGGGAGGCCATAGGGAAGAAGGGGCGAGAAAGGTTGAGTCATAAGAAACGATGGGGGAGTGGTATTGTGGGTTCTTGCGTGATTTGATGCAATGTGGCAGAATTGCATGGCATGGGATGGGATGAAATGGCACGACTCACGACTTGACTCACGATTTGACTCGAAAGACACTCCACATATGCGCACCTGCCGGGATGCTTCCTCCAGCGCCTTTAATCAACGCGCACACCACAGTCGTGAACGCACTGACTGCTGCCTGCTCCGGTGTATCCACAAATCGTGACAGCACCGCCGCTGGTAACCGGCTCTGTAACACATACTCCTTCACACCCCCTCCCCCTCCTCCTCCTCCCCTACCTCCTCCACCGTCCCCCCCCTCCTCTCCTCCCCTTCCCCCTCCCTCGTCCCCGTCATGCCCCCCGCCCCCTCCGCCGCCCCCTCTTCCCCGCGTCCCTCTTTCAAGCTCCCTCATATCGAATCCCAGAGCTGCCGGAAAACGCGCTTGGGCCTCCTTTATAATCACACCCGGGAGCCCAGTCACGCGCCGGCCGGCCAGTTGCGCGGAGATGACTTTATTGAGCTCGTCCCTCGATATAGGCACACCCGGGTGGCTGCTGTGCTTGAAGAGCACGTGGCGCATAACGGCGCCGATCGCCTGCTCGCGCTCCTCCCGCGAAATGTGGCCCGATTGCGACGAGACTGGTTGGGACACCATCTCCTTGACTGCTACAGCAGAAATGACGCTACAGCCGAATTTGCGCTACGGCCAATGTGACACTTCAGCTAAACTCCCAGACGGAAGAGGAATTCTAGCAAACGTAATACCGCCAAGGATTTTTCTCCTCTAGCGATACCGGCGGTCGCACTACCCCACATCCGCTGCTGCTGCTCTGTGCATTACTCTCGCGATAATGGCTGCAGCGGCCGCGACATGTTTCACTGGAAATCCATGCGCCCAGCAAGCTGTCACTAGTGCAATGAGGCTACGACGCGACGCGCAGATTGCACCGAAGGGACGAGATAGACGCGGGGACGTAACCGCAAGCACACTCGGATGAAATCCAGGCTGCTGATCCAGACGCGGTAAAGGCTTTGTAGAAGGGAGTTTTGAACTTCAAATCCAGAAAATTCTGGATTCCGAGGGGCATAAACGGGTTCAGATGGGCACTATGCGTTTGAAAAGGGTGACGGATCGCGAGATGAAATCGAATTGGTTATACATAATGCTGGGATGAATCCTCGTTATCATGACAAATCTGCCATATTGGTAACCCGATAGCTGTACTACTTCTGTAGCCCCCCACATTCTAATTTAACATAGTAGCACTTGTACACAATTTGCGTCGCGTCGAGTCCGACTTGCAGCGACGATGAATCTTGGGTCTGCCTTCACCCTCTGCTTTCGCATGTTCGCGAATGACGACAAATGCACCCACCCGATTCTCTAGCTCCCCGAAGTCGTGACAATGCACGTCGCAGCAGAAAAGCCACGCTGCGATCTATTTCCCCGCAACCACCACACCCTCGCGCAACGCATAACACTCCCATCCCACCTAGGTCGTAACGACAGGTAAACAATTCGTAATCTCGACTTTACGTTGCGAAGTGCCGTCTCCGACTTAGCTTTTAGCACCTCCTTTGGTAAAGTGGGACTTTCGAAGATTGCCTCCTTTCGTAGTAGTTTCGCAAAGCGTTGACCGCGTTGACCGCCTTGTCTCGCCTCCACATTTCACCAACTTCGATTAAAAGTCACATTCCTTTGTCGCGGAGTCGGAGATGAGAAAATCGCGCACCAATCAGATTTGAGAACACGATACGTTCGTTTCTATCACCGCCGACCGGGAACGGGCGAGGAAATGGGGAACGCGGAACAGAAGGGGCATGTGACAGTAACGGAAGAAGGGGAGCATGTGATTATAACGGAGACGGCGGAGCGCGACGGGATCCGGGCCGTCGACGGCGAAGGAAGTGGGGACGGGGACGTGGGTGTACAGGTGGATGCTTACGTGGACGCTGACGTGGACGAGAATGACGTGGACGCGTTCAGCGAGGACATGCACCTGCTGTGGGACGTTCTGGCGATCGACGACGCAGCGCAAAGGGCGGCGCGAATGGCGGAGCTAGGCTACGAGGTTTATATCGAGGATGGACTAGAAGGTTACAGGAAGGCGGCAGTTGAAGAACCGATAAACAGCGCGTTTCCTGCCCCTCCGCCGGGAAACGCGCTAGAAGGGCGGCTCGCGGAAGAAGCGGCGGAGAGACGACAGCTGGAACAGCGACTCGCGTCGGCTCAAAAAGCTGTCGGCGCGCTGCTGACGTGTCTGAAGCGTGTCCAGCACATGCTCGAGGCGCCAGGGGATGGGCGGACGAGAGCAGAGGGGGAGCGGGAGGGGGAGGGGGAGGGAGGCGCGCATGGGGGGAAGGGGGGCGGAGGGGATATTAAGTTGGAGTGGGCGATGGTGGAGTGTGTTTCAACAATGGCTGCTATAGAGGCGCGCGTCGCACAGCAGAGACAGGCACTGCAAAGGCAGGCCCAGCAAGGGCAGGCGCAGGCCAGGCAGGCACAGGGAGAGCGGAGGGCCGGGGGAGACGCGGAAGGTGAGGCGGGCAGAGGGGATGGTGGGGCGGAGGAGGGGAGAGAGGTGGGGGAAGTGGGGGAACAGCGTGTGGCAGGGGGAGAGCGAGGAGTGGAGGGTGGTGTGATGAGAGAAAGTGAGCTGGTGAGAGAGGTGGGTGAGGTGAGGCGGGAGAACGAGGCACTGAAACAGCTGCTGCTGCTTTCATTTCAAGGGCAAGGGGCGGCTGATCTGCCCCAGCTGCTGCCACAGCTGCTAGCCCTGTCCCACATCCCCGCGGGATCAGCAAACACAGCAGCACATCCAGCACACGAAGCAGAAACAGCACTTGCAGCAACCATGAGTACAGAGACAACAACCAATGCCAGCAGCACTGCAGCTACCAGCAGTAGTGATGCCGGCACAGGCACAGATACCACTGCCACCTCCACACCCTTGTCTCATCCCATTCCCATCCACCCCACCCCTGCTGCCCCCACACGCGCCTGCACCTCCTCCCGCCCGCACCCGCACTTCCCCTCACTTATTCCGCACCTGCAGCTACGCTCCCTCTCCTTCTCCCGCCACACTGCCAAGCACGATTCCACCCCTCATGCCACCCGCCACGCCTCCCCCCATGCCTCCCACCAGCCGGCAATGCACCGTTCCCTGTCCACCAGGCCCCTTGGGAAATGGCTTCGGAGGGCTGATGGCGACGGGGGGAAACGGATGGATGATGCGGGGAAGCCGGCGGATGGCGGTTTGAAATCGGCTGATAGTGCTGTGAATGCTGTTAGTGCTGTGAATGCTGATGCAGCTTCTGAGGCGCCTCAAAGTTGTCCCGATGGTGATGGGGGGGAAGGGGCAGATGAGAGCTCGGGCGAGGGTGATAGAGCTGGCATAGCTGCTGCAGACAGCTGGCGTGACGCTGGGGAGGGAGCAGAGGGGAGCACAAAATCAGCTCATGCTGCTGCTGCTGACGGTGAGAGCATTGGAGCTTCTGGTGACAGCGCTTTGGGTGCTGATAGTGTTGCTGCTTTTTGTCCTGTTGCTGCTACTGATAGTGGTGCTGCTGCTGCTGCTGATAGTGGTGGTGCTGCTGCTGCTGATAGTGGTGGTGCTGCTGCTGCTGATAGTGGTGCTGCTGCTGCTGCTGATAGTGGTGGTGCTGCTGCTGCTGATAGTGGTGGTGCTGCTGCTGCTGATAGTGGTGGTGCTGCTGCTGCTGATAGTGGTGCTGCTGCTGCTGCTGATAGTGGTGCTGCAGTTGATAGTGGCGGTTCTGCTGATAGTGCTGCTGCTGCTGATGAAAGTGCTGCTGACGCTACTGCTGCTGCTGCTGCTGCTGCTGCTGCTGCTGCTGCTGCTGCTGCTGCTGCTGCTGCTGGTGCTGCTGCTGCCGATAGTGTTGCTACTTTTGAGTCTACCCACAAATCACCTCAGAAGGAGCAGGCGAGTGGTACAGCAGGCAGTGCTGCTGATCCCCCTAAGGAAGGTAGCAACCAGGAGGGTCAACACGACTCACCATCCCTCGTGCCTATTGCTGCTGCTTCTGCTGATGCTCCTGCTGATGCTCCCGCTGAGGCTGCTGCCGGTGATGGTGACGTAGCTGACTCTACGTCTGGCCTCCAAGAAACATCTCCCGCACAGAATCAGCAAGAGGCATCGCGTTTACAAGGCCGGCAGGAAGGGCCACAACAAGCATCGCTTGCAGATGCCCAGATGATCCAAGAAGCAGGCAGCAGGCAGGAGGAAAATTCTGAGACGTCCCAAGAAGCATCTCTTTCACAAACCCAGCAAGAAGCGTCACAAGCGGCACTACCAGAGGCCCAGGTTATCCAAGAGGCAGGCAGCAAGCAGGACGGGGAGGCGAGTCATGTGGCAGGGCAGTCAGACCCCCTTCGACTAGAAGGAGAGGGGGAGGGGGAAGGGGAGAGGGCGCAGAGGGAGGAAACCAGGCAAATGGATGAATCGGAGCAGAGGGACGAAGCGGTGAAGAAGGATGGAGTGGAGGTACAAAGGGATGGAGTGGAGGTACAAAGGGATGGAGAGGGTGGAGCAGGAGCATCGACGGCAAATGGGGAAGCAAGGGAGAGTGCGGGGGAACGCGAGCCTGCAAAGACCAGCCACCCCAGCAGCCCATCCCAGCAAGATGACACCCATTCCTCACATGTGAATGGTGATGCCAGGACCAACCATTCCTCCCATACCCATTCCTCCCATACCCATTCCTCCCATACCCATTCCTCCCATACCCATTCCTCCCATACCCATTCCTCACACCCTCACTTCTCGCACCCTCACTTGCCACGTCTGCCCCTTAGTAGCACCTTCTGCCTGCCCAGCAGGTTACACAAGGCGAATCCAGACAATCCTGATGATCCCGTCACAGCACGCCACGTCAGCTGCTTTTCTGGCAACGGTGGCGCTGACACAGCTGGCCACGTCAGCTGCTTTGCTGGCGAAGGCGACGCTGACTCAGCAGGCATCGTCAGCTGCTTCGGAGGTGGCAGCAAGAGCAGCAGCAGCAGCGGAAACCAGCAAACACCGGGACCAAAACGAGGAGGATCGTTCAGGGAAAATCGCACAGGGACTAGAATCTTTCTCAGAAGAAACGCAAGCGAGCGGGCTGCTGGCAATTCCCCCCCTAGCTCTCTGCACCCTGTATCAGGCAGCGTGCCTCTTGTTGAGTCGATTCAAAAGGCACCGCTGCAACCTGCCTCCTCACTGCCAGCCAACAACCCGCACCCTGCTGCTACAGCTGCTGCCTCTTTGCCAGTGACAAGCGCAGCAGAGGGAAAAAGGCCTCTTGATTCCAATCAACAATCACTTTCTGGTCCCAAAACCAGCGACCCGCAGCCTGCTGCTGCCCCTTTGCCTCTGTCACGTACAGCAGCGGGAAGAGGGCCTCGGCAACTGGTTGTGCGCCGGTTCTTGCATCGCATTGGCGCTGACAGGAAGCGTGCAGCTGGCGGTGGCACGAGTGGGAGCGGGAGTGGGTGCGGGAGTGAGGGGGAAAATGGGAGTGGGAGTGGGAGTGGGAGTGGGAGTGGGAGTGGGAGTGGGAGTGGGAATGGGAGTGGGAGCAGGAGTGGTGCTTGGAGTTTCAGCAGCAGCAACGGTTCCAGTAGGAAGGAACCAAGGAAGAGTGGGGAACACCCGGCAAGAGAGCATACACCGGCAGAAAACGTGAATGAGAGTGCTAACAGCTCACAGGACACTCACGTAGCTACAGCTGCACCTACAGATCCAGCCACATTTGCAGCTACAGCTACACCCACCACCACAGCTGCCGCTGCAGCTACGGATTCTGCTGCAAACACTGCTTCTGCTGATGCTGCATTGACTGATGATGTGCCTGTCCTTTCTCCTTTCACAGCAGCAGCAGGAATTGCTGAATCGTCTGTGGACCATGCCTCGCCTTTGCCCTTACCAGGCGAAGGGGGAGGAGCAGGAAGTGCAGCAGCAGGAGGTCCAGCAGTAACAGCAGGAGGAAGAGGAGGAACGGCAGGAGGAGCAACAGGCGGGTGGGGTGCCGCTTTTCTTGCCTCTGCTAGTATCAAACGTGCTGCTGCTGCTTCTGCTGCTGTCTCATCCACAGCTACTGCTACTACCACAGCAGCTGATCTCCTCGAGCCTGCTCACTCACTCACAGTCGGAGAGGAGTTACCAGACCAGCCTGCTGCTACTGCTGCTGCTGCTGCTGCTGCTGCGAGTGCGGATGTGGCTGCTACAGCTGATGTTGCTACAGCTGATGCTACCGTTGGTACTGGTGGTGCCGGCAACATTACATCTACCTCTGTGTATGTCTGTCCGCGCTCTCCTCTCACCTGTGCCTTTCACGTGTAAGCTGTGTGCTGCTCACCTGTGTACATGTGCAAGTCGTGAGCTCCTCGCATGTGCCTCACACATAAGCGCCTTGTGCTTCCCTGTGTCCCTTCTGTCCCCGGCTTCCCCCTTGACCTGCCACTATAACTCAACCACGTGTCTCCCATCTCCTCCCCTCCCCTTCCCCTCGCCATCCCCCGCATGTCCGCCCTTCCTTTTCCCTCCTCACCCACAGCAAGCGAGTGTACTCGCGACGACTGTTAGCATGAAGCAAGCAAGCGATGGTAGCTTCTGTCTAAGTGCTCCCAGGAGGCTTGTGTTTGAGACATCTCATGGCAAATGCCTTTCCACACAGCGAGCGAGGTCACTTGCTAGCATGAAACAATCAAGTGATGGCGGCAAGGCAAGCCCTCCCAAAAGGCGGCCATTCAACCATACGTTGGGAGCTATAAGTACTCCCAACATAGCAGCTTCGTCTAATCAAATAATTTTGTAACAATTGTATAAGCTTGTATAAGGTAGAGAGCCTTGAGAGGTGAGTGAGGGTAGGGCGGGACGCCAGCACACTGGGACAGATATATTATAGGCTAAAAAGTCTGAGTTGTTGCCTTTACTTTAAACCTTTGGTCCTCTAAAAGACCTCGTTCTGTCGAAACGTAAATAACGTTTCCGTTCACGGATAGAGTTTAGACGCCTCAAGTCCGTTCATCTTACCTCTGGAACAAGTGACGCCCATAGCCATGGCTGCGGATAGTAGCTAGTCAGCTGTTACAACATGAGTAACGCATACGTCTAGAATGTTCAGCCAACATCATCGGCGGTGAACTGTTACGTTAGCGGAGCAGTACGCCGACTAATGCATACACGGATGAACTACCGTAGCTCACGGCTCAAACCTCCAGTTGCTGATCAAGCAGCACAGGCGTAACGACTCTGAGATATCTTAAGATTGGTCATCAATGTTAACGAGGTCAGACAACAAACGAAACAGGAAGTTGAAAAGGTGTGGAGAGCCATCGAACAGGGAGCTGAAGGTAGCCGTCAAAGTCAAGCTGAGGAACATCGGTGTGATGGAAGCTTGGGAGTTCAAAATAAGTGAGCTTGCCTTGATGGTGGAGCAGAGCACAGGAGGCGATGCCTGGTCCTAGGGCGTAAGTCAAACGTGGCGGCACTGCTCTCTGCACCGCAAGACTCTCACGTGATGCATTCATTTGCGGCGAAGGTGAGAGCCTTGCGAAGAAACAGCTGGTCTCACTAAGACAAGCCAAATCAGTGTTGGGATCATTACCCGAAGAAGTTACAGCGTTTCTCCAGCGTCACACAGAATTGAATCTGGCTGTTTCGCTCGGATTCTTCTACCCCATAAGCACGACTGGTGTACCTGACACACCCCGCATAAATGGCGCGAAATGTCTTTGCACGCATCAACTTCTAGGTCGAATCACATTCCAGGCTAGTTCCGTACGCGATAGAAATTACATGTGACGGTACAACGAACATGAACTGTATCACTTACGAAACAACAGAACAAAGATTTGTTTACACAAAATGACACAATAACAGTACCGTACCATTGTGCGTTCTCATTGACTGCTGCAAGCCAATCCCAACAGGACAACGATGCAGTGAAGGAACCAGACTCCACCAGATGCGCCCACTCAACCTTCTGAAGATGTGCTTTCATTCGAATAGCTAATCCAAACATGACACCAATGTTCTCAAAAGACTAGCAGCAATTGCTGTTCTGTTGCAACGGCCTGCTTTCTCCAGGACGCACAGTCTGACCACCACCTTTGTTGCCGAGGGCTGGCTGACTCGCCATCCTGCAGCCACATCCACAAACAGCACTGTGAGTTTGAAATGTAACAACCAAATCAAAATATTAACAACAAAATTAATCCATACCTGTTCTTGATCTCAGCAGCCATGGTCATGAAAGCCTGCTCTACGTTTGTGGCGTTCTTTGCACTCGTCTCTAGGAAAGGAATGCCAATCTCGTCTGCGAAGGCCTGCAAAGCACACAAGGAAAATAAGAGCCCGCTGGCAAATAGTGCAGTCTTTGAGCTGCAATATTGGTGCACTAACGCGTCTCACGTGTTGCATACCTTGGCAGTCTGGTAGTCCACAACCCTTTTGTTTGTCAAGTCGCACTTGTTTCCGACCAAGAGCTTGTTAACATTCTCGCTGGCGTAACGGTCAATCTCGTTTAACCATTGCTTCACGTTGTTGAAGCTTTCCTGATCTGTGACGTCGTAAACAACCTGCAGGGACAATCCAGTAAGCTTCATACCATCTTCGACAACAATGGGTGAACCGAATGCGCGCTGAGAACGAAATGACAACCGCCACTCACAATGATGCCGTGAGCACCGCGGTAGTAACTACTTGTAATCGTTCTGAAACGCTCCTGGCCTGCAGTATCCCACTGTTACAGCCACACGCAGCAGCCCTCAGCTTCCATAAGACACGGCAGAGCGCGAAGAGTACAAAGCTAATCCATAAAGCCACTCACAATTTGAAGCTTGATAGTCTTGCCGTCGAGCTCGACAGTACGGATTTTCTGAAAAAGGGCAGTGCGGACAACTGTCAGGAAATGTTTATGACGCCATCCTGCTGAAATTGTTGAAACAATTACCCTGAGCTTACAAAGTCCACTCCGATTGTACTGATGTAGCTTTCAAGGTAGGAATCGTCCTGCAACGCAACAAGACGTTCTTAGCGTGGATGATGCAGAGCAGCATAGCTCCCCCATGGAAACTGCGAATTCACCCTGTCTATGAATATTACCGCGAATCGTAGAAGGAGGCAAGACTTTCCGACACCAGAATCACCAATCAGCAACAACTTGAACAAGTAATCACTGCATCAGCAGCGACAGCGGGAATACAGTCTTAGAGTCACGGTACTAGACATGACAATGGACAGCTCCCAACAGCAAAGCGAGAACGCAGGGGACGCACTATTCGGGATTCATGTTGCTCAGGATCTGGTAGCGGAAAGCTTCTGCAGCTGAAACAGCGGATTCGGCGACAGCGTCAGATGCGTACTGCGAAGCGTCTTAAACGGGCAACGTAACGCTCCAGTCACTAATGTCGTTCGCGACCTCTAACACCTGCCAACAGGATTCGTTCCACCTGGTTTGAGAAAGGGATCTCGTTCCCCTTGCTGGGATTCCTTGATGTGTTATGTGGCGAAATCGAGGTCGTGTTGAGGCTGCTCCACGAAGTTCGGTATGAAGTGAACCAGGTTGGGCAGGTACCCCATACCACATGATTTGCGTATTGTACTGCACTGTATTGTAATTTGTAGAGCAGCCTATGAAAGGTTACTCAATCTATGTCCGCCAAGTTCTTGATGCAACAGTCTCAGGAAGCAAAATCAGACGACATAACCAGTGCAAGCTCAGCCCTTTATTCGTATAAAAGATAATACAACAACGTGGGTAATTTACTGGGCATTTGCAGCAATGCTCTGCACCAATGAGGGTGACACAGGCTCCCCACCCAAGTAGATGTCAAAGAGAGCAGCTAGAAGCCCAGGCGACTCAAAAGTGGCAGAAGCTGCAGCGGGAGCGCCTCCAGCAGTCACATCATCAGCAAATGCCACCTGTTATATTGTAATCACACAGAGAAAAAGCATTTTATCTACATAACGAAAGGCCTGGGATTGCTAATAAACGTTGACATAGTGGAGGTGAACGATTTTAAGGTTAGATAAGTTGAAAATACCTGCAGTGTAGACGGCTGGCGCCAGGTGATATACACCCCAGTGTTCTTCTTAAGCGACCTCTCCTTGAAGAGCTGTCCGAATGCCTCCAAGTCACCAAGGCCCTCGCCAGCTGCTGTGAGGCGCGGGGCGAGCTCCTCTGTGAGGGCGTTCCAGAACTGGTCGGACCCCACGTTGCGTGCCAACACAATTACAATGGATTTTTCACACGGAGCTGCAGGGGACAGCAGACAGGAGAAAAGCAGGCCAGAGGAGCGCAAAGGGGCCAAAATGTTGATGCGAAGAAGCAGCAGTAAGCAAGCTAAGTGATAGGACAATCGGCAGAGGCAGAGGCAGCACAAGAGAGTGCAGTCGGGTAATGGCAACAATGGAATGGACAGAGCGAGTACGGAGTGCAGAACAGATGAGTGTGTGACGTGTGTGCGTGAGTATATGTGTTCCATCACAGTGAAACGGGGACGTGAGCTGTAAAGCCTATCTATCGGAACGTACTGGAGGCGATGGCATCAAAGAAGGCGCGGTCTGCAGCCTTGCCTTTCCAGCCCGCCAGCACATCCAGCAGCCGCGGTTCAGCGTACACACCCACTCCATACACCTTCACCGCCAGCGGCCCAAGCTTCTTCTCCCGCACCCCTGCAAGCAGCAGCAGAAGAAGCAGCAGGAGGAGGAGGAGGAGGAGGAGGAGGAGGAGGAGGAGGAGGAGGAGGAGGAGGAGGAGGAGGAGGAGGAGGAGGAGGAAGAGGAGGAGGAGGAGGAGGAGGAGGAGGAGGAGGAGGAGGAGGAGGAGGAGGAGGAGGAGGAGGAGGAGGAGGAGGAGGAGGTGGTGGTGGTGGAGGAGGATGAGGAGGAGGAGGAGGAGGAGGAGGAGGAGGAGGAGGAGGAGGAGGAGGAGGAGGAGGAGGAGGAGGAGGAGGAGGAGGAGGAGGAGGAGAAGGAGGAGGAGGAGGAGGAGGAGGAGGAGGAGGTGGTGGTGGTGGAGGAGGAGGATGAGGAGGAGGTCATTGTTTCACAGAGAAACTAAGCCTAAGAAGCATAGCGTATGTGGTAACGGTTTGTGAAATCCAACATTCCTACACCCGCTGCATCTGGAAAATCCTGCGCCCTCGTGGTACCCCTGCTAGCCACCTCGCCGCCCTTCTTGTTTTCCCAGCCTCAAGCTCCTGCTTCCCCCGCCTCAAGCTCCTGCTTCCCCCGCCTGAAGCTCCTGCCCCCACGTCTCCTACAGGGTGCAGCACTCACCGGTTCCCAGCAGCGAGAGGTCCTTGGAGCCACCAGGGGCCGCTAGAGTGACTGGGAAGTTGATCTTGGTCGCTGGCTCCGTCACCACTGCAGTACCACACGGCACAGAGTGCAGGGCACAGCACAGGGCGGAGAGCACAAAGCACAGAGAGCAAAGTGAAGGGCAGAGAGCACAGGAAGAGAGTCGAATCAACCGCTCGGATGAATGAATGAGATGTGCATTGTGTGAGGAGAGAGGGATTGGAATGCACATCGTTGGAAGCGAGCTTTGAGGAGCGCGAGGACAAGGGTGGAGGGCTAATTGCCGCGCTTTCAACAAATTCTGGCATAACCGATCGACAGCGGTTCAATCCGCTGGCATGATCAATTATCGTTGGCATCATCAATCGCTGTTGGCATGCTGAATCAGCACTGGTTCAACAAGCACGGGGCCAATTATCGACTGGGGCCCACTCACCGTTGGCTCGAACGCTGCTGCGAAGCGGCTGGAGGGTAACCCGAGCGGATTTCTTCGTCGAAGAGACCTGGAGCTCGCGGAAGGATGTGGAAAGCGGAACTGCTAGAGCGGCACCGCTGGGAGCTGCTCGCGATGAGTTCTTGGCCGAAACCCAGGCGACCGTGGCGGCAGGCGCCAGGGCGATAGAAGCGGCGGAAGCGAGCGCCATGGCGAGGAGAGAGATTATCAAGCGAGCGTTGTCAAGCCTGCTGAGGTAGAATCTCTCCCGAATCACCACGGAAGTTGGGAATGCTGATCAACGTTGAAAATGCGGTTTTGATTTGAGTCTGGGATGTGGTGTTGAGCTTGCTGTTATGCTCGGAAGGGAAAGGCGAAAGAGCATATTTGGTGAATGTGATCATAGGGGTGTGATACCAAGGAGTGTATCTGAATGTGACGTGTTGTGACTGTATGCGAGAGATGGACACGAGAGATCTGATCAGTCCTGAGTCTGACGTGGAGAGAGGTTTAGAGATGGCCGCTGATTGGCGAGCGAGTATTGACGGATTCGGCTGTGATGCGAAATCGATGGAACCTCTCGCGAGCCACACACTGCCGCCTCTGACTCGTTACTGATGTCAACAATCGCGCATGTGATTTCAGCACCATTACATCTGGCTATATTTCGCCAGTTTTCCGTCGCACGCCGGTGTTTTGTGAAGGTCGACCTGTGGTCGGTGGTCGCCACGTCTCAAGATTTTTCGTACTTCAAACTCACGTGGCGAGTTGTGATATGCTGATGAGAGTCCAGTCATCCATGACATTAACCTTCCAGGAACCCCACTTGGTTCTGGAAGGGAACATCGCCAAACTGATCGTACGGCCTCGACAACGTGGTTACTCGTCTCGCAACCGTCATGCGAAACATATCTCCAAATTGAGCTTCATCGAAATCCCAATGCTGCCAGTTGAGTGACATTCCCGAGACCAGCTAGCCCAGCCACACTCAGGCTCACTTTTCTACAAAGCTGGCCCAGCCATTCCCAATGGTGCCCAATTCCAAGGTTCTTGATTTCCATTTCACCAACGGTAACTCATCTGCTTACCGCCTCTCAGCAGCTCACTCTTACCGTGGGACTCGCTCAAAAGTACATTTTCGCGTACATTCAGGCACGATTGCGCAGGCATCGGTCGCCACGCGAAGACTCGTATCTCTCGCGAGGGTTCTGCAGGCTAGCATGGCTGAGAAGTCGTTCAAGTATGTCATCCTCGGAGGCGGCGTTGCTGCGGTAAGCAGATCCGGAATTTCATGAATCCGTAGAAACAAATCGCGATAAATCTTGCAGCTTTTGGTGGAATCAGTTCGATTCGACACGTTTTCACGTGCGCCGTGTTTCTGCTGCATCCTTTTCCAGCTAGCTCACTGAGTTTTCGTTTCTCCATATTCTCAGGGTTATGGAGCCGCAGAGTTCGCGAAGCAGGACCTCAAGGCTGGCGAGCTTGCCATCGTGTCGCGAGAGGCGGTATGCGATTTCTACTTTTTCCTGGTTTTTGTTTAAACTGCTTGCCTGGATAGGCCGGATTCAGGTCCTTCACAGTACTGTCAAGATGTCGCATTTCCAGTAATCTCACGTGCCGCCGTCTTCTTTCTCTCGCGTGAACTTGCAGGTGGCTCCCTACGAGCGACCGGCGTTGAGCAAAGGCTACCTCTTTCCTCAATGTACGTCATCTCATCCTTTTCCCTGTCGCCCTCCTCCAGTCACCTCGCCATTGCTTGTCTAATTTTTTAATCCTTCAACCTTACGATAAATACTCAATTCGCAGCTACCGCACGTGCAATGCACCAAGCATTCCGTTTTTTTTTCCTCACACCCTCACACTCTCTCTCCCTACTTTCCCCGTTGCAGCGCCTGCGCGACTGCCTGGGTTCCACACATGCGTGGGTGGCGGAGGGGAACGGCTGACCCCCGAATGGTATTCGGAGAAAGGTGCGTCGCCAGGGGATAGACATGGGAGGGGCAAGACGTGGAGACGAGTATAAGCGGCGAGCAACTCGAGGTATGTGTTTCAAGGGACTTCATGCAATCAAGATGCGGAGTTTTTTGCCAGAAATCCAGAGGAAAACCGACCTCCCATGAAGTAGAACATGCTGGCCAAATTTATTTATTTGTGCAATTTTTTATCAGTAATCGCCTGAGGAGCCTACTGGCATGCGTGCACAGTGCACCCACTTAGTCCCTTTCCGTTTGCCTCTCCCCGCCCTCCCCTCTCTCCAACTCTCTCTCCTCCCATCCCCCCTCTCGTGGTCTCCCACGCGCCCTCGCTCGCACAACCGCAGGCATCGAGCTGATTCTGAACACGGAGGTGGTGTCTGCTGACGTGGCGAACAAGAAGCTTTCCACGGCGTCGGGCGACACCATCGCCTTCACCAACCTCATCATCGCCACTGGTGCCGATGTGAGTAACTTACCCTCCTTGAAATAGTCTCCTTCAGTGCGTTGCCTAAACCAGAATCATTTTCAAGAAGCTCTCCACCGCGGCTCGCGAGCGACACCATCGCCTTCACCAACCTCATCATTGCCACTGGCGCCGATGTGAGTGACTTGCCCCCTTTTAGGAACGCCTAAGCAATCCTTTACCCAATGCCCAGACCAGACACATCTGCAAGAAGCCCTCCACTGTGTCGGGCGACACCATCGCCTTCACCAACCTCATCATTGCCACTGGTGCCGATGTGAGTAACTCGACAGCCTAGGCTCTCCCCCTCTTGATTGTACGCGCGAGAGAATACAGCCAGCGTTGCAGGGCAGGGCAGAGCCGTGACAGTAGCAGTACGCCTCACACGCTGCTCACCGCTCCCACCCCCTGCCCCACGCCCTTGCTCCCTCTCCATGCGCCCCTCCCTCTTCTCACCCCCCGTCCCCCTCCCTCTTCTCACCCCCCGTCCCCCTCCCTCTTCTCACCCCCCGTCCCCCTCCCTCTTCTCACCCCCCGTCCCCCTCCCTCTTCTCACCCCCCGTCCCCCTCCCTCTTCTCACCCCCCGTCCCCCTCCCTTGCTCCTCCCCAGTTCTGCACAGGGATGCTGTTTCAACACACCCTAAACGCTCCCTCCCATGCCTCTCTCCCTCACAGACCATCAAGCTGACGGACTTCAAGACGCCAGGCGCGGACGCCAAGGGCATCTACTACCTGCGGGAGATCGGAGAAGCCGATGAGCTGTGATGGGAAGGAGTACGCCTCACACGACGGTTACTACCTCCCCCTTCTACCCCATGCCCTTGCTCCCCAGACCATCAAGCTGACGGACTTCAAGACGCCAGGCGCGGACGCCAAGGGCATCTACTACCTGCGGGAGATCAAAGAGGCAGACGAGCTGTACGCGGCCATCCAGGCGAAGAAGGGCGGCAAGGCCGTGGTGGTGGGCGGCGGGTACATCGGGCTCGAGCTCGCGGCCATCCTCGCCATGAACGATATCAAGGCCACCATGGTGTACCCTGAACCATTCTGCAGTAAGCCACTGTACCATGCCTTTCCGCATTCCTCTCCTTCCACTCCACCAGTGCTGTGTCTCTTCACCCCCCACGCTCGCGGCCTTATATGAGGGTTACTATGAGGCCAACGGCGTCACCATCGTGAACACCCACTCACTGCTCCCCATGCAGCCCCGTTTCCTTTCCTCCCGTTGCCCCTCTCCCCCGCTCCCCTCTCCTTCCACCAGTGCCGCGCCTCTTCACCCCGACCCTCCCCGCGTTCTACGAGGGTAATTACGAGGGCAAGGCGTCACCATTGTGAAGGGCACTGTCGCCACTGCCATCGTCAATGTGGCGCACTCACTGCTCCTGAGCAACCCCATCCCTCCCTCTCTTCCCCTCCCAGTTCCGCGCCTCTTCACCCCCACCCTCGCGGCGTTCTACGAGGGGTACTACGAGGCCAAGGGCGTGACCATTGTGAAGGGCACCGTTGCCACCCCATCCTCTCTCCTTCCCTACCTCGTTGCTCGTCCCTCCTCCCTTCCCAGTGCCTCGTCTCTTCACCCCCACGGTCGCGGCGTTCTACGAGGGGTACTACGAGGCCAACGGCGTGACCATCGTCAAGGGCACGGTCGCCACGGCCTTCACAGCTGACGAGGAGGGGCACGTGAGGAGGAGTATGGTGCTCAGAAGCGGGGGGACGCTGCTCCCGACGTCAAAGGCACCGTGCCACTGCTCTGATGTGACCCCATCCCTTTTTCTTCTCCCCACACCCTCTACCTCTCCCCTTTCCCTCCCTTTGCAGTGCCGCGCCTCTTCACCCCCACTCTCGCGGCCTTCTATGAGGGGTACTACGAGGCCAAGGGCGTGACCACCAGTGTCGTCTCTCCCTTTCCCCCTTCCTCTCTTCTCCCCTTCCACCAGTGCCGCGTCTCTTCACCCCCACTCTCGCGGCCTTCTATGAGGGGTACTACGAGGCCAAGGGCGTGACCACCAGTGTCGTCTCTCCCTTTCCCCCTTCCTCTCTTCTCCCCTTCCACCAGTGCCGCGTCTCTTCACCCCCACTCTCGCGGCCTTCTACGAGGGGTACTACGAGGCCAAGGGCGTGACCATAGTCAAGGGCACGGTCGCCACGGCCTTCACAGCCAACGAGGAGGGGCACGTGAAGAGCGTGACGCTCAAAAGCGGGGAGACTCTGGAGGCGGACCTGGTGGTGGTGGGCGTGGGCGCTCGCCCCAACGTGGGGCTCTTCAAAGACCAGCTCGCATTTGACAAGGGTGGCATTAAGGTGGGTGCAGGAGGCTGGTTAAAGAGTTGAAGAATCTTGTGATGCCGGGTGATTGGGTTGGTGGGTTGGGGGAACGCGGAGGGCACAAGAGGAGTGTGGTGCTCAAGAGTGGGAGGCGCTGGATCATTTTTTGTTTTACAAATGGAAGCTGACCCATATCACGTGCAGACCTGTGGTGGTGGTGGGTGTGGATGCTCGGTGTCTCACCAGCATGCGTGTACGTTGTGAACTAGGTGGCCACATTCCCCAAACTCCTAGCCAACTCATAAGTTCCCTACCCTCACCTTACCTTACCCCGATCCTTCCCCCTTTCCCTTGCAGGTGGATGCTCGATTCCTCAGCAGCGTGCCAGGCGTGTATGCAGTGGGCGATGTGGCCACATTCCCCATGATCAAGTACGGCGATGAGAGGCGTGTGGAGCATGTCGACCATGCCAGGAAGTCTGTGCAGCAGGCAGTGAAGGTGCGTGTTCCTGAGTGACGAAAATGCATGGATGTAAAGGGCTTGAGTATGGCAATGAGAGGCGTGTGGAGCATGTGGATCACGCCAGGACGTCAGTGCAGCAGGCAGTGAAGGTGTGTGCATTTCAAACATGAGACTATGGCACTTCTAGCTGTCTGAAGAGGCGTGACCCATGATCAATGTATGTTGGTGAAAGGCGTGTGGAGCATGTGGACCATGCAAGGAAGCCTGTCCATCAGGCAGTGAAGGTTTGTGTGTCCTTCAAGCATGCTAGCAGTGTTCTTCTGCAATAGGCCTTCTGATGATGAAGAAGTATCGTGATGAGCTGTGCGCGGAGCATGAGGACCATGCGAGGAACCCACCTACCCTCCCACCTCTCCCCTATTCCCTCTCCCTCCGCACTCACTCCTCTCACTCACCCTCATTCATCCTCACACTCCCCCTCCCTCGCCAGGCAATCAAGGCAGCAGAAGCGGGGGAGCAGATAGCGGACTACGCCTACCTGCCCTACTTACTCCTACAACAAAGGAACTCACAACCCTCCTTCCCCTTCTACCCCTGCCCGCCTTCCACCCACATCCCCCAGGCAATCAAGGCAGCGGAAGCAGGGGAGCAGGTAGCGGACTACGCCTACCTGCCCTACTTCTACTCGCGCTCCTTCGACCTCTCCTGGCAGTTCTACGGTGACAACGTGGGCGACGCTGTGCACTATGGGCTCACGGACGGCAAGGCGGCTGGCGATGGGGCGGCGAAGTTCGGTGCATACTGGGTGAAGGACGGCAAGGTGGTCGGCGCGTTCCTGGAGGGTGGGAGTGCGGATGAGAACAAGGCGATCGCCAAGGTGGCTCAGGATCAGCCGGCAGTTGCGAGCCTAGAGGCTCTGGCAGGAGAGGGGCTGGGGTTTGCCCTTAAGGCTTGAGGATGTATTGCTGGTGGTAGAAGTGGCATTATGTTCTATAGCTTGGTATTATGATGTGCAGAACGACTAGTATGTATTGGAATGTAGGGTACTGTACATGTTTTGGAAATTATATCATAATGAAGTACACGGATATGTACACTAAAACTTCATATATCCACACAACATTATAATTTTTAAACACACATTGTGTTTTTTTAAATTGTGTATTGTGAAAGCGAAGCTGCTTGTACTGCACAATTGGCATCGTCGAAGCGCGCTAAACGCCCTTCTCCAACTACAAAAACCGTGGGTTGGAGCTCATTTCCCTCCACCCACGTTTCTCTATTTCAAACGGCTCACTCAACATTTCCGCTCACGTAGTCTTTCTCTCCTTCCAAGCTGGCTAGAACAAAATCGCTTCCTAGAGGCGAGTCACCCTCGACTTTACTTAGCGACATTTTTAACTTCAATCGATCAACGATGGCACCGACGACGACACTTAACAACGGGAACTCGTCCAACCCCGCTTCCGACTCCGACCGTAACACCCGCGATTTTGCGGGCGACCGCCGTAACAAGCGCCGGGCAGAAGATGGACCGCCCGCCCCGACTGCAGTGGACGTGCTGCTGGGCGGGCTCGAGGTCAACAAAAGTGCCGACGCCCAGCAGCACCCTTCGGCCCCTGTGGCGCCAGTGGCGCCTGTGGCACCTGCGGCGCAAGTGGCGACGGCAGCTGGCGCGGCACACGCACCTGACGCCGAGCACACGCCAGCACCCGCGGCTGGACCGTCGCGTCAGCGCCAGAGGAGGCGGACTGCGGTCTCCTCGTCTGACGCGACGACCGCCCCTGCACTGACGCAGGCGTTGACCCCGGACCAGGTCAACGCGCTGCTATCCCTTCTACAGCAGCAGCCCGTCAGCGTTACAGCTGCGGAAACTGCACTACCCGCTGCATCTGCGTCGGCTAAAAAAGAAAACGCGAAAAAGGAAAAAGGCACGCGAGGAGCACGTACGAACCGGCATGACAACGACGCAGCGACAGCCGCTCCCCCTGCTCCGGCGGTCGACAACGACACCGACGACTCTGAAGATGAAGCTGGTGAGGCTCCAGTCAACACTGCTAATTTTATTGGCACGGAAAACCTCCCCCCCCCTTCCTTCTTCTAACCTCACCTTTTCGGCGGCGACTTTCGTCAACGACTCTGTGCGAGAGCAAGCGGAGCTGCTGGAGGACTTGCGTGCGTACCTGCTGCACGCGGAATACAAGGCGCAGCGAGGCGACTCGGCGGGCGGACTCGAACTCATCTCACACGCGCTCAACCTCATCTCGGGGCGTTTCGAGGTGCTTCAAGTGGAGGACGCTTCCGACTTCCGCACGGCGAAACGCTTCAAACTGTACCAGCAGAAGAGCCTGCTGACCTCTCGACCCTTCAAGCAGGCGGTCGCGGATATGGCTGCAATGGACCGCGCGGCAAGTGCATACGCTCGTGTCACCCGCGGCGGAAACAACGGGCCGATGCCGTTCTTACCCAAGCGGGCCCCCCCGCCCACGGCCAATTGTCGTGGGTTTCGGGGCTCGTGCTTCCGCTGCGGCCAGCCGGGACATGTGGCAAGTGCCTGCCCTAGGAACGGGCATGGCGGCCAAGGACCCGCTCCGGTGGTGTAGGAGCGGGCCAAGGGATTAGGCGCCTTGGGCGCTAGGCACGGTGCACTCTTGAGTGCCGAAACCGTGGGCAGCCCTACGGGTTTGCGATGGCAAGAGGCCAGCCCTAGTGAAGGGTAGTAATAGGCTTTGGGCCTAGGATAGGGAAGGGGAACAACAACCCCTCGGTCCCATGTATTTGGCAACCCGGTGGGGTGATGAATGCTAGGAAGCATTGCAATGTGTGTTGGTTGATTTAATAAAAAGTTCCTGATTTACTATTTTGCAAAGAGCCTCTAGACACACAGAGGAGGTGCAGAGCATGAGAGAGAGAGAGGAAGAGAGAGAGAGAGAGAGAGAGAGAGAGAGAGAGAGAGAGAGAGAGAGAGAGAGAGAACAAGACAAAGCACGGTGGACACGCATGTCCATGGTTCAAAGCACCAGCCCACATGCACTAAAGGCATGCACAACCACGTCTTACCAAGTGGATGATAAGGCGAGCAAAAAAAAAAAAAAAAAAAAAAAAAGCGCGATGTGATGTATCGGAAAAAGGGCTAGCCACGGTGCTAGATGAGACAAAAAAAAAAAAAAAAAAAAAAAAGAGGAGGGGGTCCAGAGAGTGACACCTACTTGCCTACCATGATCAGGGTGCCCATGGAGCAAAAAAAAAAAAAAAAAAAAAAAAAAAAAAAAAAAAAAAAAAAAAAAAAAAAAAAAAAAAACCAAGAAGAAGAAGCGTCGGCGCGCGCACGACATATTTGTTGTCCTTTCGATAGATAGGCAATCTCATTCACACCATTGATCAACGATTGCACGTACATGCACACGCACATGCATGCGTCAAATGGAACTCCCAACCCTACCCCATTTGCCTCAATTACAGGAGCACGACAGTGCGAGGCGGTATGTTACGACGATCCGTATGAATTTGCCGTCACGGACAAAACCATTACACAAATGCGCGGTCGACTTCGTGCGACCTTTGCGTGGTGGAGCTCCTGGTGTCCCTGCAGCCTCGTCCTTTCCGTCATCGCCAGGGGTTATTGGCTACCATGGAGCCACGGCCCACCACAACCCTTCCACGATCGCAACCATGTCGGGGCAAACACGCATGCTACGTTCACGCGTACCGCTATCCAAGAACTCCTAGAGACCGGAGCAGCAGTCCAGATGCCCGCAACGGAGCTGACGTGTATAAGTCCACTCAATGTGGTCGAGCAAAAAGACAAATGCAGACTCATTCTTGATCTGCGGAAAGTCAACGCAAGCTTAATCGTCCCCAAGTTCAAGTACGAGGGGCTCAACCGCGTGGCGGACCTGGCACGCGTTGGGTATTGGATGTTCTCCATTGACCTTAAATCCGGTTACCACCACATCGACATCCACCCATCATGCTGGAAGTTCCTCGGCTTCGAATTTGGGAGGCGCACGTACGCATTTCGTTCACTGCCATTTGGCCTCGCGACAGCTCCATTCGTCTTCACGCAGCTCATCAAGCAACTGGCTCGGCGCTGGCGAGAACAAGGCATCCGAGTCATCCCTTACGTGGACGACATCTTATTCCTCTGTCAGTCGAAAGACCATGCGCAAGCGATCTGCCAGCGTGTGATATTGGACCTTAAAGAGGCAGGACTCGTGATAAACGCGAAGAAATCACAGCTGTCACCATCGCAACGCCTACGATTTTTGGGTGTAGAGTTGGAAACCGATACCGGTCGATTCTCCATCGGTCCCGACCGACGAGCCTCACTACATGCAACCATCCAAAACCACCTGAGCGCAAGCAAGGCATGCCGACCAGTCCCGGTCCGCCACGTGGCCAGAATCACAGGCATGCTCGCATCAATGGGGGTCGCACTTGGCGCGACCGCTCGCGCATTCAGCCACGCCATGTTACAAGTAATCAACGACGCACCGTCATGGAAAAGCAACGTGGTCATCCCCCCAGCCGCAGCAGAGGAGCTACACTTTTGGCTTGAGGAGTTCGACCGGTTCAACGGTGCACCTTTCCACGTCCGGAACAGCTACGATGCGGTAATTCATGTGGATGCCGGCTCTCATGGTTGGGGCGCCACTCTAACTACATTTCCGGGTGGCCTCGAAGAAGCGAGCGCAACCATGTCAGAGCCACTACAGGCAACGTCCAGCACGCGGATCGAAGGCGTCCTTTGGGCGCTCCAAACGTACGCCAACAAGATCAAGCAAAAACACGTTCTCGTGCGGGTGGACAACCAGGGCGTATTCTTCATCCTTCGCAAAGGCGGCTCTCACAGCTCTGACCTCACAATGGCTTGCAAAAGCATCATCCGAACATGCATGGGGCTCGGCACGCGCTTGATCATTGAATGGATCCCGCGAGAGCTCAACTCACATGCTGACGAGCTTTCAAAAATGGTCGGCCACGACGACTACGCGTTGAAGAAGCCGTGGTTTCGCATCTTAGAACGTCGTTGGGGTCCGCATTCCATCGACCTCTTTGCAAACTCTCACAACACCCAACTCTCGCGCTTTTGCACCAAGATCCCCCACCCGGAAGCCATCGCAGTTGATGCGTTCTCGATCGCATGGACAGCCGAAACAACTTCGCCTTCCCCCCACCCCAACTGGTCCCAGCCGTCCTCCACCATGCACAACGCACCCATGCATCACTCACATTAATAGTCCCGCACTGGCCAGGCGCAAGTTGGTGGCCACTTTTGCAACCCTCCCTATGTACTTGGGCTCCACACATCCACGCGCACATCCCTCTCACACACGGAAGCCAATGCCTAGATACAGGGTCCCATTCTACTGCCTTCTCGGGCACGGGACTACCGCATAGCCCAATCATTGCACTGCGAGTGGTATTTGACTAATGCATATTGTCCACTCCTGTGTTCAGATTTGCTCCCAAAGTTACACGACCAACTGATCAAAATGCTCGCGCAGTCACGCGCCGATTCTACGATCCGGACATACGAACCATACTGGGCCAAGTTTCGAGCATTTTGCACAAAAGTGGATCTCTCCTTTCTTCCAGCTTCCGACATGACACTCGCACTATACCTGGTTCATGCAATCCGACGCAAAGCCACCCTGTCCGTAGTGCAGCTGACGTGCTCGGCAGTAAGCTTCGCCCATCGCATGACTGGGAACAAATGCCCAACAATCGGTCCGTTTACCACCCAAGTCCGCGACTGTGCAAAACGACACTGCCCCCGCCCTACTCGTCTGAAGGAACCCGTATCGATCCAACAAGTCCGCGACATGGCCGGGAGTTACCTGCAGTCTGACGACCCTGCGGAATTTCAGAAAGGGCTGATCCCCATCCTCATGTACTCAGGATTTCTGCGATACTCCGACCTAGTGGCCATACAATGGCAAGACATCCAATTCGACGAAGAGGTCATGTGGATCCTCATACCACACTCTAAGACCGATCAGGCCGGTCACGGAACATGGATACCCATTGCAGCAACGACAGACCCTTGTTGCCCAGTGCGCTGCACCCGACGCTTCATCCAACTCGCCGGCTATGGTCCTCAGTCAGAGGGACCGTTGATTCGTGTCTTCGGGCACGCTTCAAGCAGCAAAGGCCAAGCGAAGCCGCCTTCATACACTACAATTCGGAACTGGTGTAAGGAAGCTTTCGCAAAAGTTGGTCTGGGAGAGCTGCAGCTCGGCACTCACTCTTTCCGAAAAGGCGCGGCCACAGTAGCAGCCAACACTGGAGTGCCAGACAGAGTCTTCAAACGGCTGGGCAGATGGCGAAGCGACACAGCTAAGGAAATGTACGTCACGCCATACGTCGAGCCTCTCATCACAGCATCCCGCAACCTGCAAGATCCGACGCAGGCGGTGTCTTCGGCGCAACACACAGAGGCGCTCGTACGCCATAGGAGGCCCCCGCTGCCCATGTCTCAGAGACCCCAGTTGTAATGAGAACGATGCCAATTGATAAAAATATGAAAGCAAGCTTTCTCAATATTATAATTTTTAAACACACATTGTGTTTTTTAAATTTGTGTATTGTGAAAGCGAAGCTGCTTGTACTGCACAATTGGCATCGTCGAAGCGCGCTAAACGCTTCTCCAACTACAAAAACCGTGGGTTGGAGCTCATTTCCCTCCACCCACGTTTCTCTATTTCAAACGGCTCACTCAACATCCCCACCACCCACCCCAGCGTAGAACGCCTTGCTAATGCCACTTGGATAGGGTACATCTTAGCTAGGGATATTAGCATGCACTAGCTTGTGTTCAATCTCGATGCAAATGTTGTAATAAGCCAGTTGTAATGAGAACGATGCCCAGTTGTAATGAGAACGATGCCAATTGATAAAAATAAGAAAGCAAGCTTTCTCAATGCCAGACTTTAATGTACATTGCAGTCACTGGTATGCAAATCACAACCTGACACCACCTTATCAAGCACAACCAGTGAAGAATCTGGAGTTCAAATGAAAAGTAGCGTTTGTCAGCATCCCTGGAGGCAATTTCACCTATGGAAGAGTTTCACCTGGGGTCTGCAGAATCTAGTGATTGTCAATCTGTCAAGCACCTGGGAAGGTGAGCTTGATGAAGTCCTGCGCATGGGGTCGACGGCAGATATGTGTGGCCGCGTCGATGAGTAGGCGAGTAGATGAGTGGATGAGAGACGTCTCAAAAGAGGCGACAACAGATTGTCAAGTCAAGCAGTGGGGAAGGTGAATTTGATTAAGTCCTGCAAGCGCGAGGCGTAGAGCGTGGGGTCGACAGCTGAGATGGAGTGGCTGCCGTACTGAATGGCCTTTATGTGAGACATCTCAAGAAAAAGGCTCAAGCAATGGTTGTCAAGCAGTGGGGAAGGTGAGTTTGATGAGGTCCTGCAAGCGCGAGGCGTAGAGCGTGGGGTCGACAGCTGAGATGGAGTGGCTGCCGTACTGAATGGCCTTTATGTGAGACGTCTCAAGAAAAAGGCTCAAGCAATGGTTGTCAAGCAGTGGGGAAGGTGAGCTTGATGAAGTCTTGAAAGCGTGAGGCATAGAGCATGGGGTCAACGGCAGAAATGGAGTGGCTGTCGTACTGAATGGACTTGTAGAAATGCTCCACCTTCTTCGTGTAGTCGTACTCCTGTGGTGCAGTGCGGTACGGGGTGGTTGGGGGGGTGGTTGGTTGCTGAGATGCTTTTTGGGATTCCAAGGTGCGATTACGGGTTGACTGAGTGAACGGGAAGAGACAATAAAGGACTCAGTGTAATGGTTGCACAAGAGCACATGCGCATTCACCTGTGGGAGATACATGCACAGCCCCCCACATCCACAGACTTCCACACCCACACCCACACCCACACCCACACCCACACCCACACCCACACACACCCACACACACCCACACACAACCACACACACCCACACACCCACACACACCCACACACACCCACACACAACCACACACACCCACACACAACCACACACACCCACACACAACCACACACAACCACACACACCCACACACACCCACACACACTCACACACAACCACACACACTCACACACAACCACACACACCCACCTGCAGGATATCAATGATGCTGAAGTACAGCACCACCTTGTATGCCTCTGCCCAGGTGGGGTCTCTGATCGGCCTCCCACGGTCATACAGGCCGGCTGGCCCACACTGTCTCTACCTCTCAAAGCCTTTCGTCACACTCCCACACACAGTCACACCCACGCACCCACCCTTCTCCATTTCTCGCACGCACAAATCCCACACCCACCCACCCACCTGCAGGATATCAATGATGCCAAAGTACAGCACCACCTCATACGCCTCTGCTCTCGTGGGATCCCTGATTGGCCGCCTGCTCCTCCTGTCCAACCGCACTGCCGTCGCTGCCATGCCCTGCCCTAGCACTGCCTCTGCCCCCCTCCCCTGCTGCTGCTGCCCATACTGCCCCAGCATCCCCACCATCCCCCTCCCCTGCCTCTGCGCATGTGAGAGTGCGTGAACCGGCTGCTGTGCTGCCATTGATAGCGCCTCAGCTGCTTGCCTGGGGTGCTGCTGCAGCTCCTGCTGCTGCTGCCCCTGTTCCCCCGGCCCCTGCGCCTGCTCGCCGTGCCCGCCCTCATCCTGCTGTGGTTGCACCTGTACCTTCCCCAGCACTGGTTGCAACCACGGGCTAGCAGGCACAGACAGCCCCCCCCCTCGCTTCACATGGCTCTGCCTTTTGGGTGTGGGGGAGCGTAACGCCCCCACTAGTGCAGACAGGCCGAATCTGGGGGAGGGAGGCTTGGTGGAAGTGGCAGTGGCAGAGGCATTAGCACTGGCAGCGGCACTGACAGAGGCAGATCCGGCGGCGCCGGCGTTTCCAGGAGCGGCAGGCGGTGCTGGGAGGGGGTTGGAGGCGGGAGTGCCTGGGGAAAAACCTGAGAAGGTTGCTTCAGGTGCCGTGGCGGAAGGGGGGATGGTGAGAGGTGGTGGGTCTGGGTGTGTGTGGCTTAATCTGGCAAAGACTGAATAGCAGGTCATCTCTCCACTATGGGGGATGCTGGACCCGCCTCCCCCTGCCCCTCCCCCTTCAATACCACCCCCCGCTTCCCCTTCCCCTCCCCTTCCCCTTCCGACTCCCCCACCAGCACCAGTGGTATCCAGCTGGTTGGTCTGAGCAGCAGCAAGGGGATGGGGCTGGGGCGTTTGCGGCGCCCCAGAGGCTTGGGGCTGCAAGAAAGGGCTGGCTTGGGTGCCTGGACGCAAGAAAGGGCTGGCTTGGGTGCCAGGGCGCAAGGAGGAGAGCAGATGAGCGACATTGTCAGAGGAGTGGCGGATAATGGGTGCTCCATCACTCGTGACTGCCCTCCTGGCCCGCACTGACTGGGTGGCCTGGCTGCTCGAGCTCTGTGTGTATTGCGTGTGTCGCACGTGCTGCTGCTGATGATGAGGGTGCTGCTGCTGCCACGGCCGGAAGAGGCGGCGCCAGGTTTGAGACGAGGGGGAAAATCGGCCGATCCATGCAGATTGGCTGCCTGTCGCTGCTGGTGATGGCGGTGGTGGTGCTGCTGCTGTTGTAGCTTGTGATGCTGCTGCTGCTGCTGCGGCTGGTGGTGGCGGTGGTTGCAGTGAAGACGGGTACAGCTCAGGAGGGGGAAGTGGAGAAGGGGGAGAGAGGGGGAGATGAGGACTCAACCCCCCTTGAAGAGGAGAGTTCAGCATTCCCCCCCTCACCGCATCCCCCCCCATCACACACCCATCACTCACCCTCTCCCCTCCCACTGCTTCTGCCTGCTGCCCCAACGAACACCCTTCTCTTCTGCACTCCGCCTCACCCCCTACACCGCCCGTACCTATTCTTGCTTCCTGGCATCCGAGCCTCTCCTGCAGGTTCGGCGGCCCAGGCTCGGCAGGCCCGAATAGAGCAAGATTCTCGTGGGAGTTTGGGGCTGAACGGGGCTTTCTAAGCCGGCTGCCGAACCTCTTCCCTCTGCTCACCTTCCCTACGGGACCCCCAGCTCCCCCAAGCCCTTTCTTCCTCCCACTCATTGAACCTGCCCCTACTTTGTTTGCTGCTTCCAAATCAACATCCTCAGCTGCTCCCCCTTCCCCTCCCGCTTCCCCTACCCCTCTCACTCCACCACCCCCTTTTCCTCCTCCCCCTCCTTCGCTTCCTGTCCCCCCTCCCTTCCCCTCACTAGCCCAAGGTGGCAATGGCTGAGGCTCAGACCCAGGAGTATAAACGCCCTCTTCCCCCTCCTCCACACTCACTCCCCCCACCCCCACACTCACTCCTCCCACTCCCCCACCTGCTCCCTCTCCCCCACCCCCTCCCCCGACCACCCCACCTCCGAACTGCATAAGCAACCCGTTTGCCCCTCCCATTGGGGGTTCATGCGCGGAAAACAGGAGCGCGGAGGAGGAGGAGGACTTGGGGAAGGGGAAGGGGAGAGCAGAGGCGGAGGAGGAGGAGGTGGGGGGAAGGAAGGCCTCAGGACCTGTGACCTTGCCTTCAGCGATGGTGACTATAGGGGGGGGCGGGTCTGTGGCTCGAAAATGCACTCCTAATAGGAGACTGTAATCCATGATGCGTTGGGACTGCAGGAAGTGGCAATCCGCTGCCATTTGCCTGCAAGGGAGGGGGACCGAGCGGGAAAAGATGGGTCTATATGGCTCTGAAATGCACTCCCAAGAGGAGACTGTAATCCATGATGCGCTGGGACTGGAGGAAATGACAATCCGCTGCCATTTGCATGGAAAAAAGGGAAAAGGGGAAAAAAGGGGGTGTAAGAAGGAAAGAAGGTAAGGAGTTATGTGATGTTGTGCAGGCATCCACCAAAATGTGCGCCAGCAGCAGTGCACATTCAGATCTGCCAGCAGCAGCAAGCACATTCAGATCTGCCAGATTTGGCACCAAAATGCGCCAAAATGCGCCAAAATGCGCGCCAGCAGCAAGCTGAAGTGCATGATGCGCTGACAGACACTGCACGGAACGGAACGGCAATCCGCTGATATACACACTTCAGCAACGCGGGACTCTCTATTACCCATGCAGCCGGAATGCGGGTCTTTCAATGTCATGGTCTCATCGATCGCCACCTTGACCATGCTGCGCCCCTGTGAGGAGCCCTTGAGGTAAAAAAAGGCACACCCCTTCCATGCCCACACGCACCTTAGTAAGAGGTCTCTCCATCCCCCGTGCAACCGGAACGCCAGGTCCAGGTCCAAGTCTTTGAGTGTCATGGTCTCATCAATCGCCACCTTGTCCATGCTGCGCCCCTGTGAGGAGCCCTTGAGGTCGAAGCGACGGTGCAGACGCACGTCGGAATTGAAGAGGTTTCCCATCACCACAAATCGGATCATGGTGCTGCCCTGCAGGGGTGGCGAACGGGGGAGGGTTGAAAGGAGGAAGGGATCAATGAGAGAGGCGTGGGAGGGGAAGAGTGGTGCAGACACACATGGGAGTTTAAGAGGTTTCAAATCACCACGAATCGGATCACGGTGCTGCCCTGCAGGGGTGGAAGGGTTATAAGGGGGGAAGAAGGAGGATAAGGGAGCAATGAGGGAGAGGTGGGAGGGGACGGAGCAGTGCAAACGAGGGTCAGAGTTGAAGAGGCAGTCCATCCAGATACTCTTTAACCACACTACAGACACGCATGCACACATGTTGTGCCACAGCCACCAGCACAGGACAGGTGAAGTGACGGGCTCACGGTGGAGGGCTTGTAGATCTTGCAGCTGTGGAGGCCGAAGAACTTGGTGAGGAGGGTGTGCTCGTACTGCTTCACGTGCTCGTGGTATGCTGGGAGCATTCGCAGGAGCACCTGGGAAGAATGGGAAGGGTGACAAGGAGAAAAGAAGAGAGCGTTGTGATGGCGCACCGGTATGCTCGCCTTGTGGGGCGGGGCGCCCTCAGAGAGCACCATTCTAGTCGCATCATTCGTCTGACACGCTCGCAGCGTGCTAGTGGATATTCACCTCAAAGACTGTCATAAGAGATATTTGTCGCGGCATTATCATTATTTTGTGCTGCCACTACAAATGCTGCCTTTATTCCACATCGGTATCTGCATTACAAATACCCAAAACGCAATGCGTCCAGATACTCACGTGCACTTCGGCTCGGCGACACATGGTCTTGATGATGAATCGATCGTCGTGGGAGAGATAGAAGACAGACGCTGCCCGACTTGTCTAAAGGCTGCTTGATGCCCTCTAATGCTTGCAGTCGCACCGCTCTGCACCGCTTAGCACCGCAACGGACCCTACCAAACTGCACCTAAACACTCACATGTACTTCGGCTCGGCGCATGGTTTTGATAATAAAACGATCGTCGTGGGAGAGATAGAAGACGCTGCCCGACTTGCCCGGGGATGAGAGCTCCCTCAATGCCGTGTCGCCGCACAGCGATAGCATGTAGTCTGAAGGGTCCACTCCGAACAGCGCTCGCAGTTCTCTGGGAAATGTTGAGGGGAAGGAGTTGAAGGGAAGAGGATGAGAGAGATAGATGACATGGTGCGGGTGAGTGATCTGGGAGCCCTCCGGAAAGGAGTGATCGTATGCACACAACAGATGGGAGAATCTTACGCACCTGAAGACGGCGGGACAGAAATCCCGCCATTTGAAGGGCGCCACTTGGTGCGGGGGAGTGATCTGAGAGCCCTCCGGAGGGAAAGCGCACATCTGAAGAGAGAACCTTAAACCCTGAAGGCAACAGCAACGAGCGCCTTACGCACCTGAATACAGCGGGACAAAAGTCGCGCCACTTGAAAGGCGCCACTTGGTGCGGGGGAGTGATCTGAGAGCCCTCTGGGGGGAAGCGCACGGCCCTTGGGCCCGCGTGCTGCGAGAAGTCACTTTCTCTCAACTCCCTCACTGAATCGAGCCCCATGCGACCTATGGAGTAGCTGTGCGTGGGGGGGGTGGTGGAGGAGAGGGGGAACAGATGAAGGAGGCCGGTTAAGGAGAGAAAGAGTACTGGCTGCGTGCGTGTTGCGGGAAAATGATTTCTCTCAGCTCTCTCACTGAATCCAGCCCCATGCGACCAAAGGAGTAGCTGGGGTGGGGGGTTTGGTGGCAGGGTAGGAGGAGAGAATGGATAGTCGCTGGGTGCTGGAAAAACTCACTCTCTCTCAACTTTGCATAGAAACTAGCCCCCCTTCCCTCCCTCCTTGACACACTACTCAGCACCTTAACACTCCACGCAGCACAGAGTAATGGGCAAGCGTCACTCCAAGCCAGTCTCATCTCACTGTAAGCCGAGCTGCAGGGTGATCATGAGGTCATTGAACAGATGGCCCTCGTAAATCAACTCGCCCACCTTCCCTGCTTGACACTCCAGCAAGTCAGCAAGTCTCATTTCAAGACAGCGAGTCTCGCCGCAAGCCGAGTTGCAGGGTGACCATGAGGTCGTAGGAGAGATGCCCCTTGTATATCAACTCGTCTCGTCTCCCTTCCCTCATTCACACTCCACTCAGCACCTCAACACTAAATGCAACACAGAATGGGTAGCAAGTCTCATTCCGAGCAAGTCTCACCGCAAGCCGAGCTGCAGGGTGACCATGAGGTCATAGGACAGATGGCCCTTGTATATCAACTCGGCCGCCTTCAGTGATTTACGCTCCACCACACACTAACTCAACACTCCATGCAACAAAGAGTGACCAGGAAGCCAGCATGTCTCACCACACCCACAGCCACTCTCACCGCAGGCCGAGTTGCAGGGTGACCATGAGGTCGTACGACAGATGGCCCTTGTATATCAACTTGGCCGCCTTCAGTGATTTACGCTCCACCACACACTAACTCAACACTCCATGCAACAAAGAGTGACCAGGAAGCCAGCATGTCTCACCACACCCACAGCCACTCTCACCGCAGGCCGAGTTGCAGGGTGACCATGAGGTCGTACGACAGATGGCCCTTGTATATCAACTCGGCCGCCTTCAGTGATTTACGCTCCACCACACACTAACTCAACACTCCATGCAACAAAGAGTGACCAGGAAGCCAGCATGTCTCACCACACCCACAGCCACTCTCACCGCAGGCCGAGTTGCAGGGTGACCATGAGGTCGTACGACAGATGGCCCTTGTATATCAACTCGGCCGCCTTCAGTGATTTACGCTCCACCACACACTAACTCAACACTCCATGCAACAAAGAGTGACCAGGAAGCCAGCATGTCTCACCACACCCACAGCCACTCTCACCGCAGGCCGAGTTGCAGGGTGACCATGAGGTCGTACGACAGATGGCCCTTGTATATCAACTCGGCCGCCTTCAGTGATTTACGCTCCACCACACACTAACTCAACACTCCATGCAACAAAGAGTGACCAGGAAGCCAGCATGTCTCACCACACCCACAGCCACTCTCACCGCAGGCCGAGTTGCAGGGTGACCATGAGGTCGTACGACAGATGGCCCTTGTATATCAACTCGGCCGCCTTCAGTGATTTACGCTCCACCACACACTAACTCAACACTCCATGCAACAAAGAGTGACCAGGAAGCCAGCATGTCTCACCACACCCACAGCCACTCTCACCGCAGGCCGAGTTGCAGGGTGACCATGAGGTCGTACGACAGATGGCCCTTGTATATCAACTCGGCCGCCTTCAGTGATTTACGCTCCACCACACACTAACTCAACACTCCATGCAACAAAGAGTGACCAGGAAGCCAGCATGTCTCACCACACCCACAGCCACCCTCACCGCAGGCCGAGTTGCAGGGTGACCATGAGGTCGTACGACAGATGGCCCTTGTATATCAACTCGGCCGCCTTCAGTGATTTACGCTCCACCACACACTAACTCAACACTCCATGCAACAAAGAGTGACCAGGAAGCCAGCATGTCTCACCACACCCACAGCCACTCTCACCGCAGGCCGAGTTGCAGGGTGACCATGAGGTCGTACGACAGATGGCCCTTGTATATCAACTCGGCCGCCTTCAGTGATCTACGCTCCACCACACACTAACTCAACACTCCATGCAACAAAGAGTGACCAGGAAGCCAGCATGTCTCACCACACCCACAGCCACTCTCACCGCAGGCCGAGTTGCAGGGTGACCATGAGGTCGTACGACAGATGGCCCTTGTATATCAACTCGGCCGCCTTCAGTGATTTACGCTCCACCACACACTAACTCAACACTCCATGCAACAAAGAGTGACCAGGAAGCCAGCATGTCTCACCACACCCACAGCCACTCTCACCGCAGGCCGAGTTGCAGGGTGACCATGAGGTCGTACGACAGATGGCCCTTGTATATCAACTCGGCCGCCTTCAGTGATTTACGCTCCACCACACACTAACTCAACACTCCATGCAACAAAGAGTGACCAGGAAGCCAGCATGTCTCACCACACCCACAGCCAGTCTCACCGCAGGCCGAGTTGCAGGGTGACCATGAGGTCGTACGACAGATGGCCCTTGTATATCAACTCGGCCGCCTTCAGTGATTTACGCTCCACCACACACTAACTCAACACTCCATGCAACAAAGAGTGACCAGGAAGCCAGCATGTCTCACCACACCCACAGCCAGTCTCACTGCAGGCCGAGTTGCAGGGTGACCATGAGGTCGTACGACAGATGGCCCTTGTATATCAACTCGGCCGCCTTCAGTGATCTACGCTCCACCACACACTAACTCAACACTCCATGCAACAAAGAGTGACCAGGAAGCCAGCATGTCTCACCACACCCACAGCCAGTCTCACCGCAGGCCGAGTTGCAGGGTGACCATGAGGTCGTACGACAGATGGCCCTTGTATATCAACTCGGCCGCCTTCAGTGATTTACGCTCCACCACACACTAACTCAACACTCCATGCAACAAAGAGTGACCAGGAAGCCAGCATGTCTCACCACACCCACAGCCAGTCTCACCGCAGGCCGAGTTGCAGGGTGACCATGAGGTCGTACGACAGATGGCCCTTGTATATCAACTCGGCCGCCTTCAGTGATTTACGCTCCACCACACACTAACTCAACACTCCATGCAACAAAGAGTGACCAGGAAGCCAGCATGTCTCACCACACCCACAGCCAGTCTCACTGCAGGCCGAGTTGCAGGGTGACCATGAGGTCGTACGACAGATGGCCCTTGTATATCAACTCGGCCGCCTTCAGTGATCTACGCTCCACCACACACTAACTCAACACTCCATGCAACAAAGAGGGACCAGGAAGCCAGCATGTCTCACCACACCCACAGCCAGTCTCACCGCAGGCCGAGTTGCAGGGTGACCATGAGGTCGTACGACAGATGGCCCTTGTATATCAACTCGGCCGCCTTCAGTGATTTACGCTCCACCACACACTAACTCAACACTCCATGCAACAAAGAGTGACCAGGAAGCCAGCATGTCTCACCACACCCACAGCCAGTCTCACCGCAGGCCGAGTTGCAGGGTGACCATGAGGTCGTACGACAGATGGCCCTTGTATATCAACTCGGCCGCCTTCAGTGATCTACGCTCCACCACACACTAACTCAACACTCCATGCAACAAAGAGTGACCAGGAAGCCAGCATGTCTCACCACACCCACAGCCAGTCTCACCGCAGGCCGAGTTGCAGGGTGACCATGAGGTCGTACGACAGATGGCCCTTGTATATCAACTCGCCCGCCTTCTTGCCCTCCCGCCTTGGCCCCTTGTTCCGCTGCAAATGGGAGGACAAACGGAGGGGACGAATGCAGGGGAGGTGAGGTGGAGGTGACTGAAAAGCAGGAGGAATGGGGCAAAAAATGGGAGAGTAAGAGAAGAACAATTTGCCTGCAGTGCTTCTCCCATGCTCTCCCATGCTCTCCCATGCTCTCCCATGCTCTCCCATGCTCTCCCATGCTCTCCCTGCTGCCCTTTCCTGCACAGTCAATTCACAGGTAGCACTAACGAATTACTCACGGGCAGCACGGTGTTGTCGCTCTTAGCCGTCTCGGACACAAGCACACCTTGTACATACTCCCTCACCAACACCGTTCCCCTCCTCGTGCTTGCTTTTTGCCTGCTGCCCCCTGGTCCTGCCCCTGTGGGCCCTCCCACTGACTGGCTCGTGCTGAACATGGGAGAGGTGATGAGCGATGCTGATGCTGACCCCTCGCCACCTGCACGCATGGAGAAGAGGTGGGAACGCGAGGAAATGGGAGGGAGAAGAGGTGGTGGGCGAAGAGGTGGGGAGAAGACGTGGGGAGACGAGGTGAGGAAACGAGGTGAAGGGAGAGGTGAGGGATAGCATACGCATCCCCTCACCTCGCACACCCAATCACCTCCTTTAAACCCACTACTACACACACACCCACCCAGCCCCACCACACACCCCCTTACCTCGCACACAACCCCTCACCTCGCACTCAACCCCTCACCTCGCACTCAACCCCTCACCTCGCACTCAACCCCTCACCTCGCACTCAACCCCTCACCTCGCACTCAACCCCTCACCTCGCACGCCAGCAGTGTCAGAAGCAACTCGGATGCACAGCGGGCCAGATGGAGACACCTCTTTACTCGCCACCCCTCCCCCTGGCTCAAGATACCCCACCACTCTCCGCCCCGGCTCAGAAGATGCCACGCCTCCCCGCCCGGGCTCATGAGATGCCAAACCTCCCCGCCCAGGCTCGTGGTAAGCCACACTGCGGCCCGGCACAGGGCCCATAGTCACCAGCCTCGCCATCTTGTGCTGCTTCGCTGTACCCCCTGCACTCCCTCCCATGCTCCCTCCCACGCTCCCTCCCACGCTCCCTCCCACGCCCCCTGCTGCAGTCACCCCCGCACCCGCTGCTGCGCTCCCCTTCTCTCCCGCTCTACTCACCCCTTCTGCTGCTTGCATTCCCCCCTCTTCTGTTCCAATCCCCCCTGTACCTGCTCCCGTCACACCCTCACCTCGCCCCCCTTCCTTCAATCTACTTGCCCCTTGCTGACTCTCCCTACTGGTCTCATGCTGTCTCTTCACTCCCACACCTCCTGCTGCTGCTGCCACTGCAGCAGCTGCAGTTGTAAACACCGCAGCCGCGCCTGCTGCTACGGCTGTTGCTGCAGCTCCTGCGACCGCTGCCGTAGCTGCTGCTCCTGCTGCCACTCCCATGCCAGAGTGAGCAGGCTGCCACGGCTCCCTAGGACTCCTCTCCCTTCTCGCTGCCTCGTCCAAATCCCGAACGTGGCCTGGAGACACTAGGCTCGGCGTCAGGCTCAGTGAACCTAGGTTCGGCACCTGCAGGCTCGGCGGCCGCACTGCATGCTGCCGAGCCTGCGGAGCAAGGCCAGGCACGGAGCTAGAAGTCTCTGATACTTCCTCGGGTGCCGTTGCTACTGCGTCGATTGCTGCTTCTGCTGATGCTGCTGCTGCTGGCAAGCCTGCTTGTGGTGTTTCTGCAGCAACTGCAGCTGTACTAACCGCTTCCAGACCTGCTTCTCCTCCCTCCGCAGTTCCAGCTGATGCTGCTGCTGCTGCTGAACCTCCCGGGCCTTCGATTGCCACTCCTACACGCCCTCTTGCACCTCTGCCCTTCCCTTCCTCTTCGCCTTCCTCCTCCCCTTCCTCTCGTGCTTCCCTCATGCCCACGGCTCTCCTCACCCCCTCTCGGCCTTCCTTTTCCTCTCCATAACCCTCAGAAGATGAATCATCTGATTCCACCTCCTCCTCATCCTCCTCCTCCCCTTCTGTTTCAGACCCATTTGCTTCCTCCTCCTCTTCCTCCGCTTCCTCCCCTTCCTCCCTTTCCTCCTCCTCATTCTCCTCTCCCTCCTCACCCTCTGCATCATCCCCCCCACCGCCCACACTCTCACTCTCCTCCTCTATCACACCATCGAAATCCCCTTCTCCATTACTTGCTGTACGAGTTGTCTTTGAATCCTCATAGATCCGTCCGTGACTAATCCAACCCAATCCGCCCCTCCCTCTCCTCCCTCTCGTCCCCCAACCAACCCCACCTTCCCCCCCATCCTCCTCCCCTCCCAGAACACTCTCCACCCACTCACTCGCAACCCGGACCTCCGACCGAGCCTCTGTCCGACCCTCCACCCGAGCTTCGGACCGAGCCTCTCTCCCAGTCCGGAAGCTCCCCCAGACCTTCCTAGCGTCAACAGGTTTGAGTTTCAGCAGCCGGTCATCCCTCAAACTCAGACTCTTACCCGCCAAAGGCAGCCCACCCCTTCTACCTGCCCCCTCTTCTGCAATCCCTCTCCCTCCTTCCATTCCCCTCACTCTCCCCACTCCACTCAACCCCTTACTCTTCCATTCACCTGGCGTCCGTCCCCCCTCTGCCAACCCCTCAGGCTCCAGAACACCGAGTATAGCACCACTGTCCGTCCCACTCCTCCTGATACCACCGCCACTACCCAAACCACCCTCACCGTTAATCTCGCCCTCAACACCACCACTACCATTACCATAACCATTACCACCATCAGTGGGACTCTGACCATAGCTCCCAGTGCGCAACATTCTCAGGTCTCGCAGCGGCTTTTGAGACGACTCAAAAGTCACCTCACCATCACTGGGACTCAGGCCATAGCTCTGACCATAACTCCCAGTGCGTAGCAGTCTCAGGGCTCGCAGAGGGCCACTCCAAAGCTGCTCCTGCTGTGCTGCCTGCTGTCCTAACTCCTGGTCTAGCGCCCTTGTCCCCTCTACAAGCTGCCTCTCTATGCTCACTCGCCGCGCCCACTCCGCTATCCGCTGCGTCGGCGTGCCCAGAGTCGTACCGGCAGTTGTAACCGTAGGTGTACCCGCAGATGTAACCGTGAGGGTACCAGCGGATGTGACTGTGGGTGTACCCGCACTAATAACCGTAGGTGTACCCGCACTTGTAACCATAGGTGTACCAGTAGTTGTAACCACAGGCGTCCGCTCAGGGAAGGAGGCGGAGTGGGGAAGGGACGATTCAGCTGAGCCTAGCCTCCTGTGAGCGGCCAACCCGCACACAGGTTCGCCTAAAGCAGCTTCAACTGTGTCACTCTCATTACTGGCATCATTCCCGCTTCTCCTCCTTCGCAGGGGTTGATGAGCGGAAGCGGTATTAGCAGCAATTGTGGCACTAACAGCAGATGCGGTATTTGCAGCAAACGAGGTATTCGCAGCCGAAGATTTATCACCAGTGCTAGCACGTGACACGCGACGGCCAGTGCCGGTAGAAGCGCTGCTGTTGCTGTTGCTGCTGCTGATGCTGCTGCCGCTACGCTGAACGGGCTCTGAAATCGGGGTGTGGAGAGTGGTATTGCCAGCAGTAGCAGCAGCAGCAGCAGTAGCCAGGGTGAGGAGACCAGTATTGCCAGCAGTTGCAGCAGCAGAAGCATCGGGAGGGAGAGGGGTAGTAAGGGGAGACGAGATGAGCCGTGGTGCCTGTGTTGCAGCGAGTGTGGTATCAGAGCCTGCAAGGCTTGAGACAGCGACAGGCAGAGCACTGGGCACGCAGATGAGCTCTTGCTCTTGCTGCTCCTCTTGGGCCCCCTGTTGCTCATCCCCCTGCGGCTGCTCCCCGTGCTGCTGCCCCCCTTTCCACCCCACCTCGGATTCACAACCACCCTCCGCCCTCCCACTCCCGCCCTCAACGTTCCCACTCCCACCCCCGCCATGGCCTATCCCCTGCTCCGCCAAACCACGAGCCACGGATTCCCCCGGGCCAGCCACCGGACCTCCGGCTTCTACCAAGCCTGCAGAACCGACCAGTGCCGAACCTGTGTTGGAGGTTCGGTTCTTGCTGCTGCTAACATAGCTGTCATGCGAAACAGCTCTTGGCACCTTCCCTTGCTCCGAACCTTCCAATGCCCCACATTCGCTCTGCCCTTCCCTCCCTCCCTCCCCTTCTCTCCCTCCTCTCTCTCTATCTCCTCTCTCTCGTCCTCCCCCCTCCGCTTCCCTCCTCTGTCCCTCATCCCCACTCCCCTCACTATCCCACGTCACACACTCCCTCTCCCCCCCACTCGACCACCTCCCCACCTCCGCCTCCCCTTCCGCCCCCTCTTCCCCCGATCTACCCCCTCCAAGCATCCCATCCTCGGACCTATACCCCGCAGGGTAAAACACCCCTTTCCCATCCTTCAACCCATGGCTCCACGTCCCCTCATACCGACTCCCATCCGCCCATACAAACGTCCCCGGCCCGTGCTCATACCCGCCCTCCCACTCCCCCTCAAATCTATCCCCACTCGCCCAAGCAAACGCGCCAAATCCGCTCATGGTCCCGGCCTTCCACTCCCCGAAATACTCGTTTCCGTTCCGCCATTTGTACCGCCCAGGACCTTCCGCCGCGCCCCAGCTCCAGAACCCCTCGTACGAATCCCCGTTAGGGTAAATTTTCCTGCCCAGCCCGTGCTTTATTCCGGCTGCCCAATTTCCCGTGTAAAAAGACCCGTCCGCGCCCCAATACGTCCCCACTCCTTGCATTTGCCCTTTTTTCCATTCGCCCTGATATCTCGCCCCGGACGGCCATAAAAACATTCCCTGCCCGTTTTTCTGCCCCTTGACCCACTCCCCCTCGTACACGCTCCCGTCGCCCCAGGTGTAACATCCGAGGCCGTGTGGTAACCCGCCACCGACGAGTAACCATCCGCCGTAGTACGTGTCGTCGTTGGGGAATTCTTTCGCCACCTCGATCGCCTCGTCGCGCGCCTTGGGCCACACGGAGCCGAACGACAGGCGCGCGGTCGGTGCGGGGGAGCTGCGCGGAGGCGCAAATCCCGCGGACGGCGCGGGAGGGGGCGGGGGCGCAAGGGGGCTGGCGGAGTGAGAGGCGGGAAGATGGGGCGCGGCGGGGGAAGCGATGGGAGTCATGGAGCCGGAACCGGGACCGGCGGAGGCGGAAGGCCGCGATGATTGTAAATTTGGAACAGACGGGCTTAAATGGACGGCCGCAGATGATGCAAGCTGTGCTGATCTGCCATCTGAGCCGCTGGTTGCGCGTACCATGGCGCACGACTAACACTGAACGGCGGTGGAGTAGAGGACGCAGTGGTCGAGTTTTAACGAGTGAATTCTTGGAATCAAAGCGACGAGAAAGCGAAAGGGCATGATTCGCTGGTTTAGGGTGTCAGTCGCTGTCAGTTGCTAGTGAGCTATTAGCAGCATCACATGGCATCATCTGCCATCACGATGCGTACAAGGTAAACTAGAAAGAAAACCTAAAAACATGGTAAATTTGTTTTTGCCCCCTCCACGTGCGGGGATAGCTCAGTTGGGAGAGCGTCAGACTGAAGATCTGAAGGTCGCGTGTTCGATCCACGCTCACCGCATCGCACTTTGGAGCGATATCTAGGTTTTTAAAGGGAGCCGTGTTTACACCTGTTCGGTTTCCATATTGCTTATCCTTCCAAGAAAATGAAGTGTAATTAAGATATAGAGAGATGTTGCCTTTTGCTCGAAAGAATGATGGCGCATGTCATAAGAGCATTACCTTTGACGATTCTAATTATGCTCTTGCACTTTTCCTCCAAAATCTGGTAAAACTATTTCAAATGCGCTTCTTCAGAAACGACAGGTCACTCTAGTTACAGAAAAATATGCTGTGTTACAGAGTAAACATAAGTTGATTCAGTCTGTACCGGATCCATGATTCCTTGACCACACAGACACGCTTGATTGGGTCGTTGACCTGGTTGTCAGCAACAGTGGGGTGAAGTTTGCAAAAGCTGTTCCTTTCGCAGAAGCTCACGCCTGCTTTCTTCCAGCGCAGTTTCTGCCGGAGCAGCCTGCCCCTGATGACACCTTGCCGCACGAGGTGAGCTGGGGCAGGAAAAGTTCAAACCTGCACGACAAGCTGCCAGCTGGACTGCCTAAATGTAAGGCCCAGATCAGCATGACACAATGACACGTGCGCTTGCCAAGAAAGCACTAGCCTCTCATCGACACTTCCTGCATCCTGTGAGTTTTCCTCCCGAAAGTCTGGAACCCAGGAGGAGGCTGCGTTGTGAGAGTGTGTTGTTCCATGATCTAGGGCATGACTCAGCTAATTTTGTGGCTCTGAATGTTTCACGGCTCGCATACACGCCACCGACTGCCCTCCCATTTGTTCTCAAAATTTGCCCCGAACTCGCCGCTTGTCACGGAGCCCCAATCAACCAGAGCCAGCCATGGTCAGCTTGGTAGGGAAGAATGCACTCTTCACGGAGCCGCGTCGCATGTATTCGGTCTCGAATCGCACATTTGGAATTCGAGAATTGGGAGGAGGAACAGTGAATCGAAGATCTCTACGCAAGCTTCTTGCAGGTTCTGTGCTGCTGCTGCTCCCTCCCACGCAACCTTCCCCTTCGCCAACTGATAAATAGATTTGCAGTCTCTCTCAGCAATCTCGCAATACTAACAACCAAATCCCGATCCTGTGCTGCTCAAACATCAGCGTGTGAAATTCTTCAAGAAGCAAGGAAGCATTTCTTATCCTTCGCATTGCTGTCGAGCAAGAAATCCCAGGGGTACCATTCGAGCATACTCGGCCGAGGCCACATTCAGCTCAAACACTTCGCCTAGAATACCAAATTGCAAAGCACTCGCGGCCAAATTGCGAAACACTGACTCAGAGCTACCATCCAGCGCAATGGCGTGTGCCTTCGGTTTGGCTCAAATTCCCTATCAAGCAGCCACAGCCGTTGGATCGGGTCTCTCCATCTCCATTCCGACTAGGCGCGCTTTCACTCCGGCAAGCTTCGGAGGCATTACAAACGTCAATCGCCACATTTTATCGCAATCAGTGGCCTCTTCCAGATCATTCCCTTCCACGACGGCGTCCTGCTGTAATTCTGCGCTTACCGCGACGGCCCCTACTACTAATACTACTACTACCAGCGCCGCGACTGACTCACCATTCCTCGAGCCATCACCAGCGTCGTCACGACGTCGCATCATGCCTCCGTCGAATACGACGTTGACCGCGCGCAGTCCAATCAGCGGCGGTGCTGCTGCCACGTGGCCATCCTTCACGTCCCCCTCCCCAAGGCCTCCCCCGACCCCTTCTCCGCGCCCTCGCGTACCCCTTTCCCCGCGCCCAAGCGCTGGCGGAGCGGCTTCCGCCGCGGTCTCCCCCAGCAGGGGGCGCTGGCGGAAGGGGCTGCTCGTCGCGAACGGGCTCGCCGCGCTTTACGGCTCCGCTTGCGCCGTAAATCGCGTGGCGGAAGCCGCCCCTTCTCATCTCACTGACGTCGCCCCGCATCTCGCGACCATCATGGATCACGTGCCCTCCGAACTCGCCTCGCCGATCCGATTCGCCGCAGCGGCCCTCCCGTTCGCCCCAGCTGCCGTCAGTACCTTCGCAGTCGCAGCAGGTCGCGTGGGCGACGGTGTGCGACGTGCGAAATCCGCGTCTGCCCAAGGCGCATCACAGCCTCTGCTGGAATCAACCGGGACAGGCGAGCCTGCTAACGAAAACGCATCGCCGCCGCTGGAAGAAAAGAATTCGTCGTTCAAACATGATTCCTCGGCGGTGGTAATGGCGGGGCTGGAGCTAGCGGCATACAGCTTCTTGGGGGACCTGCTCTCGCAGTTCACCAACGCCGATACTGCCTCCACTCCGCTGCTGCTGCTGCTCTCGGTACGTGCCTTCACGTGATGATCATAAACCTCAAGCTTTCAGCCTGCCGTACCCAGCGTTTTTTCCCGCACCCTGCGTGCCTTGCTGCCGTTCTGAGTGACCGAGCGAGAAGGAGTGACGAGCGCGATGCGAATGCAATAACGATAACTCATCTCCATGCATATACTTCACCCCCGGGCTTCCTCATCTCCATGCATATACTTCACCCCCGGGCTTCCTCATCTCCATGCATATACTTCACCCCCGGGCTTCCTCGTCCCGTTGCTTCTTACTAACCGTGTGCAGTATAATCAATCTCGTTCTTCCTGCTACTCTCTCATCCTCCTCTCCCCCCTACAGCTCCTCATCCTCCCGGTGCTCCAACTCACCGACCGTCTCCACCATGTACCGGCCAACGACTTGCCCGCGCCCAGCGACGGCAGCAGCACCCGCACCTCCCGTGCACCGCTCGTATCCGCCCTCATCGTAATGCTGGCGATCGTTGCAGCCAGCGGAGCCACCACAGGCAGCGCCGCCGCCGCAGGTCCTTCCGCCCTTTTCACCACCCTGGGTCAATCCCTGCCCCTGTCAACCCCATGGCCCGTGCTCGCATGCCTGCTCTCCCTCGTGGCACTACTCCGCTGCGAGGCGCACTGCACACGCTTCAACCCTCTCTCCCTCACCGCTGTCCAGAACTCCTCCCTCGCCTCCCTCTCCCTCCTCTCCTCCCTCCTAATCCACCTCCTCTCCTCCTCCTCAGCCTTCCCACACGGCATCCTACCAGAAATCCTCACCAGTGCCACACACATGGCAGGAACCAGTGGAGTAGCGCTGCTGCCACTCATATACAGCGGGTTCATGTGCTCGGGACTTGGCACATGGATGGAGATGCACTGTCTGCAGGACCTACCAGCACCGGCTCTCATGTTGATATTCACCTCTATTCCCGTCTGGGGGGGGTTGCTGGCAGCACTGGCGCAGGGGGAGGTGCCAGAGGCAGGGCTGGGCGTGGCTGGGCTTGTGATTGCTGCGGTGAATGCCGGCGCGTGGGCACTCATGTCACGCCATTGCAGTTCCGTTGCTTCCGAGATCAGCAGTAGCAGCGGCAGCGGCAGCAGCGGCACAGGCAGCAATGTTGGTCATGGGAGCTGTGCTGTGCAAGAGAGAAGCCCAGCTGCAGAGAGCGCGGCAGAGAAAAGCTCAGAGGAAACGGCCAAGAGTGCTGGCCCAGTCCCAGTGGAGCAGTTGAGCAACTCCCTGGTGGCATCTCAGCTCAAGGTACCCTTTTACTCCACCAAGGCCAAGAGCCTGCTGCTCAAGCTGAAGATTAAAGCCAAGGTGGCTGGAGCTAAGGTGCTGGGTGGGAAGCTGGGCGTGAAAGCAGCTGCTGCTGGTGCGTACAGTGCATCCCATGTGCTGACATCGGCCGTGGGGAGTGGGAGCTTTGGTGCGGGTACTGCTGATGCTGCTGCAGCTGCTGCTGCAGGCACGGTGGATGCTCTGTCGTCGCTTAGCAGTGGTATGGGGATGCAATCTTTTGTCAGCAACAGCGGCAGCAGCATTGGCAGCAGCATGTCACTCGCGCACCATGCTCCTAAGGTCATGCTCAGCGTCCTTCCGGTCATACCCCCAGCTGGGCTATTCTCCTCCGTGCATCTCCATGATCTACCTCACGTCTTTCCCTCCTCCATTTCCCACCCTGTACAGTGATAGGGATGGGGAGGGGACGTGACGGGAAGGAATAAGTACAAGAGATGAGATGAATAGAGAAAGTAGTAGTTTTCTGTGGGAGTGGTTGGTGCGGAATGGCTTGTTCCCCATTCAGAACCAACCATTCCCACCGGTTTTTGTCTCAGGGAAATGGGTGCTTGGTCCAACAAGCGCTGAAATTGCTGGCCAGGAAAGCAGCCTGTTCTCTCCTGACCAGTAATTTCCACGCCTGTTATGCTCCTTTTTGTACCGTATGTGTTATATTTGAAAAGAATGTACACACTTCACTTCACGACTAAATTTCTGTCACTGAGCTTGGCTTGCAGGATGCAAGATTTTGGAATGCAATGTTATATGAATAATGTTTTAGCTGATCTATTTATTGCCTTGAAGTTTCCCAACCTCGGTGCTTCTGATGCAGAAGTTTTCACCAATCCCCTGCTGTGGCATTGCAATGCGAATGCACTAAAGTAAGTTACCGGCTGCTACCCGAAGCGTGCATCAGGATACGCCTACTATTCTTTGCGATTGGCCTTTTCGCCTCTGTGAAAGTAGCTGCGGAAGGAGTTTAAAGCTTCGGATCCGCACTACCCGGCGAGTCTCCGTCATTGCACGCTCGATCAGAACTTGAATTTCGAATGCCACGCACCGCAAGTAGTCTATATTTTTTTTATTGATCCGTCTCAAAACACGCTCGATCCACCTTAGTTTTCGAATGTTATGCACCGCAAGTAGTTTAAAAGCTTAGGGTTTCTAGTTACCATGGCGGATTTCGATACAGATTCTCGGCATCCGCGCCCACCGCAGCTTGCGCGGGATGTGCAGAGCGTACACGATGCCACGTCATCATCCGGTGGCGTGACATGGCAGGCGCTGTCCCCACCCTCCTCGTCCTCGTGGTGGCGGAATTTCTTAAAAGCAGCCGTCCACGTCAAGATCCCCTCCACCGCTGACGTGGCAGGTCTAGCTGGCAGCAGCGCCGTTTCCACGCCTCCCGCCGCTGCAAGCACCAGCACCAGCGCGAGCGGCATGCGCGGCGCCACCAGCGGCGGTGGCGGCGGCAGCAGCGGCAGCGCGGGTTTGAGGGTAATTCACGCTTTCGAGCCCGTGAGCATTGGAAGTACCGAGAGCAACCCGCTTCTGGCGGAAATCTACCCAATCCGCGAGGCGGATGAGAAAGACGGCGCAGGGAAGGAAGGAGGAGTAAGCATCGACCATCCCACCCATGCAAATAGTGTCGACCAATCAGCATCCGCCCAGGAATCGGCATTCCCTATGCCGCCACCTCCCAAGCCCCCGGCGCTCACGCGCTCTCTCTCCCTCCTCGACCTCATCCTCCTCGGCATCGGCGCTTCCATTGGCTCAGGCATCTTCGTCGTGACAGGTGTCGCCGCGCGATTGGCCGGGCCGGCCGTGTCCCTGTCTTTTCTCCTAGCTGGCCTGGCTTCTCTCCTAAACGCGCTCTGCTACGCGGACCTTGCCGCTCGCTTCCCCGGGCGGGTCGGCGGCGCGTACCTCTACGCGCACGCGTGCCTCGGGCAGCTCGCGTCGTTTGTCCTGTTCTGCCACTTGGTGCTGGACTACCACGTGGGGGCGGCGGCGATCGCCAGGAGCCTGGCGAGTTATTTGGCGTCTCTGGTGGAGGTGGCATCTGGAACAGGGCTACCCGGCGTGCTCGCAACAGGAGGCCTGCCTGTGTCCATCCCCTTGCCATTCCTCTCCCCGTCGTGGCTCCTCTGGTGGTTCTGCCATTTGTGGTCAGGAGGAGAAAATGGGGGAGAGCAAGTCGGGGGGAATCAGGGGTGGGGAGCAGGAGCAGGAGCAGTTTCCTTTTTCCACCCCACCGCATTCCCTTCTCTATCTTCTTCCCATTCTCCTCCTTCTCCTCCTCTTCTCCCCCCTCCCCCGTTCCCATCGCTCCCCTCCCCACCGCCACCCGTACCAACACTGGATCTCTCGATCAATCTCGTCGCGCCAGCTGTCCTGCTGCTCATCACGTGGCTGCTGTGCCGGGGCGTGCGGGAGACATCGCGGGTAAACGACGTGATGACGTCGGTCAAGGTGGCCATAGTGGTGCTGGTGGTGGCTGTGGGTGCCGGGCATGTGAACCCCGCGAACTGGTTCCCCTTCTTCCCCCCACCGCTCGACACCCTGCTCACCTCCGCTGCTCCTGCTGCCGCTTCTGCTGTCGCCCCTGCCGCCGCTGCTGCAGCAGCAACCGCTGCCACTGCCACCGCCCCTGCCACCGCTGCTGCTGCTGCTGCCACCGCCGCCGCTGCTGCGTGTGCTGCTGCAAGCAACAGCGGCAGTGGCAGCATGGGGGGCGTACAGGCGATGCTATCAGCCTCTTCGCTCGTCTTCTTCTCCTACATCGGCTTCGATGCCGTGGCCAACACAGCAGAGGAGTCCCTCCATCCCCGCCGCGACGTGCCCCGCGGCCTCCTCCTCGCCCTCGCCGCCTGCTCCCTCCTCTACATCTCCGTCTCCCTCGTCCTCACCGGCATGGTCCCGTACACCCTCCTCGACCCCGCTGCACCGCTCTCCACCGCTTTCGCCTCCCTCGGGCTGCGTTTCATGGAGAGAATTATCGACGTGGGGGCTGTAGTGGGGCTGACAACTACTCTCTTGACCGGATTGTATGTGCAGTCTCGCATGTATCTGGCGTTGGCGAGGGATGGGATGCTGCCTGTGTGGTTTTTGCAAGTGAATGCGGGGAGCCATGTGCCGGTGCATGCGCAGTGGTGGGTGGGGGGAGTGGCGGCGGCAATGGCGGCAGTGTTTGACGTGGGGAGGCTGTCGCATATTCTGTCGGTGGGCGTGTTATTGAGCTACTCTATAGTGTGTATGTGCGTGCTGGCGCTAAGGGTTGAGTCGTACCGTGGAGGGGGGAGTGGCTGTGTTGGAGTGGGGGAGGAAGGGGAAGAGCGATTGGATGATGCACTTTTGGCACAAGAGGGTGTGCGTACCAGTAGCAGTACAATCAGCCACAGTCCAACTTTGACGGGACACACACACGTTCGTCCACCTCCACGTTGGATCACCCAATGGGGTGGCGACAAGTGGCACGAGGCTGTGGTGTATGTTTGTGCCCTGGTTGCCTGTGTCCTTGCCTTGGGATTCGCCACAAGGTTCGCAGCCCCTTGGCTGCTGTTCATTCCTCTCTTCGTCCTGACGATCGCTTCTTTTGTACCGTTGTTCCTCTCCCAATGCTACAGTGTGCCGGCATCAGGGTTTGCGTGCCCATGGGTCCCTTTTGTGCCAGTTATGGGAATCTGCGTGAACATGTATCTGCTTGCGCAGACACACATGGTTGCCTGGGTGCGCCTGTTTGTGTTAACTGTGGTGGCGCTGGTCGGGTTCTGGTGGAATGTGAGGCGATCAGTACTACGATGATTAGTGCAGTTGTGTATTTGATGCCTGTGAACATATAGGGCACCATTCTCCTATCTCTATATCGGTAGGGGGTGCTTGTGTTGCCTCTGTTGAGACGATGTACATAGTCAATTGCATTTTCCGAAGTTCCTCTTATCGGTGTGTGCAGGTGGGTTTCTCCTTCCCACAACGTTTATCGAACGATACCTTTTTGCACATCACAGATGCGACAATGGACCACATGCTGACGATGGATACCAGCCACTGGCGAATTGCAAGCTGCGTCCTTTTCGTACGGTGCTCCTTCCACTGCACATGCACTGTACGCGTTGCCCCAAGACTTGAAGCAGGCTTGTCCGTCAAGAGGTGACGACTTCAGAATAGCCAAGCGAAACTTCACGACAGTCTCTATCTCGGTTACCACGAAGCAACAGACCTCGGGATTTCCGTTTCGGGCGAAACCAGTTTGCTACAGTGAGACATTCCAAAGTAACTCCCCTGTTTTTCCTCTCACCTCCTAACCATTGCTTCATGGCGGCCCTTGATTATGCCGCTTAGGTAGGATCCTAAAAGCCTGAAACGTTTTGGCGTTGCTACCGCAGTGGTAGCTAGTAAGTAGTGCCGGACGTCACTTGTCAACGGATAAGTTTGTTGAGACACGCCGCCGCATATTGCGGATAACGAATTCGTTTATTTGGTCGACAGCTTATCTGTATCTGCGAGTTCTGACCTAAGTTGATCGAGCAGAGCTCTTATTGAGCGAAGGACCAATGCGAACGGTAGAGGTGACGATTTCGTCGATTTGTGCATGGCAATACAGCAGTTAACATGTTTATGTCGCTAGTCAGTGCTTAAAGCACGTTCTGGCTCCGCTGTAGTCGCTTATTTATGCTCCCGACCTCTCAGTATTCTTAGCCCGTTTCCGTTGCGTCCAGGCCTATTTTATTTCCGCGAAGTTCCTCTTCTTTTAGTTTTAGTCTTATCCCTCTTCCTCAAGTCTTCCTGCACCTAGTGGCGACGACGCGATGCGTTTTAACGATTCTCGGTTCTAGCGACATCGCCACCTATCGAGCTCATTCAAAACCTTAGCATAAACTTCTCTCAGGGTGCCTCTCGCAATGAGTGGCCTAGACGCTCCCATGATGGACCTTCCACGGCCCAGGTACCAAGGGGTGAGTTGACCTCCTCACGCCACCTTCCTTGAAAGCCCTTGAGTTTCTCCCAGTGAGTAGCCGAGACGCTCCCATGATGCACCTTCCGCGGCCCAGGTATCAAGGTGTGAGTTGGCCCTTTGACCTTCCGGGAAATGCCTTTAGATTTGATTCGGTGGACTCTCCAAGTGAGTTTGTCGCATTGAGTTGCGTACAGGCTCTTAACCTTCCGCGTACCCAGGTACCAAGGGGTGTGCTCGTCTCTTGAAATTTCGTGAAATGCCTTTACATGCGTTGTCGTCGTACTTCGAAACAGCACCATTCCAGGCAAGTCCCTCGCAATTAGTGGCCTAGGCGTTTCCGTGATGGGATGGGAGCGGCTTACATGATGCTTTGCCTTTTTCTCGTTTCCCCCTCCTCCCGTCTTCTCCATTGGCGATCGCAATGCGTGCGTCCAATCACTGTCCGACAGGTGTACAAGAGTGGCCATCTATCCGTCTCGTCAAAAGGTGAGCCTGCGCAGAAAGGGGAAAGCAGGAAAAGTAACCTTTGACTCGTCTTGATAAAGTATGAGGAATAGTGACAACGTTTAAGCCCATGACCATCCCGACCACCGCTTCTGTCTTTCTGTTATTTTTTTCACTCCCTTCACTTTCTCTGCATCCGATACTTTCTCTGCATCCGATGTTTGCGGCATTATTCTCTCAAGCCATTCTTTGTCTCCCTCCGCCTCGCCGCACCTGTTTAATCTCTTACCTCACCTCTCGTTCCTTTTCTCAATCTCTCCTCCGTCGTAGGTCTGGGCTGGAAGTCATGGAAGCGGCGCTGGTTCCTCCTCACGCGCTCCTCCCTCATCTTCTTCAAGCACGAGCCAGTGAGTGTGACTGTAACGAGCCATGAAATGTGACTGTAACGAGCCATTAAATGTGACTGTAACTAGCCAGTGAATGTGACTGTAACGAGCCAGTGAGTGGGACTCGAAACAATGTGCAGCAATGTGTGTGGTCATAACGAGTCAATGCATCAAACGAGTTTCTTAGTGTGGGAATGACGACAATGCATGCAAATTCGTTGCTTGCCTTGCCAGTCTGAGTGACATTCAACAGCTTCTGCTTCTGACTTACTTACTTATCCACCTCTCCCTCACTCCCTTCCATTCCAACCCCACACTCTAACTCCCTCCGCTCTGGCAGAGGGGTCGCATTGACATCTCAACTGCGATCGGAGGCATCGAGTTCAACAACGCCGGCAAGTAAGACCGCCGCTCCCTCCCTCTCACCCTTCACGTGGCCCCATCATGTGGCACTCTCTTTCTGAGGCGCCAAAAAAATCGTCGGATTGGCATCTCATCTGCCATCGGTCGACTTTTGAGGCGCCTCAAAAGTTGTTGGCATCTCATCTGCCATCGGTCGGAGGCATCGAGTTTAACAACGCCGGCAAGTAAGGCTGCCCCTCCTTCCCTCTCACTCTCTACTTGCTTGGTCCCAATCTGCCCTTGTCCCAATCTGCTTTAGTTCCCGTCTGCGCTACATTCGCATCACGTGTAATGATCCAATGTGTGCAATCTTGTGGTAACGTTTTCCCTATACGTCCTCTATGTGCGCCCATCCCATGTGTACAACAACACCCAGGGTGCACATCAAGCCCGACAAGAAGCAGCTCTCTCTCACCTTCCTGTCATCCTGACTCACTTTCCACTTGTTCATGTATGTGCTCCCCTCACGCGCTCCCCCCGCCCCCACTTGCTTCCATCCCATCGCATGTGTGCAACGCACAGGGTGCACATCAAGCCAGACAAGAAGCAGCTCTCCCTCACTTTCCCGGACGGCCATGCATTCACCTTCAAGGTCAGTATCACGCGCTCTGCCTTGTCTCGCCACTTCCCTTGTCCGCCGCACTACCTTTTGAGGTCTGTAGTATTGACACGCCCTTGTGTTCCCATCCCCCCCCCTATCCTTCACCATCACCCCCCCCCACCCTTCCCCCCCAACTCACAATCCCCTATTTCCCGCTTTCTCCCCTGCACATGCAGACGGACACACTGGAGGACCTGGAGGAGTGGAGGGACGCGCTAGAGGACGCCATGTGCAAGCAAGCATGGCTCAAAAACGCCCACTCCCGTACTCCCATCCCATCACCCCCCCGCCCTTCCCAATCGCTCTCAGACGGACACACTGGAGGACCTGGAGGAGTGGAGGGACGCGCTAGAGGATGCCATCTCCAAGGCTCCTCCGCCCTCTGTCATGATGGGTCTGCCCCGTGACACGCTCTTTAGAGGAGATGGGCTCGACATTGGTGACAACGACGGGCCCCCAGGACCAGGTAGGTGGTTTATGTTTTTTCCCTGGGCTCACTCGTGCAAGCATGCATGGTCCTTCGCCCCCCACCCCGTGATGATGGGTCTGCCCCGAGACACGCTCTTCTGGGGGGACGGGCTTGACATGGGGGGCGGGCTTGACCAGGTACATGCTCTCCGTGCCTCATTGTCTCGTCTTCCCTTACTCATCTCCTCTCTCTCCCTGCCCCCATCTGCCAGGCAAAGAGCGGCGGCTGCGATCCATGCTGCTGTGCCGCCCCTTCTCCCTCGCACTGGAGGACGTCAACGGCTCGCCCTCCTTCCTCGAGAAGGCGCTGCAGTTCATCGAGGTCCACGGTGAGCCTTGTCGCCGTTGTGCTCACTCTCATATGCCCCTCGTCTGACTCCGTTGAAGCCCCCATGCTGGCTCCGTTGGCTTGGCTTCCATAGAGCCTCGTTCTTGAATGGCCTACACCAAGTCCTGGACGACCTCAACGGCTCGCCCTCCTTGCTCAACAAGGCATTGTGAATCAAAGAAATCCGCGCGGTTAGTTTCGTGCCCTCGTGCTCGTGCTCGCGCTCATGTACCCCCTCCTCCCCTCGTGCTCGCGCTCATGTACCCCCTCCTCCCCTCGTGCTCGCGCTCATGTACCCCCTCCTCCCCTCTGTGCGGCCAGGAGTGAAGCTGGAAGGTATTCTGCGGGCGGCAGCGGACGTGGAGCAGGTGGAGAGGTGGCTGAACGAAAGAGTTTTCATTTTGTTCCCTTCTCATGCTTATCACGTTTGCCCAACCCCCCACCTTGTGCTGCCAGGAGTGAAGCTGGAGGGCATTCTGCGAGCAGCGGCGGATGTGGAGCAGGTGGAGAGGCGTTTGAAGGAGTACGAGGAGGGGCACACGGAGTTTGAGGATGGGGAGAACCCACACGTTGTGGGCGACTGTGTCAAGGTGGGTGACTTGTTACCTGGATAGCATAGGCGGCTGTTGCAAGCTGGGCCGCCCCTGATTACTTGGACTTCCTTTTCACCTCCTCCCACTCGCCCCCTCCCCTTCCCCCCTCCCACCCCCCTCTCTCCCTTTTCTCATTCAAGTCGAGTCAGAGATTCCCCTCTCCTCTCGTCATCCTCCTGCTCCAGCGCCTCCTCTCCTTTCCCTTCCTAACCTCCCAGTGCTCATCCCTCATTCTTCCCCCCATTCATGCATGCATGCATATAACCAGCTTGTCCTGCGGGAGTTGCCAACGTCGCCTGTGCTCCCATATGCCTGCACCGCCCTCGAACAAGCCTTTCGTGAGTCCCCGCCTTGCTTGCTCATTATTCTTCCCTGAAACTTGTTCTTTTCCACATTCGTCGTTCGTCTTCTTGCCTACCGTTCCTTCTTACTATTGAAATTTGCCTCTTCCCCCTGCAAACCTTCCGCCCCTCCCCTTACCCCTTTCCCACGACTCTCCTTCTCCCCACTACCCTTCTCCTCACCACCCTCCTCCTCACCACCCTTCCTGACCACCCTCCCCACCACCCCGCCAACCACCCTTCCTCCCTACCACCACCACCATCGCCCCCGTCCACGCCACAGTTGGGCGAGGCGGAGGCAAGGCTAGAGGCAGTGCACACCGCCATGCTCAATCCTCCCCTACCTGTTCCCCACACCCCATCCCACCACTCCTCCCCTCCACCATCTTCCCCCCACCCCCCACGCACCCACCCACGCCAGAGCTGGACGAGGCGGAGGCGAAGCTAGAGGCAGTGCGCACTGCCATGCTCAACCTGCCCGAGCCCAACCGACGCCTGCTGCACCGGTGTGTGATGGGGCGGTTGGCATGTGGGGAGAAGTGTGGGAGCACGAGAGCACATTTGGGAGCATGTGGGAGCATGTGGGAGCATGTGGGAGCATGTGGGAGCATGTGGGAGCATGTGGGAGCATGTGGGAATGAGGCTGTCAAGAGGATGAACTTAACTCAACTGCCATAATTTCTTCTGATTCTACTCTAAACTGTCCTTTCTCCCTTCCCTCTGCCCACTATCGCTTCCTTTGCTCCTCCTCCCTGCCTCTCTGCCCCCTATCCTTGCCTCCACTCCGCTCCCCGTCTCTCATCCCACAGTGTGCTGCAGACCATGATCGCTATAACCAACAACGAGTCAATCAACAGGATGAACGCCTCCGCCATGACCCTCTCTGCCCTTCGCCTCTGCCCCTTTCCTCTGCCCTGTCCCTCTACCCTGTCCCTCTGCGTCCACTCCCTTCCCCTCGTCCCACAGTGTGCTGCAGACCATGATCGCTATAACCAACAACGAGTCGATCAACAGGATGAACGCCTCCGCCGTCGCAGCCTGCATGGCGCCGCTTCTCTTCCGCCCTCTTTTCAGTGGGGAACTTCAAGCATCGTCCAAGGGCGATGACGATGGGGAGGACGGGGCTGCTGCGGCAGCGGCTCAGATCATGGCTCTCACCATGGCAGCCAACCAGGCTCAGACCATGACGATTTACCTCATGGAGAACATTGACAAGGTGTTCGTGGTGAGTGCTTGCTGTGTGGTGTTCATGCTGATGGAAAAGATGGGGGTCATGACGCCACTGCTGCTGCTGCTGCTGCTGGCTGCAGCCGCGGCTCAGATCATGGCTCTCACCATGGCAGCGAACCAGGCTCAGACCATGACCATCTATCTCATGGAGAACATTGACAAGGTCTTTGTGGTGAGTGCTGCATGGTGTTGTGGTGTGTGTTTTGTGGCTCTATCAGAGTTGTTGGTGGTGAGTGCTTGCTTTGTGGACTTGCTCCTACCACGAGGATGACGAGGACGGCGAGCTGCTGGATGATGATGATGATGATGATGATGATGATGATGATGATGATGATGATGATGATGATGATGATGATGATGATGATGATGATGATGATGATGATGATGATGATGATGATGATGATGATGATGATGATGATGATGATGATGATGATGATGATGATGATGATGATGGTATGCCGACTAGCCCTCCCTTCCTCACTCCCTGCTCTACCTTATACCCCATCTCCCACCCCAACCCACCCCACCCCAGGGCGAGGCTCTAGGCCGTGGGCTTGCACGGGGCGTTTACAGCGGGGCGGCGTGGGACGACGAGGAGGGCGAGCTGGTGGGCGATTATGACGATGGTGGTGGTGTGCCTACCAGCAGCCCTCTCTTCCTCACTCCCTGCTCGTTTTCAAACCCCGTTTCCCACCCCACCCCACCCCATCCCACCCAACCCCTCCCAGGGCGAGGCTCTAGGCCGTGGGCTCGCAAGGGGAGTGTACAGCGGGGCGGCGTGGGATGATGAAGATGACGAGGAGGGCGAGCTGGTGGATGATGATGACGTGGACGAGGACAACGATGACGAGGACAGCGGCGCCCAGGTGGCGGTGCTGGAGGCGTCGCGTCAGGAGCTGCGCGCGTCGCTGGCAAAGGAAGTGCGGGCGAACGAGATGCTTAAAGAGAGTCTGGTGCAGCGCCGCAAAACCCTTCAGGAGCTGAAGAACGCTCTTCAGAGAGACGTGAGTGCTCTGAGGGGAGGTGCTGTGCTGGGTGCAACTGTCAGGTCAGATAGGATGAAGGGACGGCCCAGGGTGGGTGATGCAGGAAGTGCGGGTGAATGAGATGCTCAAGGAGAGTCTGGTGCAGCGCCGGAAGACTGTGCAGGAGCTGAAGAACGCCCTCCAGAGAGACGTGAGTGTGGGAGGTGTGCAGTGCAGGAGCAGAGGGAGCTGTGTGCACACATGCAGACGGGAATCAATGTTTCTGCCACCCCCCTAACCCTATAACCCAGCCGCAGTTGTAACCTCAACTGCTCTCACACTCCCCTAACCCTAACTCCCCTTCTCTTCCTCCCACCACTCCTCCCTCTTTTCCCACCTTGTCCTCCTTTCGCCCTTTCCTCGTGCACAGGCGGCTCAGCTGCGGTTGGATCTGCAGGAGCAGAGGGAGCTGCATGCGCGCATGCAGAAGCGAATCAATAATCTCTGCTACTCCTGACCTCCTTTTCTTCCCTCCCCCCCCCTGCCGTTCCTCTCCTTTCGCCCTTACTTTCTCTCCAGGCGTCTCAGTTGCGGCTGGACCTGCAGGAGCAGAGGGAGCTGTATGCACGCATGCAGACAGGCATCAAGGGGCCTGTGCCCGAGATAGAGCTCGAACCAGAGGTGAGTGTGAGGGGGGGTGGGGTGAGGGATGACTTGTGAGTTAACTCAGAAGCTGTATGCGTGCATGCAGACGGGCATCAAGGGACCCGTGCCTGAGATAGAGCTCGAGCCAGAGGTGAGCGTGTGGGATGGGATGGCATGTGAGTTGACTCAAGAGTTGCCTTCAGGAGGAGAGGATTTTAATACCTGTATGGTGCATCTCCATTACGTCATGCAGACGGGATTCAAGAGGCTCGTGCTTGAGATACAGGATCTTCTTTTCAGCGGGAGCTGCTGCACGTGACATACAAGCTGCAGCACCTGGAGCAGCAGCAGCCCACTGTCATCCACACCAATTCCCATCCCTTGCCCTTTTCTCCTTCCCGTTGTTCCATCTATGTCTTACCCCCCAACCCCCCGCCCCTCCCCTACACACCCCCAGCTGAAAGCTGAGCTGAAGGAAATAGAGTCGCTGGAGAAATCAGTGGCTCTCCTCCGCACAGAAACCGAGACTCTTCAGCGGGAGCTGCTGCACGTGACGCACAAGCAGCAGCAGCTGGAGCAGCAGCAGAAGCAGCAGCAGCTGGCGGGAGGGGCAGCAGGCGGGGGAGTGGGAGGAGCGCCCCTGACAGGGGCGAGTGCGGAGCAGCGGCAGCGGATTGAGGCGCTGCGGTCGCTGCGGGCGCAGCTGAAACAGGAGCTTGATAGGACCATGGCCATGTGCCTGGAAGAGCAGCAGAAGAACGCCGAGGTGAGTCATGGGAAGTGCGGGGAAGGTGGGGGGGAAGAGAGGGGGAAGCAGAGGGGAGATGAGTGTGAGGGAGGCAGCGGACTGAGGTGCTGCGGTCGCTGAGGGCGCACCTGAAACAGGAGCTGGATAGGACCATGGCCATGTGCCTGGAGGAGCAGCAGAAGAACGCCGAGGTGAGCCATGGGGAGGGCGGGTAGGGAGGGAAGAGAGGGGGGAAAAGTGGCACATGAGTGATTGGGAGGCAGCGGATTGAGGCGCTGAGATCGCTGCGGGCTCAGCTGAAACAGGAGCTGGATAGAACCATGGGCATGTGCCTGGAGAGGAGCAGCAGAAGAATGCTGAGGTGAGTCATGGGGAGGCTGGGGAGGGCAGGAAGGGTGCGGGGGTGAGAGTTTGTTCTTTTTACGCCACGTCGCAACGGAGGTCAACGTCTTCTCCAGTCGCTCGCATACTGTCTTGCAGTTCAACGTATGACGCAATGACAACCTCGGCATAGTTGGCCGCCTTCAGCTCGTGGAATTGGAATTGCATGTGATGTGACGTGACACACACAAGCGGCAAGATTCCAATCGTCATGTGCTACGGTGCTATTCCGATTCCACGAGTTTGAGGCGGCCAACTATGCGGGGGTTATGGTCGCGACGTGCGTTGAACTGTAAAATAGCGTGCGAGTGACTGGAAGTGGCGTTGACCTCCGTCGCCGTGAGGTGACGCCTTCCTCTGCCTCTAAAAAGTGTCCCCGGGAAATGCTTCCAGAGAGCTGAATTCTGTAATACGATAGTATTTAACAGAGGGGGAACGAGTAATAGATGGGTATTCAAACAAACACCTTTAGCACGCCTAGGTTTTCGAGAATGGCTTCTTGTCCCGTGCTGGTTTCCGTCCTCTCCGCATCCCCTCCACCTCCTCCTGCCTCTTCCTCTCCCTTCCCGTTCCCCCTCGTACCCCCCTCAGCTGGAGGAGAGGCGGCGGCAGGACGACCCAGTGGCGTTGGAGCAAACGGTGATGCGAACTCCCACAAGCAGGACTTCCCAGAGAATCAAGTAGCACAAGAAACTCTCTAAGTCCCTCCCTCCCCCGGCCCCCCCCTCCCCCCCCCCGCCCCTTATCATCCTGTGTCTCAGCTGGAGGAGAGGCGGCGGCAAGACGACCCAGTGGCGTTGGAGCAAGCAGTTATGCGACAGAAGGCAGCCGTGCAGCAGGCGCAGGTGAGAAAGGGAGGGGCGAGGTTTGGTAACTTTTGGGTTTGAGACGTGTCAAGAGAGGCATTGGAGCAAGCAGTGATGTGACAGAAGGCGGCCGTGCAGCAGGCGCAGGTGAGGGAAAGGGACAAGTATGCAGAAGGGGCAGGTCAGAAAGAGGGGCGAGGATAGATGACCTTGTGAGCTTCTTAAATGTCTCAAATGTGGCGTTGGAGCAAGCGGTGATGCGACAGAAGGCAGCCGTGCAGCAGGCGCAGGTGAGAGAGGAGGGGACATGCTCAGGTGACTCACGCTAGAGTTTTGAGGCGCCTCATGAGTTTTGAGGCTTAGGTGACTGACGCTAGAGTCGATTCAGAAGGTAGTAATGCAGCAGCCGCAGGTTAGAGTCACTCCCCACCTCTTCCAAGCTTATCCCCCCCTGTCTCCTCCCCAGTCTCCACTCCCCTGTGTATGCTCTCAAGTGCCTCTCACCTGGCCCCCCTCTCTCCCCCCCACCACCCCATGTCCCTCTCTACCCCCTTCCTCCCAGGCAGCGTTTGAGGCGGATTTGGCAAGGGGAAAGGAGTTGAGGTGCTAACTGGATCAGCAGGGTGCTAAGGCACCTAAAAAAACTTCACTCCCTCCTCCCCACCACCCCCTGTCCCTCTCCGTGCCGACATTCGAGCCTGAGATGGGCGAGGAGTTGAGGCAACTATAAAATTCTCTTCATGTCCCTCTCGTCCCGTTTTCCTCCCCAAGCAGCGTTTGAGGCTGAAAGGCAAGGGGTAAGGAGTTGAGGCGCAGCAGAGCGTTACTTAAGCCACCCCACGATCCCTCTCTCTCTCTTCTCCCTCCCACTGTACTCTCGCTCCCCTTCCTCCCAGGCTGCCTTTGAGGCTGAAATGGCGAGGGGTAAGGAGTTGAGGCGCAAGCTTCAGCTGGCCCAGCAGAGGGCTGCTGCTGCCGCCCTTGCCAGTGCCAACGCCGCCACCGCTGCTGCAGCCACGGCCAGCACCGCAGGCTCGGGAGGCTCCGGCTCAACTGAACCTGCCGCCCAGGCCGGGCAGCCAGGCTCGGGCGAGGCTGACGCCCGATCCGCACCTGATGGGGAGGCTCGTCCGACAGGTCCGTCTGCCGCAGCTGCAGCAGCGGCAGCAGCAGCGGTGGCTGCAGCAGGGGGGGCTGGTGAGCCTCCCTCAGCAGCGGCTGCTGCTGCTGCCTTTGCTGAGCTGACTGCCAGGCTGGAAGAATTCAAGAGGCAGCGGGCTGTGCTGATTCAGCGCCTCGCTGCGCTGTCCAATGAGACGGTGCCAGGTGGCCCACAGGGAATGGCTGGGGCTGGAGGACCTAGGGTTCCCCAGTTGTCAAGAGATATCCCAAGTCACTGAATGGGGCTATGAGCAAGTAGAGAGGGGAAGGGTGGAGACGAGGGTAATGAAGGGCGAGGGGAGTACGTGAGGAAACGAAGGATGAGGCCTGAGAATTACATTCTTTGTCGTACAGTTAAGCTAGGCACGGTAGTAGAAGCACTTCGAAATAGGAGGCAAGGAGAGTGTAGCCCATCATTTCGAATTTGTCTGTAGATCAATTATCATCCTCGTTCCTGACACAAGGCCTTGAGAATTATTAAATGGCCTGTATGAGAGCATTGCTATGACAGTTGTGCCTTGAATTTTAGCTTGAGTTACTACCCTGGTAGCTCCAGCACCTCTAGCACGAGCACCTCCAGGACCAGCAGCTCTAGCAGCTCCAGCACTAGTAGCACAAGCACCTCCAGGGCCAGCAGCTCCAGTACCCCCAGCACCTCCAAGAGCACCTCCAGCACCTCCTGCACGAGCAGCACCACTAGCTCCAGCAGCTCCAGTACCCCTAGCACCTCCAGCACTAACAACACCACCAGCTCCGACAGCTCCAGCACCTCCAGTACGAGCACCTCCAGGATCAGCAGCTCCAGCACCTCCAGTATCTCCAGCTCCAGCGCCTCCAGCACCAGCAGCACCTCCAGCACTTCCAGCACCTCCAGCACCTCCAGCACCAGCACCTCCAGTGCCAATAGCTCCAGCACCTCCAGCGCCTCCAGCACCAGCTGTACCTCCAGGACTAACAGCTCCAGCACCTCCAGCTCCAGCAGCACCTCCAGCACCTCCAGCACCAGCAGCTCCATAAGCTGTAACACCATACCCTCCACCACCAGGACGGCCACGCCGAACGATCCACTCACGAGTCTGTTGCGGCGAGAGCGTCTCGAGTCGACTAGGCAGCTGCGGATCTCCAACTCCAGGACCTCCAGCAGGAGCACCCACGGCTCCACCACCACTAGGACTTGCATCACCCCCTGAGTCAGCACCCCCAGTCTCAGCACCAGTGTCAGCACCCCCAGAACGAGCACCTCCAGAGGCCCCAGCCCCAGTGTCACCACCCGCAGCAGCACCAGAGTCTACAGCAGCAGGCTGCAGAGGCGGCGAAGACAGCCGTGGCGGAAAACCCGGGGGGGTCTCCAAGCGAGGAGAGCGGAGAGTGGCCGCCGTGTCGTCAGCGGCTGGGTCACCCCCCTCAGCTGGGCCAGAGGAGTCAGAAGAGATCTCCAAAGGCTCAACAAAGGGGGGTGGGTCTACCTGAGACACTGAGGGAGCAGGACCCTGCGGGGGAAGGGGGTCTATCGGAGGGGAAATTGGTACCAGGAAGAGAGGCGCCAAGGGGACCGGGTGGGATGCGTGTGTGTGAAGCCCGTAGAAACATACATACTCTTCAAAGGTGACGTCATGGGAGGACAGGACTCGACGCGAGGCAGGGTGGTAAAACTGCCACGGCGGGGCGTCGGTGGGGAAGCCAAGGAAGGCGCAACAGAGAGTGCGAGGAGAGAGCTTGCTCGCGGTGGTATCGTGAACAAAGGAGAGCGCGCTCCAGACCTAAAACGCCAGCGCATCGCCAACCTCTCCCGTCCAACGGAGTGTGGGCGAGGTCTCTGGCAAAGAGACACGGGGCCAGAGGTTGAGCTGATGTGCGGCGTATCGGACCGCAAACGGCCACAGAAAATGGGGAGCAGCCGCATGGATGATGGAGGTGCGAGCGACCTCCATCACCGAGCCAATGCGGCGCTCTGCAATCCCATTATGTTGTGGAGAGGCCGGAAGCATGAACTCCGCAAAGAGGCCAGAAGAGAACTCACCGCCCCTGTCAGAGTGCAGATGCAGGATTGGAAGGTTCCGCCGAAACCGCTTGCGCAGCTGGTGATGAGCAGCGCGGATCCAGGGGATCAACACACCAGTGACGTCCGCCTAACTGCGCAAAGGGAAGACCGTGGTGTCGCGCGAGTAGTCGTCAACGACCAGCAGGAAGTAGCGCTCCTGGTCCGTCCCACGGACGCGGGCTGGGCCCCACACGTCCATGTGGAGAGTCTGTAGAGGAGCAGTGGTCGGAGGAAACTCGGATGAGTGAGAAGCGGAGCGCTACCGCCCCTCGACGCAAGGAAGGCACAGCGGGGCAAGCGAGCGCGGTAGGGGGGGCAGGGACCTGGGGAGGCTAGAGACAAGGAGACAGGAGTGCATGCTGCGCAGACGCTGCTGAGAGGGGTGACCAAGTCAATGGTGCCAGAGTTGAGTCTGGTGCGTGAGTACTCTGCACGAGCAAGACGCAGCTAACTGGCCCGACGGAGTCACAGGACCTGACGCAACCACCTGACTCGACGCATGTACCGGACCTGACGCAGCTACCTATGCAGACGCAGTGGTCAGTGTGTACAGGCCAGACCCGGGTCTCCGAGTGAACGTGGTGAGGTGGGCGCCAGTGCGTGAGTCTATACAGATCGCCACAAGCTCACCTCCCGGAGTAGTCTCAGTGATAATCTAGTCCTAGAGGACAGCGTTACTCACCAAGTTCGTAGTGAACGAGGGGGGGTGGAGATTTGCAAGCGAGCCGGAAGGGGCCGCCGGACATGGGAAAACGGTGGAGGCACGTGCTACGACTGGGCCCCCGGAGGGGTCAGCCAAAGAGACCGGGACAAGTGCAGTGAGCGGTGTGACTGTGGTGCAATCACGAAAGAAGCAACATGACGCGCCTGAGTCAAGTGTGAAAGTGTGCAAGGCTCAGCTGAGGCAGGACCATTGGTGGTAGACGCACTAGCACCTAGATTTGCAGCAGACTCACTAGCACCTAGAGCGGCAGCAGACTCACTAGCACCTAGAGCAGCAGCCTCTGCACAACCAGGGACGCCTCGCTGAGAAACACAGTCGCGAAGTCGCTGCGGGGAGAAGGTCTCCTGCTGACGCTGCAGCCGTCGCTGTCTAGTCCACATAAATCCATAACCTCCACCACCAGGACGGCTTATCTGAAAAACCCACTCACGAATCTGCTGCGGTGATAGAGTGTCCGGGTGAGGCAGTGGCTGCTGCTGTCCACCCCTAGACGCTGCTACGACCGTGAGAGTGGCCACGACAGGCAGTGGCAGTCAGTAGCAGCGGCGCAAGGGCGTGAGTAGCAACTGCTGTAGCTGCAGTTGTAGCAGTAGCGGTGGTCGCTGAGGCTGCACCAGCAGTAGCGACTGTTGGAGTGGTTGTGGAGGCCAATAGGGTGCGTAGGCAGCAGGGCACAGGCTAGCGCAGTAACAGCAGCAGTGGCGCCAGCAGCTGCAGCAAGGGCGGCTTGGCAGGGCAGCAGTAGCTCAGCAGCAGCAGCACAGGTGGCAGCAGCAGCTTAGCAGCAGCAGCAGCAGCAGCAGCAGCAGCAGCAGCAGCAGCAGCAGCAGCAGCAGCAGCAGCAGCAGCAACACCAGCAGCAGCAGCTGAGCAGTAGCAGCAGCAGGGCGCAGGCAAGGTGCGCGCGTGGTGCGCGTGGCGTGCGCGGGGGCAGGGCGCAGGCAGCTGGCGGGCAGCGCGAGTGGCGCGCTGGGCAGCAGGTGCGCGGGCTGCAGGGCACGGCAGCGCGCGGGCCTAAGGGCAGGGAAGCGCGGCTCGCGGGCTGCAAGACAGGGCGCGCGGGCCTAAGGGCAGGGCGCGCGGGCTGAAGGGCAGGTCAGCGCGATGCGCGGGCTGCAGGGCAGCGGGGCGCGCGCTGGGCAGGGCAGCAGGGCAGCAGAGCGTGACACGCAGACAGCAGTGGGGCACGACGCGCGGGCTGCAGCAGGGCTACAGCATGCCACGACGCGGGGGGCAGCAGGGCGCAACGCGCAGGCTGCAGCAGGGCGCGACGCGCAGGTAGCAGTGGGGCGCGACGCGCGGGCTGCAGCAGGGCGCGACGCGGGGGGCAGCAGGGCGCGACGCGCAGGCTGCAGCAGGGCGTGACGTGCAGGCTGCAGGGCGCGACGTGCAGGCAGCAGTGGGGCGCGACACGCGGGCTGTAGGGCGCGACGCGCAGGCAGCAGTGGGGCGCGACGCACGGGCTGCAGCAGAGCGCGACGCGGGGGGCAGCAGGGCGCGATGCGCAGGCTGCAGCAGGGCACGACGTGCGGGCTGCAGGGCGCGACGCGCGGGCAGCAGTGGGGTGCGACGCGCGGGCTGCAGCAGGGGAGCGCGCTAGGGCAGGCAGCGCGCGTGGCACCAGGAGAGCGCGACAGTGTGCGAGCAGGGCAGGACAGCGCAAGGGCGCTTCGGGCAGGAACGAGCGGAACTATCGGTGGGCCCTAAAACTTAACAGGTTTCCTGCTCTGAAACCATGTCATAATAATATGTGCAGGAATGATGAATGACTAGCAACAGGGAGATACATGTATGAAACCCTAACTAGGGTTGTACTCTATACTGAGCACCTCACTATAGCCTAGCTGAACTAAGAACATATAAATATGTTTTGGCATCACTCTCATCTCCTCGTGTGCCATGCATGCACCCTTCCAGTGTTGCTGTTAGAGTGGCGATGAGGTTCTTTGGTCTAGTCTGGTGGTGTTCTCTACCCTGGATTAGTTGGCAAGAGTAGGACAATGCTTGTGCCACTGTAAAGTGTTAAAAACAGAACCTTGAACACTCGTATTTTTGCCCTGACAGACCAGGATAAATTTCTGCAGAAGCCCTGAAACTGCAGGAAGCCTCTGAAATTTTGCCCTGACAAATCAGGGCATTTCTTCAGATTCTGGAAAGTTGCCCTGAGGCCTCAAGATGCCCCAAAACCTAGCATGGGCCCTGTGCAGCACTGCACATGCGCCCTTGTTTAAAGCCAGGGTGCACATTCAGAAATTGCGGGGGATGGGGAACAAAAACTTTTGGGGGTTGGGGCGAAATCTGGCCGTAATGTGGGCATCAAAGGTTAAGCTTTTGTATACATTTGAAAGAGGGAGGTTCAAAAGTTGTGAAATTTGAAATATTGGTAACCCTATTACAGCTGAACAAGGGAGGGAGATCTCCCCGACACCCAGCACTCGCTGGTGATTCAAAACTTTTGGGTCGACAAAAGTGTATGGAATCCAGCCTATGTGAGATTTACGCCACTACGCTCTACAGGCAGCATAATACGCAGCTAAGCACATCGCGACTCAACAACCAGCGCAAATTACCCCCGTTTCCCCCCTTTCTCCCTCTCGTTTCCCCCCCTTCTCCCTCTCGTTTCCCCCCCTCCCCCTCTCGTTTAGCCCCCTTCCCCCTCTCATTTCCCCCCCTTCTCCTCCTTATTTTCCCCGCTTCTCCCTCTCATTTCCCCCCTTGCTCCCTCTCATGTCCCCCCTTTTCCCTTCTCATTTCCCCCCATTCTCGCTCTCATTTCCCCTCATGCTCCCCATCATTCCCCCCCTTTCCCCCTCTCGTTTCCCTCCCATTCACCTGCTCATCTCCCCCCCTTCTCCTTCCCGTTTCCCCCCCTTCTCCCTCTCGTTCCCCCCCCTCCTCCCTCTCATTTCCCCCCCTTATCCCGCTCATTGCCCTCCTTTCTCCTTCTCATTTCTATCCGTTCTCCCCCTCATTCCCCCCCTGCGCCCCCTCATTCCCCCCCTGCGCCCCCTAATTCCCCCCTTTTTTCTCCCTCTCATTTCCCCCCCTGCTCCCTGTCATGCCCCCCTTTTCTCCCGCTCATTTCCCCCCTTCTCCCGCTCATTTCCCCCCTTCTCCCGCTCATTCCCCCCCTTCTCCCGCTCATTTCCGCCCTTCTCCCACTCATTTCCCCCTTCTCCCGCTCATTTCCCCCCTTCTCCCTCTCATTTCCCCCCCTGCTCCCTGTCATGTCCCCCCTTTCTCTCACTCATTTCCCCCCTTCTCCCGCTCATTTCCGCCCTTCTCCCACTCATTTCCCCCCTTCTCCCGCTCATTTCCCCCCTTCTCCCTCTCATTCCCCCCCCTGCTCCCTGTCATGTCCCCCCTTTCTCTCACTCATTTCCCCCCTTCTCCCGCTCATTTCGTCGCCTATCAAGAGGCCGCGCCTCCCGAAAGTAAGCGAGAGGCCGCATTGAAACTGCCGGTCCGCCATAAGTCTCTCCTCACCCCCCCCCCCCCCCCCCCCCCCCCCCCCCCCCTCCCCCCCCCCCCCGCTCGTCATCGCGAGGGAAGGCACCATCGCACGATCGTCGCTTGTCGCGTGGCCCAGTGCGGCATCCCCCTGCCGCACAGGTTCCACGCAATGCATTACCCTTCCCCTCCCTGCATTACTCTTCCCCTCCCTGCATTACCCTTCTCCTCCCTGCATTACTCTTCCCCTCCCTGCATTACTCTTCCCCTCCCTGCATTACTCTTCCCCTCCCTGCATTACCCTTCCCCTCCCTGCATTACCCTTCCCCTCCCTGCATTACCCTTCCCCTCCTTGCATTACCCTTCCCCTCCCTGCATTACCCTTCCCCTCCCTGCATTACCCTTCCCCTCCCTGCATTACCCTTCCCCTCCCTGCATTACCCTTCCCCTCCCTGCATTACTCTTCCCCTCCCTGCATTACCCTTCCCCTCTTTTTCACGATCCTCCTGCCTTTCTCTCTTTTCAGCTCTCTTCCTACGTTTCCCTCATTTCCCCTCTCTTCCAGCCCTTCCCACTTTTCTGCAATCTTCCTGCCTTTCCCACTTTTTTCCTCTCTTCCCCATCTCCCATTCCTGTCACCAAACCTCTGCATCCCACCTCCTTATCCTCCGTTCCTGCCTCTCCACCTTTCCATCTTGTTTTCCCATCTCTCCTCCCTTGGTTACCGCTTCGAGCAGGACAAGTTCAGGTTCAGCAGAGTTAGGTAGCTTATTGGGAGCAGCATCAGACACAAGTGTTGAACAAATTATGACCAGCTAGAGCAGAGGACAACCCTCCATGTATCTTGAGTTGTGTACAACACACGTCACATATCGCATACAATGCTGTGCTGTGCCCATATGCATCATGCAAGGATGCTGCACGCAAAGAAGGGAATTCGTGTCTAGGTACAGTCATCAACATTTTGAATAAACTGATGTATTAGGGCACATTCCGCTCAGGACATGTCCCTTAAGAAAGTGTCGCAAACACATTTTGGCCGAGTCGCGCTCAAATGTCTTTGAACCTGATGTAACGAAGGATCGATGTGCTGCGACCCTGCAGTAGCACGCGACAATTATACGAGAAGGGCTGTGATTGGCCCTTCGCGTGAGTGGACCACTCATTGTGACGATCAGCCGCACCAACACAGCAAACCCCTCAAAATCATGATCAGGTACATGCAGAGGGGATAGACATTTGGAACCGCGTGCGATGGCACGTCCTTGTCGCGCTGGCGTTCAATTAGCCCGCGAAAGTTCCGTGGTTCACGCCAGCCAATCGAAATAACGTTTTGCGACTTTGCTGCGCGGTCCGGAATTCCGACACATGGAAGCATATGCTGTAAGTACGCGTCACAATCGATTGCGACACTTTCTTAAGGGACATGTCCTGAGCGGAATGTACCCTTATGGCATGCTATGCTTGTCAAGATGTTATAATGCTTACATTGTGTAGGCTGTAGTGGGGTAGCCCATAAGGGGTACAATCCAATTAGGGTTAGCACTTGTACCAACTTTTTGTTCAATGCATTCATTCTCGTTCAGTATTCTGACATGGTTTCAGAGTAGGTCCTGTTCCATGACCGTTTTTTTTTAGGGCCCACCACATAGCGCTGCTCCACTAGTTGCGTCGCCCTACCCTGCCTGTCGCGTCGCCCTGCCCTGCCTGTCGCATCGCTCTGCTGGGTGTCGCATCGCCCTGCCCTGCCTGACGCGTCGCCCTGCTGGCTGCCGCGTCGCCCTGCCCTGTCAATCGCGTCGCCCTGCTGGCCGTCGCGTCGCCCTGCTGCCTGCGCGCCGCATTGCTGGCAGCCGGGCCGCCCTGCCCTGCCTGCGTGTCGCCCTGCCCTACCCGCGCTGAGCCGCCCTGCTGCCCCCACCGCCCTGCTGCGCGCCGCCCTGCTTCTCGCGCCGTCTTGGCGCTGCCCGCCCTGCTGCGCGCAGCCCTGCTGGCCGGCGCCCTGCTGCCCGCGCGCCGCCCTACTGGCAGCTGCATCGCTGCCCGCACCGCCCTGCCCGCGCCGCCCTGCTGCTGCCCGCCCTGCTGTGCGCCGCCCTGCTGGCCGACGCCCTGCTGCCCGCGCGCAGCCCTGTTGCTCGCGCGCCGCCCTGTTGGCAGCCGCACTGCCTTACCTTGCTCGCGCGCCGCCCTGCTGGCCGTCACCCTGCCCTGCCCTGGCCGCGCGCCTCTCTTCCATAGCCATGCGCTGCCTCTCCCTGCCCTGCGCACTTCCCTAGTGCTCACGCGCCGCCCTGCCTACGTGCTGCCCTGCTGGTCGCGCGCCACCCTGCTCTGCCCGCTATGGCTTCTCTCAGTGTTCTCACCTTCGATCATGAGGGCTGTCCGATCCAGTTCGATACGTGGCTCGACGACTTACAGCTGTACATACTGAGCGATTCTAGAGAGAGCGCTTCGTTGTTTGACCACACGTCTGGAGACTCTCTCGCCCCTCCCGCCATAGCTGACAATGCGACTCGCTCACAATGGCTTACCCGTGACGCTGCTGCTCGCTTAGCCGTTCGCAACCACCTGCCATTAGCCGAATGCGCTCACTTTGGACAGCACAAGACTGCTAAGGCCCTGTACGACGCTGTAGTCGCTCGTTACTCTTCCCCTTCCACTGCTGCTCTCGGCCGCCTTATACTGCCCTACCTGTTTCCCGAGTTGTCAGCCTTTGCCACAGCCGAGGACCTTGTTACCCACCTTCGCACTAGCGACACTCGCTACCGCGCTGCCCTCCCAGCCGAGTTTCTAGACAGGAACCCGCCCCCGATGTACATCACTCTCTACTTCACAGTCACCCGCCTCTCTGACTCTCTTCGCGTAGTCAGGGACCACTTTCTCACACTTGACCCCAGCGACCTCACTGTCGACCTGCTCGAGAAGCACCTCCTTGTAGCTGAGACTAGCGTAGTCGCTGTAGGTGCTGCTCGTGGCACTCCTCGCACACCCTTCTTTGAGGGGTGTTCCCCCTCCCCCCTTGCCCCCTCCTACGCTTCTGCTGCTGCTGCTGCTGCTGACATTCTTGGTACTGAGGACGTTGGGGCTGCTTCTGCTCTTAGTGGGAAGCGCCGCAGCGGCAAGGGCAAGGGTGGCAAGAGTGGTGGCGGTGGCAGCGGGGGTGGTGGTGGTGGAGACAGTGGAGGCGGTGGAGGTGGCGGAGGTGGCGGTGGGAGTGGTGGCGGGAGTGGGGGCTTCGGTGGCGACAGTGGTGGCAGCGGTGGGAGTGGTGGTGGCGGCAGTGGGAGTGGTGGCGGCGGCAGTGGTGGCGGTCGGGGTGGAGCTGCTCAGAGGGGAGGTTCTGGCGGTGGCCAGAGGCAGCAGCAGCAGCGTCGGAGCGAGACCCCTACGCCCCAGCAGTTTCGTGAGTGGTTTGCTCAGCGTGGGGCGTCTGGGGGTAGTGTTCACTGCTTGTATGTCATTCGCACAGGTGACCGCGCCGGTAAGACATGCGAGAAGTTTCACACACAGCACCGCTGCTTCTCCCGCCTTGAAGACGCTTGGTGCGTAGAGTTTGGCAACGAGGCTGAGCGCCCCCGCTGGCTAGAGCTGCTTATGTCTGGTGTTCATATCTTTGCTCTTGACTATGATGCTATCCTTGCTGCCATGTATGCCTTGACTGTTAGTGCTGAGGGTGACTGTTACCTGTGTGTGCCGCCCGACCCAAGTATAGAGGCTGCTGCTCTAGGTGCTAGTGAAGCTTCTCTCCTTGGTTCTGCGCTTGCTGAGGTCTTGCACACCTTCACGCTTGGCTCAGGTGCTTCCTGCTGTTTCTTTCGCGACAGTACCACCCTCACTCCACTCCATGCACCTGTTCCAGTCAGACTGGCTGACGCCTCAAGGGGCCCAGTTCTTGCCCGTTCCTCCACTATTCTCCCGTGTCTGGCGGTTCAGTCCAGCTCACTCTCAGGTCTTCACCTCCCCTCGTTCTCTACGAACTTGGTGAGTACCACTGCCCTCCAGGATGCGATGGTCACTACCACCACTCCTGGGGGTCAGCGTGTGTCGATCTGCATGTGTACACGGACGGGCCGTCACCTGGCCATGTTCACCCGTCGGCCTAGGTCGAGTCTGTACACAATGACTACCGAGCCTTCTCAGGTAGCTACGTCTGCCCAGGTGTCCGCGTCAGGTCCGGTAGCAGCCCCCTGCTCGTGTCGCCTCCTGTTGCACCAGAATCTCCTGTGGCACCACCGCCTTGGTCACCCCTCCCTGCCACGCCTTCGTGGCATGCACTACCGCCTCCTTGTTTCTGGTCTTCCCAGGTCTCTGCCTCCCCTCCCGCCCTCGCCTGCCTTGCCCTGCCTTCCTTGCGTCGAGGGGCGGCAACACGCCGCTCCTCACTCCTCCTCGTTTCCCCCGACGTCTGCTCCCCTGCAGACTCTCCACATGGACGTGTGGGGCCCAACCCGCGTCAGTGGACAGGACCGCGAGCGCTACTTCCTGGTGGTTGTTGACGACTACACGCGTTACACTATGGTCTTCCCCTTGCGTAGCTGCGGTCCGGTACGTTGTGCATCAGCTCAACCTCTAGCCCCGTGTCTCCTTACCGCAGACCTCGCCTACACTGCGTTGGACGGGGAAGGTTGGCAATGCGTCGGTGTTCCGGGTCTGGGGCTCTCGTGCCTTTGTCCGCGATACTTCTGTAGACAAGCTCTCCTCTCGCGCCATTCTCTACGTCTTCCTTGGCTTTCCCCCTGACGCGCCTGGCTGGCAGTTTTACCACCCCACCTCGTGCCGTGTCTTGTCCTCTCGTGACGTCACGTTTGACGAGTCAGTTCCCTTTTACCCTCTCTTCCCCTACCACACTGCCCCTCTCCCCCCCCTTCCCGCCGCTCTTCCTCGCTCCAGGTCCCCCTCCGGTAGACCCCCTCCCCCCTCAGGGTCCTGCTCCCTCATGTGTGTCTTAGGTAGACCCACTCCCCTTGACTGTGCCTGTCGAGGTCGCTATAGACTCAGGTGCTGCTAGAGGTGCTGCGTCTGGGAGTGCTGCGTCTGAGAGTGTTGCGCCTGGGGGTGCTGAGCCTGCGATTGCGGAGCCTGGGGGTGCTGAGCCTGAGGGTGTGGAGCCTGGGGGTGCTGAGTCTGAGGGTGCGGAGTCTGGTGGTGCTGAGCATGCGGGTGCGGAGCCTTGGGGTACTAAGCCTGTGGGTGCGGAGCCTGGGGGTGCTAAGGCTATGGAGGCTCTGCCGCTGGAGGCACTAGAGCTGGAGGTGCTGGAGCTGCTGGTCCCGAAGGTGCTCGTACCAGTGGTACTGGAGCTGCCGGAGCTGGTGGTGTTGGAGGCGCTAGAGCTGGAGACCCTGGCACTAGAGGCGCTGGATGTGGAGGCACTGGAGCTGGTGGTGCTGGAGTTTCTAGTCCTTGAGGTGCTGGAGTTACTGCTGGAGTAGGAGGTACCGGAGGTGCTGGAGCTACTTTTCCTGGAGGTCCTCGTACTAGAGGTACTGGAGCTGCCGGAGCTGGTGGTGTTGGAGGCGCTGGAGCTGGAGACCCTGGAGCTGGAGGCACTGGCGCATGAGGCGCTAGAGCTGGAGGAGCTAGAGCTGGAGGTGGTGGAGCTGGAGACCCTGGAGGTGGAGGCACTGGCCCTAGAGGCGCTGGAGCTGGAGCTGGAGGCACTGGAGCTGGAGACGCTGGAGCTGGAGGAGCTGGCGCTGGAGGCACTGGAAATGGAGACCCTGGACCTGGAGGTGCTGGCGCTAGGGGTGCTGGAGCTGGCAGTCCTGGAGCTGGAGGCACTGTGCAGCGGCGCCCGTTTTCGTTCCGCCGCCGCCGTCGTCTCTGCCGCCACGTGACTCAGTCCTTCGCCAGGTTCTTAGTCTCGCAGCCACAGTTACAGCCAGACTCCCCACTGCCTGCTCCTTCTCCTTACGCTGAGTAGACAGACTCTCTTACAGAGCATCGTGAGCCTGATTCTTGTCCTGCCTCGCCTGTTCGCGTTGTTCGCACTGGTCGTCGTGTTCCTTGTCCGCATCCTCCTCCTGTCCCCGGCACTTACATTATGACACTTCGTCCTTCCTCTGTTCCACTGCGAGTTCCCCTGCCGTCTCCTCCTTCATCCTCTCTTCCTGACGTTCCTGACCCTGAGTCTGACTTAGCTCGTGCTGCCAGTCCTACTGTCCCTCGTCTTCTAGCCACTGTTGTCACTGACCCTTCGTTTGAGTTCGTTGCTGCGTCTGTCCTCGTTGCTGAGCTCGTTGACTTTGCTGCCGCCTGTCGTCTCGACTACGCCACTAGTCTTGTTGCTGAGTCTGAGTCTGACTGTCCACCGCCCGTCGGGGGTGAGTGTGCTCTTGGCACGGACGTCCTTGAGGACAGGCAGGACGACTTTAAGTGTCTTACAGCTACTGTACCTCATCTCGTGGCCATGCTGCTTGCACCTAAGTAAGACCCGGATGCACCAGACATCCCGACCCCGCGCTCTTACGCAGAAGCAATTACGGGTCCCTACTCCTCTCAGTGGCAGACAGCCATGGACGCAGAGATGGCATCCTAGAAGTCCACAGGCACCTACGTCGATGCAGTTCCCCCTTCTGGGGCAAACTTAGTCGATGGCATGTGGATTTTCAGGGTGAAGCGGCCACCGGGTTCTCCGCCTGTCTTCAAGGCCCGTTACGTTGCACGAGGCTTCAGTCAGCGACAGGGATTTGACTTCTTCCATACCTTCTCCCCTACCCCGAACATGACCACTCTTCGGGTTCTGCTACATGTCGCCGCTCAGCGTGTCTACGAGCTTCACTCTCTTGACTTCAGCACAGCTTTCTTACAGGGCAGCCTTCACGAGGAGATCTGGCTGCGCCGCCCACCTGGCTTCACTGGGTCGTTTCCTGCAGGTACCCAGTGGAGCCTCCGGCGGCCAGTCTACGGTCTCCGCCAGGCGCCTCGCGAGTGGCACGACACAATGAGGACGACGCTTGCGGCTCTTGGGTTTGCTCCTTCGAATGCTGACTCGTCGATGTTTCTGCGCATCGACACTTCGCTGCCGCCGTTCTACGTCCTCGTGTACATCGACGACTTGGTCTTTGCCACTGCTGGCACTGAGGCACTAGCCTTTGTGAATTCGGAGCTGCAGAAGAGACACACCTGCACCGACCTGGGTGAGCTGCGCAGCTATCTTGGCTTGCAGATCACCCGGGACAGAGCACGCTGCACCATCACACTGACTCAGTCACACATGGTGCACCAGGTCCTTCAGCGCTTCGGCTTCCGGTACTCCTCGCCACAGTCCACTCCTCTGCCTACCGGTCACTCGCTCTCAGCTCCACCTTCGGACGAGTCCGTAGAGCCGAGTGGCCCGTATCCAGAGCTTGTGGGCTACCTCATGTACCTTATGACCTGCACTCGACCTGACCTTGCCTACCCTCTTAGCATCCTGGCACGCTACGTTGCGCCCGGGAGCAGTCCCCAAAATGGGTTTAGGCTCACCCTTACAAATCAGAGCTCCAGCTGTGGCCAACTCTGAGTCCTAGGGTGAATTTTTTCGAAGTCTGATGGGTGCAGGGTAAAAAAAAAATTACTCTGATCTAGTCAGTGCAAACAGGCACCCAACACTGATTGTTACTGCAAAATCCCGCACACAATGCTTTGAGGTTGTTTTACATTAAGAAAGTCGATACATCTGAAAAATGTCCCACTAATCTACACCTACATTGCCGTAGGCACACTCCCCTCTACATCCTCTTGTGCAAACAAGGTCTTGCTCTCGTTGCTGCCGGTGAAGTCTTTTGTAGACCTGCGCAATTTCTCCCCCCTGAAGATAGCCACCACCTCAAACCAGACCACCTCATACTGCACAAGGGAACAGCGCATGAGGTGCTCCATGCTGGTGTCCGAGAGGCACCCTCTGTCCCACGTTTTGATCAGGTTCTGCTTGCTGAACCCGCGTTCACATTCCACCGTGCTTAACGGCAGAACGGCGACGGCCTGCCACATCTTCATGATGTTGGGGAATGACTGCTGCCAGCCGTCGTCACGCATCATGTTCGAAAGCGCCTGGTGGAAATCCTCCCCGTTGTGCTGGCTGAACAGTGTGGATGTGAACATCCACAGTTCGTTGCTCGCCTTCTTGAAGTCGAAGCCTGGTGTACGGGGTGGGGGTCAAATAGGGCTAAAGTAGCATACACCGGGTGGAATGGGGCGTATTAGACCAACAGAAGACGAAGACAAGCCACGGATGGTACACCAAATTCAAACAACATGCATGATCACAACGGACAGATAGTCAACGCTTCACCACACACCGAGCCTCGCTCTCCAGCGCCTGTTCATGTGCTCGGGTGGATGAGTGAACACGGATGGTTCCAATTTGCAAGTCACGGCCACCCTCACCCTTCACGCCGTAGCTCGTGCGAGCGGTAGGATCGCCGTACTTCATGCAGACACTGCATTTCAGCGAAGGTCTCCCGTTGGTCTGACGATGTAGCCGTAACCATTCGAATTTCCCTGCCCACTCAGTATCGTACCTGTGCTTGTACGCTGCGTACTCAGGTTCAGCGGTTTCGGTTGGTGGTTTGGGATCGGCACGAGCTTCGGTGCGCGTTGGTGATGCATCGTTCTTTGGTGGCAGTGCGCCCTAGAGCCTCTGCTGAGTGTATTTCACCCCGATCCTTGGCCTTTTGCCCGGCGTGCTGTTCACGGTCGACGGGGACGCAGTAGAAGGCCTTGAGCTGCCTTCATCGCCGCCAGGAACAAGAACCAGCGACGGGTGCGGCTCAACAGCACTAGGAGAAGTGGGCCGCTCGACTGCAAACACATAGCCGACGCTTCGCACGGGCGAGGCGTCACGAGGCGGCTGTGCGATGGGAACGGTGAAATTATCAGAAAGCTTGGGAAGAACACCAAGAACTGAGAGCCCGTTTCTTGGGCCCCCAGACGGTTCCGAATCGGGCTCTTGCTCGGCTGGCATGACTGGCTGGTGCTACTCCGTGAGAACTCGGGGAAGTGCGAGAGAGAAGTGAGAGAGACGATTTCCGGTTGGAAAGGAAGGACGGAGGACCCCCTCCGCACCGCGAAAAGCTGTACATGCAGCGAGGGAAACCATGGCAGGTACAGGCTGTTACGTGATGGCGTGGCATCTGCAGCACTGGGCAAGACGAGCCACGCATCGCGCCAGTTTTGCCGTGCTGTGGCAAAAACATCCACAGTTGGCAGGGACTATGAGCTGTATTGGCAGCAAACACAGGTGCGCTGGTACGATTCTTGCCAAAAACACCAATGGGTGCAACTTTGGGGTCAGTGGGGGGGTTTGGCAATTTTTCACCATAGGGCGGGTGCGACAAGATGGGAGAGTGGCACCGCGTCACAGGTGCAGTGTATGTGTAGTGTAGCAGAATCCTCGCTTCGAGGAACTCGGTATCAGGGTAAGTGGGAAAGAACACTGATGAAGTCAGGGGAACGAAACGCGAACTTTGATTCTATGAAGGTAAATTTTTTCAAACAAATTTCCAGTCAGCGTTTAAAGCCTGGGAGTCTGACTGCGTCAGGGTACTTAAAAAAAAAGCGGTCGCCAGTCAGGGCAATCAGGGTAAAATACCCTGACATTTTGGGGCCTGCCCGGGAGAGACCGACCAGAGCACTGGGAGGCCACTAAGAGGGTGTTGCGCTACTTGTGTAGTACTTCAGCCATGGGGCTCGTGCTTGGAGGACGGGGTCAAGTTGTCCTCACTGGACACGCAGACTCGTCTTGGGTTGACGACTTGGCTACGCAGCGGTCGTCACAGGGTTACACTTTCAGCCTTAGCTCCGGCTCTGTTTCTTGGCGGTCTACCCACTCGTCTCTATTCTCAGTTCCAGGGCTGAGATCTACGCAGGGGCCATGGCTGCACAGGAGTTACGCTGGCTCACCTACCTGCTGACCGACTTGGGAGAGCGGCCTCGTTCTTCTCCAGTTCTGTACGTAGACAACAAGGCCATGATTGCCTTGTGTCAGGAGCACAGACTGGAGCACAGAACGAAGCACATGGCTCTGCGTTACTTCCTTGCTCGAGAGCTACAGCAGCGTTGTCAGCTTCGTCTTGCTTACGTGGCCACTCGGGCCAACACTGCTGATATATTCACCAAGGCACTTCCGCCTGGTGATCGTTAGCGTTTCTGTACTGTTTTAGGACTTGTGCCTACTTTGCCTCACTTGCTCACTGCGTGACTTTGCTTGTACTGTGATCTATACATATACCTGCATGATTAGACTTGTTAGGCTGTAATCACTGTACTGCTTGTTCTCATTTATATAACTCTGCATGTGAACTGGCCTTGTGGCCATTTGCTTGTGCTCGGAATGTGTGGTGACTTCGTGATCCACCCTGAGCTTGCTTTGCTTTTTTTTGACTGGTCTTGTGACCACTTGTTCTCCCCCACTTTGTCTATGGGGGTTTGTCAAAATGTTATAATGCTTACATTGTGTAGGCTATAGAGGGCTAGCCCATAAGGGGTATAACCCAATTAGGGTTAGCACTTGTACCAAATTTCTGTTCAATGCATTCATTCTCGTTCAGTATTATGACAATGCTATCAATTCAATTGATTGATACGCTAACAGCACACACAAGCTGGAACTTCCTGCCTATTATTTTGGTTTCACTAAGCTGCAAAAAGCAGCACTCAGAATGAGAAGGCCTGATGTCCTAAGGCTTGAAAAAAATCAATCAATCAAACAAACAAACAAACAAAATTACAGACAAGGGCAAGCTGCAGAAGAAACAGAGGGTAAGCTGTAGGGGAAGGGAGGGGGAGCAAAGGGGGAGCAAGGGTTGCCCGGGGGGGAGTAAGGAAGGGTAAGCCAAGGGGGGAGGAGGGGAAGGACTGTGCAGCATGTGAGGGCGCTGCAGCTCCCTCACGCGCGCCAGCAGCATGAGCACACTCACCTGCCGGCAGGGTGGGGGCAGGGAAGGGTAGGAAGGCAAGGGAAGGGCATGGCAGGGCAGAACAACGTGTGAAGAGAGGAGAGGGAGAGAGGCATGTAGGGAAGATATGCAGCAGTGGTGACAGGGTAGCACGTGAGAGGCTTGAACTCAGTGGGTGGTGGGAGGTGCAAAGCTGATTGTGTGACAACTGGAGAGCTGACAAGCGCATTCGTGAGCAGACGCGGCAGCATAAGAGCAATTTTTGAGTCGACTCAAAAATCGCCTCATCGCAGACGCGGCAGCATAAGAGCAAGGGCGGATTACTCCAGCGCAAACGATTTGTCCCTCTATGCCTGTGTGCGCCACACACAGTTTTGCACTCACCCGGACCCTCCTCGAGGGAAATGGGGGGAAGGAGGGGGGAAATGAGGGAAAGGAGAGGGGGAATGGGGGGAGGGAGAGGGGAAAATGAAGGGAAGGAGGGGTGAAGGAGGGGACGGAGAGAGGGAGAGGAGAGGACGGATAAGGGGAAATGTGGGAAACGAGAGGTGGGAATTTTGTGGAACGAGAGGATGAAATGAGGGGAGAGGGGGAAACGAGGGGACGGAGTAGGGGAAATGCGAGAAACGAGATGGGGAGATGAGGGTAAGGAAAGGGCGAATGAGGGGAAGGAGGGCGAAATGAGGGGAAGGAGAGGGGGAACTGAAGGTAACGAGAGGGGGAAATGAGTAGACACGGAGGTGGAAATGAGGGGAAGGAGAGGGCGAAATGAGGGGAAGGAGAGGGGGAAATGAAGAGGGAGAAAGGGGGGAAGTGAGGGTGAGCAGGGGGGGAAATGAGAGGGAGGGGGGGGGGAAATGAGAGGAAGAAAGGGGGAAAATGAGGGGGAGAAGGGGGGGAAACGAGAGGAAGAGGGGGGGGGGGAAATGAGCAGGAGAAGGGGGGAAATGAGAGGGCGAAGAGGAGAAATGAGAGAGAGAAGGGGGGAATATGTGAGGGAGCAAGGGGGGGAAACGAGAGGGGGGAAAGCGGGGAAATGAGAGGGGGAAGAGAGGGAAATGAGAGGGAGAAGGGGGGAAATGAGAGGAGGGGAAACGAGAGGGGGAAGGGTGGGAAACGAGAGGGATGATGGGGAGAAATGAGAGGGGGAAGGGGAGAATACGAGAGGGGGAAGGGGGAGTTACGAGAGGGGAAAATGAGTAGACGAGAGGGGGAAATGAGTAGACACGGAGGTGGAAATGAGGGGAAGGAGAGGGCGAAATGAGGGGAAGGAGAGGAGGAAATGAAGAGGGAGAAAGGGGGGAAGTGAGGGTGAGCAGGGGGGGAAATGAGAGGGAGCAGGGGGGGAAATGAGAGGGAGGGGGGGGGGAGAAATGAGAGGAAGAAAGGGCGAAAATGAGAGGGAGAAGGGGGGGAAACGAGAGGCGGAAGGGGGGGAAAGGAGAGGCGGAAGGGGGGGGAACGAGAGGGAGAAGGGGGGGAAACGAGAGGGTGGAGGGGGAAAACGAGAGGGAGGATGGGGGGAAACGAGAGGGAGGATGGGGGGAAACGAGATGGAGAAAGGGGGGAAACGAGAGGCGGAAGGGGGGGAAAATGAGAGGCGGAAGGGGGGGAAACGAGAGGGAGAAAGGGGGGAAACGAGATTGAGGAAACGAGAGGCGGAAGGGGGGGAAATGACGAAATGGGTTATGAGCCGAGCAGCGCGTGAGGCGAGTATTGTGCCGATTCGCAGGTGAGGCATGCGGCGGGTGAGGCGAGAAGCGGGTGACGCGCTAAACGGATTTCGCGAGCACCGTGGCGAGGAGCGGGTATCGCGATCAGCGGGTTTCGCCATTAGCGGGTTTCGCCATCAGCGGGTTTTGCCATCAGCGGGTTTCGCGATGCATGATGGCGCTAGGCGAGAAGCCCGCAGGGTGGAACGCGACGGCTCACTGAATAATTTATCGCTAGTTCGACGATTGCATCGCGGCGAGCCAGCATAATGCAACTCGTCGAGGCGCTCGCCGTGTGCCGCAAGGCATCGCTCGACGAATGCTACGCGGCGGCCCATCCGAATGCAAACCACCCCTGCAGCTAAAGGCTTTTGTATAGCCCCGTGTCCCCTTACCACGGGCGATTAGGTCAGGGTGAGTAGTTGCACTGCTAGTTCTATCAAGGCCTTTCCTAGTAATTAGTTGCTTATACTTGTGTTTGTGAGTGTCGCTCAAGGGTTGGGTGACGGGAGAGTTTCTCGTGTTCCCACCCCTCAATCCTCCAAATTTTCGCAACCCCTCTCGCCAAGCTCCTTTCTTTTCGTTTGGGCGAAATCTTGGTGGCTACTGTCCACCACAAAACGGAGATTATGAGGAAGTTCGCTCATTTCCACATTCCATACTGTCAGTCCATACCCTTGTGGGTTAATCAGCAAGGTACCGTATTTGACGGGTCATGTATAGGGGAATGGACGGTGGTATTCATCCTCTTGTTCAGATTTCTTCTGAACCAAACTGCTTCTGTACTGGAATCACAGATAGGTGTTTTAATACAATAATTATCTGCTAAAGAAAAATTTCTATATTGAAAATCCACAAGCTTCACACACCGCCACATTATTTGGGCAAATAAATGTACAAAAATGAGAAACAGAAGGGACAAACCATAATGGTACTCCTAATGGCAGTTTACAACTTATCTCTCGTTTTCAGCTTTAAGAAACGAACTCCTACAAAGCCGGTCCACTGCCCCCAACGCGGTATAGGAAGTCGAGGAACCCAGTAGCGGACAGCAGGCCCTTGCCAGTGACAAGCTCGATCACCAGTAGACCCACGAAGCCTGCCATTGCTGCTCGGCCGTTGAGCAATTCGTTCTGTGGTGAGAACCCGAATCCGCCTGCTGACTCGTCCACCACCATCCTAGTCTGTGGTGGCAAGGAGGGAGCATTGACAGCCAACAGCGTTGGAGGAAAGCGGGAGGATGATAAGGGAAGAAAAGACGCTGACGCTGGATATACTATATTATGCCATCCCAATTGCGCATTTCAGGCATGCATGGTTCATTATAAAAGTTGCAAATGCGGGCAACCGTTCATCTATCACTTCTTGCGAGGGATAACCATTCAGACAGCATTATGTCACAGGACTTCAATCTGGTTAAAACAAACACACCATGTGGGTAGAGCAAAACACACCATGCAACATTTTCCTCACCTCATTCACATTGACGTCAGAGACCGTTTGGCCGACCCTGGAAGCCTCCCCCACCACCACCTCAGCAGCACCGGCGGAGCCGCGGCCCATGTTGATGCAGACCTGGTAGTCCTCGAGCTTCACGGGAAACACTTCCAGCCCGCGGAGAGGCTTGGTGAGGGCTCGCAGCACGGGGTTCTTGGGGTACCACTCCTTGATCTCGCCGGTTTTAAGGTCGAATGTGGTGTCCGTTGAGGGACACACGATGCAGCCGTCCTGAAGAATGAGGAAAGAAAGGGATAGAGAAGGGAGAGAAGGAGTTGGAAGAAGCGAGCCGTTTTAGTGACGAGAAAACGTCCTGGTTTTATCAACATGGACGGGTGGGGGAAGAAGTAAATCGGACACGGAATTGGGTGGGAGGACACCTCGAAGTTTGCTCGCTTGCAATGGGAATCAACGGAACCAGATAGACAGGGTGTAATATACAGCGCGTATTGTTGTTCCGTTGCATACGAAGAGGATGTGTGGTAAAGTAGCGAGTCTGAATATTGCCGTTACCAACCTGGGTGAACCTAGCGTTGAGGAATCCCTCCGAGTACGCTCCCTCTGCAGGCGAAACGTTCTCCACGGCGTAAATCTCGTTCCGGTACCAGAATAGAAGAATCTCCTGGCCGTCCTGCCTGATGAGCCGCCTCTCTCCCTTGGGAAGTGCCTCCATAGGGATTACTGGCACCCAGTTGTCAGTGGATGCTGCTGATGTGACTTCTGTGCCGGCAGCGGAGCACACGATCGCCCTAGACTGAGATTGCACGGATGTTACCTGGAAAGAGGACAGCGAGACGCCATTGCTCACTGACGCTCTGGATGGTGAGAGTCGGGTTGTGGGAGCTCCTGTGAGGAAGGGAGTGGGGTTGAGTGCCTGACGAAGGGCGACGGACGAGGCCATGACTCCAGATAGCGCTTACGATCGTGAAAGCTAGGTAATTCTGGAGAAAGAATGGTATGCTCTAACTCGACCTACACGCAGTTGATGGTTAATGAGAAATCTGCCTTGAAGATAAATTATATTACTGATTGAGAATTTCACTTTTATGCTGATATCACCGGCAGGGGAGGGGCGGGAGGAGAAAGGAACTTGCACCTGAAGCTGGACGGGACAGGGCCTGGGGGGTATGAGCCTTGGGAATATCCAAGTGGCCGAGACACTGCCACGTTCACTTCCCGCCAAATGGTCGCTCTTGGGAGCTTGCGCAGGCAGCAAAGTTCCAGACGGGAGTGTTTTGACCACGTCAGGCAGGATGCTTGGTCGACGTGGCTGTAGCTCATTGCCCCACGTAGTAGAAGCCAAGTTCATCAGAAGTTGGGTGATTGGCTGGCAGTGCCCCGAAACAGGTGCGATATGGAGTCACCCAATGCAAAAGCATCTGAATCTATACCCTCTATATTAGTCCTGACATAGAACAACTCTACAGCGAGTGCCTTGTTATCAAGTGTCTTCATATACTGTACAAGTGATGGCTGTCCTTCTGGTTACCTGGTCCGTCTTTGCTTCTGTCGTCACATCTCGCCTAGGATTAGGCTGAGCTCTCGCGAAATACTTGTGAAATGTCACATGTCTCCCCACCCGAGGTTGAAAACGGTCTGTCGGGTTGCAGTCAGATTCGAGCATGCGTGGTGCGAGAACACAGCATGCGTGGTGCGAGAACGTTCTAAAATCAAATCAACCAACAACACATCATCAGATGTGGTATGAGATCAAGAGCGGTTCATACTCTCAAACAAATTACCTCCTGACACACAGCAGTGTTTCCGCCACGGCTTCCAAAGCCGTGCTCAACATAAGAAAATATTTGAGAACCAAGAACAAACAACTGTTCAGTTATAAGCAGATTCGCTTTTCCGCTATGGCAACTAAAGCCGTACTTGACATCATGCAAGGCGTGCTGGTGTCGTTCGGCACGAGCATGGCGACGGCGACGAGGGAGGAGGAGCGCACGTGGTGGGCGGAAGACGCCACGTGGCGAGCGGAGGACCTGGACTGGCGGGGAGAGGAGAAGGCGGTTTACGAGGCGGAAGACGAACGCAGGATACGAACGCGGAAGTTAGTTCCTCCCTTCAGAGGTTGATTGGTTTGGTCCCTCTGTGTGCATCGTTTCAAGCGACCGTATTCGTCCTCAGTTCATGCATCGGTTCCAAATATATGTGTTCCGGGGATTTGTAAATCCGAGTCGGCTTGAGGGTTCCTAAGCTTTCTAATTCTCTAAGCGTCTCGCTCTCCTATCCCGTCGCTTGCGCCTTATGCAGGTGGCACCAAGAGGATATTGACCAAATGAACCTGGAAAATGCGAGGGTATTATGGCTCAGGTAACACAGGTACTACGCTACTGTGAGCATATATTCCCTCAACAAACATTCTACATCCTCAGGCTCGTTCTGGAAGTACCTTGCTCCCTTTTCCCATTAAATGCGAGCCAAGCTGTGAGATTTGTCAAGAACTGACTCGGATTTACAGTTCCCGAGGGACGAGGGACTGGAGTAACTGCTAACTCGCTTCTCCCGATTCCTTGTCCTGCCATCAGGTTCGTGGAGAAGAATCGGCGTGACGTGGAGGAGAAGACAGAGCAGCTGAAGGCCATATCCAGCATCTCGGCGCTCTTTGGTCTCTGTGCTACTGTCACGCTTACCCAGCTCAGCCTGGATAAGGATGGAGAGCCCACCGCACCTACTGTAAGTAGATTTGATTACTTATCCTCGACGCTACGTAGGCAAAAGTCCATGCACTTCAAATTCAAATCAACATTTTCTTTACGCAGAGTTCTTATTTGTCGTGTGTGTATTTTCTCCATGCAGGGCTTGATTGCTTTATATGCCCTCACAACAGCACTCGTGGTACGTGATCTCGTGCCAATCCAATCATCTGGTGTCGGTCCCATGCACCTATCACTCATTCTACCACTCAAAACTGCAGGACTTCCCGTCACCATCGTCTCCCCCCTGCCTGAGTTTTTTTTTTTGTCATTATCACCTTTTTGTATTCTACCCATATATATAATGCATTTCATGTACCCAGTTCTCTTCCGCACTCAGCCACCCGTTTTATCTCCCACTCTTCATGCGCCCTCCCTGGCGCCAACCACCCTGCCCCTGTCTCACACCCTCCCTTTCCCCCTCCTCCTCAGGAGGGCCTTATGATTGTCTCCATGGTGACCTGTGCGCTGCTTCTAGGAAGCATCCTGAAGGTTGGCAAGACCTTTGTGAGCGAGCGGGAGGAGCAGGAGTTCATGGCGGCGTGCCTTCGCTTCTGCGCGCTCTACCAGAGAGGCGACCGCCCTCCCCACCCCCGCAAGTCCTTTGAGACCTTCTGGGCGTCCAGGTAAGAGTCCCTTTAGAGACATCTCTCAGGAGGAGCAGGAGTTCATGGCGGCGTGCCTTCGATTCTGCGCGCTCTACCAGAGGGGTGACCGTCCACCTCATCCCCGCAAGTCTTTTGAAACATTCTGGGCTTCAAGGTGATTCTTAAGGGTAAGGGTGGGTGTTGGGAAATGAGAAGGATGTGTCTGGACAGAGAATGTCTGCGTCTTTGCTTGCAGATACGTGCGTTTGGTCCAGCATTGTGTGACTGAAATATGCCAATTTTTTGCTTGCGATGCATGTTCAGGTGTGAGGGGAGCTGGCAACTCGCCTTCCAATGCTGCTGCTTGGGTAAGTGATCGAATTTGACGTTCTGGTGAAAGTTGCTGCTTCTTGCATTGTCGGTGGCGATATGAGTTGTATCAATTCTGATGTCCTTTTCTGCTCCACCTCGCAGGTGTGACCTCTTTTCTTGTTAGCATGATCTCTGTCGGGTAAGTAATCCGGGATGGCCGTGTCGTGGGTTCTGGTTGAAGTGGATGAGATTATGGCGTGAACCTTTTATGCACTCATTATGTGTCTTGTTTTTCTTGCAGGTGGATTGTTTTCATCCCGCATGAGATCACTCAGGTCTCGTTCGGCATTGCTGTCGCATTGGCCGTGTGCTTATGGTAGGCCATTGCATATATTTTTCTCTTGCGACCAATCTTCTTCGTTGTTCATTTCGGTTACATCATTTCATGAGTTGCCATAACGACAATCTGTGGTTTCAGGACCTACGTTCAGTGGGCATGGGGAGCATATTGGAGAAGTAGCCGAAGAGCTAAGGATAATGGTGATTTACAATATTCAAGGTCTATTTCTCGGTCGTCTAGTGCATTATTTTCATCGTCTCGTAGAAGCCTGCCAGCAATTAGTGCTCAACCTCCTGGCGGGTTTGCAGGCTTACCATTTGACTGGCATACTGCTCCCCACCACCTTCCACTATAAAAAAAAATATAGCAATGATCATGATCACTTACTTTTCAAGCTTACCAGTCCATTAATTGCTCTATGAAGGGTCCAAGATAATACGAAACATAGTAAACGTAGGCCAAACTGTGCGAAACTCCATTTTAGCGAGACTCAAGCAAATCAATACGATTTTACGCAAGCTTTTTGCGGATTCTTCTTACCGGATACGAAAAAACTGACTGGCTGTCAGAACCTCTCGCGTGCTTTCAAAAGTTTCCCGCGCCTCGACATTGTCTAAACCTCACCCACTGGGCAAGCCAATGTGGTTCAGGCGAGAAGATGCTGACTGACACGCTGGGAAGACGGAGAACTGACATTCAACAAACAGAATTTGACAATCAGGGAAGAAACTAGTGAAGGGAGGACAATGGGTAACGGCATTGCTGAAGCCCGAGTCACTCGAGACACTGAATGAAACCACTGAACTATCTGTGACAGCAATTAACAACAGCACCCACATCAGAAGATCCTTAGTTTAGTCAATCACGAAAAGGCTAGTTCAGAACAGCCTGATAGAGTCAACTCCCACCAGCCTGATAGTGTCGAAAGGTTTCGAGTAGTTGTACTCGAGCGAGAAGTGTCCGTCGTCAAGTGGCTCATCTTGGAAAAGCTATGTGTCAGAACTTGGGTGAGCTCGCGCGAGAGGAGCTATAGATTCATCGGACAAAGGATAGAACAGCGTATCTCAGCATCGTCTTGCATCTGTTGTTCACCATTTAGAGCTAAGGACTTACCCGTTCTCAAGTTCAGCTATCCAGAAGTCACTGTTTAACACCATGGAGGCTCAATCGGTCCAGGCTGGCGGAAGTACACCGCTACCTAGAAGAGTTATCAGCGAATCAGAAACACAAGTTCGAGTTGTCGCAAAGATTCGTCCGCGCATTCCATCTGACCAGCCACGAGAAGGATTCCAGGAGCGTATGGTGATAGAGCGTGAAGAGGACACTGTGAACCTGAACTTCCCTGATCCCTGGTGAGGAAGCTTCATAAGACGCTTATTCATTTTGTTTTGTTCTTTCGTTTCTGATTTTATCGGTGTTCTCGGTATCGTTTGATGATAGCTCGGCTCAACTGAACTTACTTTACTGGTGCAGGCCTGGAAAGAGCTTCAATCTTGACGCGCTGTACGACGAAACCGACAACAGCCGGACCATTTTCGGCAAAGAGATCGAACGACGCCTCTCGTCACTCAGTGACGGCTACAGCCTGACGGTCCTTGTTTACGGTGCTTCTGGCAGCGGGAAAACCTACCTCATGCAGGTACGACCTGATTCTTCAGCGAAAATTGAAGGATCCGGAAAACCAGCATAGCAACTTCTTGTAGATGTATCTACATTTTGCTAACTTATCCCTGTTTCTCGTGGAGCAGGGAGATGGCGACGTCGTTCCAGGGCTGGTGTCCCTCTGCGCAGCCTGGATCGCAGCCAATCAGCTGGAGCGCGAAGGGTACCAGGTGTCCTTCTCCTATTCGGAGCTGTACGGCAGCAAGGTCTTCGACCTGCTGCAGCCCCAGCAGCTCGAGATCATGGAAGACTCTGATCACGTTTTTCAGATTCCTGGCCTGCATGAGGTAATCACAGATGGACTTACCGTTTTGTGTCGTTGCACACGACGAATCAAGAACACCTGGTTGTCGGTTTCATTTCACATGCAGTTATTTTTGTGTCTCCTCCGAGTGCGAGACGAGCGTTGAATGTTTGGATACCACCAGTTTTCTCATTTCCTTTCGCTTGTCAACGTTGCAGGAGGAATTCGGCTCACTGGATTCGTTCCTCGCGGCGTTTTCAAGAGCCAAGGGAAGGCGACACCTCGCGGCGACGGAGGTCAACGCCGTATCCAGCCGCTCGCACGCCATTCTCCAGTTCAACGTATGGCGGGACGACAACCCTGGCATTGTCGGCCGTCTCAAGCTCGTGGATTTGGCAGGTACGTTAACCGTGATGCTACGAATCCGTCGAGATATCCAACGAGCCTTTTTTTTTTTTTTTTGCGTTTCCAAGTAGTGAGAACGAGTTTGTGCCGTTATTAAGAGCACTCACGTGCTCCTCGCTTGATTAGTGAACGTCTTTCTGATGCGATCGTGGCATTCTACTGTCGTCTCGTTGCAGGTCGCGAGCAGAACAAGGAGACGGGCAACACAGGCCAGAGGATGACAGAGAGTTGCGACATCAACCTCTCGCTCTCGGCGCTCAGTCGCGTTATAGAGCAACTCAACGACCCCGCTGCGAAGCACTTGTCGTACCGAGGCAGCAACCTCACCAAGGTCCTGCAGGACTCTCTTGGAGGCAGCAGCCGAGGAGTCATGATCGCTTGCCTGGTAACTGCTTCAATCCCGTTTCCCTACTTCTCTTGAAACTCACCGTTTATTTACACGTGCATGAGTATCAAGCATTTTGTCCTCGCCATACATTACGTCATTGCCTTCAACCTTTTTAAGGATGACATGATTTCCTTGGTTTCTTGAATGTATGTTTTTTCCTTTTCTGTTCACCCCCCAGGCTCCGAATGACGACAAGCTGGCGATGGCGGTTCTGGAGGTGGCGGCGCAGTCTCGCCTGATCCGCAACAACGTCGCCAAGACCGTGCTGCCCGCTACTCCGAAGCAGACCGTGGCGGACAGGCTCTCCCAGCTCTCCGCTTTCAAGGCCAAGAAGGCCGCCAGCAAAGCAATCGTCCCCAGCAGCGCTGCCGGGTGAGTGCGCGTTCGAGAAGATTGAAGCATGGATGATTCGACAGCATATCAATGCTGACGCTGACGTACCACATGAGAAGCAATTTTCCTTAAAATCACTAACTCTGATGGCTTGCAAGGTGGTTTTGTGTGTTCAGGCGGTCAAGTGCTCAAAAGGGCTACATCCCGTATCCTGCTCGAGTTCCACGGGAGGTAAAAGGGGGATTGCTGGGTTCGTGCACGGGTCGGTGCATTGCTGGGTTGGTGCATTGTATAATAATTACACGGATCCTGGAACTCACGTGCTGTGTGCTCTGTCGTGCTCCCATGTGTGCAGCAACAAGTGGCTGGGGAGCTGCACCGCATCCTCGACCCCACTCGCTTCAAGAGAAGCCCCATCAGAGCGACCTCCGCTGCCAACTCCACGCCCAGCCTCATCCCCCGGCCCCGATCCTCACTGCTCACCCGCCGTCCCGGCGACTTCCTGAGATATGCTGCAGAGGCACTGGAGGAACCTGATTCTGCAGCAGCGGCTGTGGCTGTGGCAGAGGCGGCATCGGCATCCGCGTCAGCGTCAGCATCCGCGTCAGGGTCAGCGGGCGGTGGTGCAGAGAGAGGGGCGAGCGGCGGGGGTGGGAGGAGGATGCGGATAGCGGAGAAGATGACGGCGAGCATGGCGGCCAAGATGGCCTCTGCATCTGAGGCGCGGCAGGCCCTCGCGTTGAAGCGCAGCTTGGCCAAGCACCAGTCGCCCAAGAGGGCCGCCGCCGCCAGGCAGAGGGGGATGGTCAAGCAGTCGGGATCCGTCTCTCACGCGAAGCCTGCAGGGAAAGCGGCGGCGCAGCCTTCTGGGAAGGTTGTTGGGAATGCTGCTGGGAAGGCTGGTGGGGAGGCTACTGAGAGGGCTGCCAGGAATCCTAAGCGCCAGGGATCGTCGGGGACGGCTGCGGCAGCGGATGCTCTTGTTCAGTCTGCTGCAAAACGTGCAGCCGACGAGCTTCAGCGGCAGCGGTCGTGTGATGGCGTCATGGCTGCTGTGTCCGCTGCGGCAGCTGCAGCGAGCGTCGCGGCAGCAGCAGCGACGGCTGCAGGGAGTCCGCTTGCGCCGAATGCGCAGCAGGCGTCCTTCCTCCTCATGGACACCCTGCGCCAGCGTCGGGATGGCGGGGTGCTAGCTGCAGGAGCGGGTGGTACGCCGGACGGGGTAGGCGCAGCAGAAGAGGACGGGGTTAGTGGTGAAAGTGGCGGAATGGAGGAGAGTGAGCAGGGTTCGATGGAGGATGGGGAAGAATTGTCCTTCGCGACTCCAGGAGGGAGGCTGAGTGATGGCGAAGTGGTGGGCGAGAGTGAGGATGAAGTGGAGGGAGAGGACGAAGGCACGAGTGAGTGGGAGGAGGGGGTGGCGCCGAGAAAGCTGTGGGAATGCTACAGGGTCAACGCCGCTGCTGCCTCTGACACGTTTGAAGCATCAACGTGCCATGGCAGCTCGAATGGCAGCACCACTGGCAGCAGCGCGGGGTCGGGAGAGGAGGCGAGCACTGCCGACCAGGACAGTGCTGAGAGCAAGGAGGAGGTGCGGACGGGACAGATGGAGCTGAACGAGGTGGTAACGGAGGAGGAGGAATGTCACGTGGCGGTTGAAGAAGATGACTTGAGTGACCAGGAACGAGGTCAGGGGATGGGGCAGGTGCAGGAGGAGGGAAGCGACGTGGTGGGCATTGAGGGTTCGGGCAGTGGGGATGCGGGCAGTGAGCAAGTGGAGGGCGGCGAGGAGGTTGAGGGCAGCGTGGGGGGTGAGGGTGAGTTGGAGGCTGGGGAGGGACTGGAGGGTGGAGAGCAGGCTGAGATTGAAGAGGAAGTCGACGAAGGGTATATGGCGGAGACGGTAGGGAAAGAAGAGGAAGAAGTTTCAGGCATGGCAGCAGGCGAAGGGGCTACAAGCGATCCCACGTTGGAGGAAGAGGCGGTACATGCGGAAGCTGCTACCCATTCCAGGGCAGCAGAGTCCTCACCTGCAGCCTCGGAGCTGGAACGCATTTCAAGTGTGTGGGCGATGGAAGGAGAGGATGAATTGGGCGAGGGTGCTGGATGCGGGGGTGTCGCATTCTCTCTGGTTCCGGTGGCAGGGGAGAGCATAGCGGAGGAGAGCGAGGAGGAGCAGGGGGGGGGGGCGCTGGAGAAGAACGTGCAGGAGCAGGGAGCGGATGGGATAGACCAGGTGCAGTATGCACAGGAGCAGGGCCATGGCTCATTGCCCCTGCAGCCTTTGACTGTGCTCCGTGAGAAGACACCATCGAGGCAGCCCCTCGGCACGGTATCCACCAACAAATCATCACAGCGGCCTGCCTTCCCTAACGCCATGGTAAGTGTTGTCTATTCAAAGCCATGCACTTCAGGGAGGACGCTCCAGCTCTAATAGCTCTAATGAGGAGTAGTCATGGGTGATATTGAAGCAACGCTCGTCTGTTCTGCTGTCCCAGGTGTCGTGCGAAGCGCTGGATGAGTCACTTGAGGGTGCCATGAAGGGCCTTAGCATCGTGGACCCCTTGACCCCAGCCTGTGCCAAGGACGTCGGGACTCAGTTCGTGGTAAGTCCTTCAATCGCACCTCGTGCAGTTTGGTGATGATGCCTATATTGTTTCTATTTCACTCTGAATTAACTCAATTGTTCTGGGATTCTTTTCATGTTCAGGCTGTCGCAGAAGCGGAGCTCCTTCGGACACTTAACACGGCAACCAGGTAAGTGCTCTGAAAGCGGCTTATAGAAAACTACAAAATGCTGTTCTTTGCTATTTTTGTAAATGTCCACCACCCTATTATGTGCTCTTGACCATTAATGCATTCGCACATGTCTCCTCCCTCCCTTCTTCCCTCACTACCTCCCTCCTTTCCTCCTTCCCTCCCTCACTCACTCACTCACAACCTCGCTCCCTCTCTCTCCTTCTCTCCGACCCTCCCTCTGTCCCTCCCTCTCTCCCTCCTTCGCCACTCTTCATGTCTACTCTCGGAACCTTCTGGCACATGGAACACTTGTGGTATGCAGGGAGGAGCTAATTCAGTTGAAGGTGAGACTGCCACTCGTTTCAGCATTAAAAATAGCTATTTTCTCATGCCATTTTCAGTGTAGCTGTTTCCAAGTGAAAGATACTTTATTCTGAAAGCCATCTTTTCCCCTTTCAGGGTATTGGTCCGCGCAATGCAGAAAAAATCTGTACCTTCCGCGATACTCCAGGCGCAGGAGCAACTCCATTTCAATCAGTGAGTATTGCTTTTGCAAATCCTGCAAGGTTTTATTGTGAGCTGTTCCGTAAGACTGAGATGAAAGCTTGCATCTATTGAACATCCATTATTGACATGCCATCAAGCCCACCTTCAGAAATACTGGCTTGGTTTCACGTGGATTTGCCATCTGTTAACATTATTTTTTTGGATGATGGTCTGAATGTCCCCTCCTCTGTGTGCCCCGCGCCGCAGTTCACGGACCTCACTAAAGCAGGGATAAAAAAGGTAAGGCTTCAAACTCCAGCAATTGAGCCTCAACTTAGAATGCTCTGTTGTGCCCTCTATTACTACTTGCTACTGCCAAAGTAACTAACACCAACGCCCCTTTCATCCGCAGGCATCACGTATTCGTGAAGATAACATCAAGAAGTTCATCCACTTCTGAGTTACTGGTCATGTCCGACAAAGCTCCTCGCTGGACGTATCACATAGTTTCTCAATGTCGTTGCATTGGTCAATGTCGTGATGACCACTTCACATACCGTATATGCCATACCACGTACAGTGAATGATGGACGCCTACTCACTCCCAGTAGGATCTTACAGTGTGGATCCGCTTAGATTTATGGCATTTTATATTCTAAGATCGTTGCAATAGTATATGTGACGCATGAGATATCAGTGGCTGTTGGATAATTTAACATCTGTATTGAAGTACCACTGAAGAGAATGTCTGTGAAACCCAACACAGTTTCGACTGTGCCGTTCTCCGTCCCCTCCAGTTCGCGGTGCAGCTTGTGGAGGCCACACCCAGACCACACCGCACTTGTTCCCGCAACACACGCGAAACAGATTTTGGCGCCCGACAGTCCCTAGATGTACCACTGCACCGTTTCATCTCCATCAGGTGTACGCGCTGACAGTGTCATCTGACCCTCCACCACACCGCCACCGTGCCGTCTCCACGCCTGGTCCACGCTTTTCTTGAACAATCCCCTCGCATTCTTCCCTCCATTATCTGTTCTTCCCCTTCACCTGTGCCTTCCCGGGGGTGAGCGAGCAGGTGAGATGAAGTAGGGGAGATGACAGGCGACATGTTACCGTAATCTGGTTTCGAGATGTGGATCACTGGGTGCAGCTTTTCATGGCCGATGACAAGGCACAGCGACTGCTGGCTGTGTGCTGGGTGCTACAGCGGCACACAGCTTCCGTATGGTGACCGCCTGTATGTCTAAGGAGCATCTTCATTTCTTCGAGTTATGGGCTGAGTGGTTTTGCTTCTTATCTTGGGAACGGGCTGACTTCGCTGTTAAAGCTTGAGCCAGTCTCAGGTCGTATCAAGTCAGTCTCGTGTCCTCCTCCTGCGATCGACTTCCCGCTTCACGGTTTCTGCATCTGGTCACCCTGACCGTCTAGCGATTGCACCTCGAAAACCCTATCCTCCCTCTTCTGATAGGCCCTTTCCACAGACGAGTGGAGGGTATTATCAAATATTACCAGTTTTCTCTTTTTGTGGACACGATCCTGCGTGTGCCAATCAACATGGCAGCTTGGAAGAGATACCTGATCACGTTCCTGCTGCTCGCATTGTTCGTAACAGTCGCACTTGCGTCCGAGGACGAAGAGTCAAGTTCGGTAAGTCATGGCGTTTGTACTTTCCAGTTGCTCATCCCACATACCCATGTTGTGACCAATCAAAATCTCCTTAGGCCGATCAGCTGGGAATGCTAAACAACACAGTTATTTTCACTCACACACACACATGTTGTTTTGGCTGACAATGCGTCCATCCCCGTTGCGCCGCTATTTCTTGTTTCAGGGATCAACGGACTCGACACAAACCCTGAACGCAAACAAGGCGGGAGCCATTTTCGTTTTCTTCGCGTGCAGCTTTCTCGGCGTATGGCTTCCCTACTTCATTCCGGTCCACCAGCTCATTCTCAAGTTTGGAATTCTCTTCTCTACCGGTCTCTTCATCGGCATGTCTCTTCTCTATCTCGCAGTGGAGACATTTGAGGAGATGGAAGAGCTCGCTGGAAAAGGTAAGCCACACTACTCGCTCTCTCGCTCGCTCTCTCGCCACTCACTTGCCTCCACTCGCTCACTTAAGCTACCTGTCATCCGAACTTTTGTGTTTTTCGGAGTACCTCATGGAACGCATTGATTTGCGACAGATTTGTCATCATGCTAACGCTGGGTATCTGTGTGTGCGTTCGCAGATTATCCTTACGGAATGCTGGTCATTGTGATGGGTATCTACCTCACATGGCTCTGTGACCTGATTGTGAAGACCATTTGGCGGAAGAGATCCGGCGGATCCTTCGAAGAGAAGGTGCGTAAAGGAACACAGTAAGCCAAATGCTTTCTAGTATCCCTATGAACAAAACCCTATGAACAGCTCTTAAAGTTGGCGTGAAAGAATGTCTCTGACTTCGTCTCTCCTCTTCTTTCTCAGGAAGAGGATTTGGGTCCAACAGTTGCTGGCGCCATGGGTGCTGGCCAGACCAAGGTGGTCGACGCAGACTCGGAAAATCAGAAGCAAATCGACGTCCAGGCGCTTTCAATTGTTGACGTCGTCGTGGTGCTCTTTGCTCTCTGCTTCCACGCCTTCTTCGAGGGCATGGCAGTAGGGCTCTCTTCTACGGTTCAGAGAGTCTGGACCATGACTGCTCAAATCAGCGTCAACGAGGTAATTGCCGCAAGCCATCTACTTTCACGTCGACTTTCCCCTCTGTCCTAGTATCTGACTGCTCATTCCCCACGTGGTCCTTCGCATGTTTGCAGTTTTTCGAGGGCATGGCGCTTGGAGTGACTCTCCGTGTTCAGGACACGTCCCGCTCGTGGCTCAACCATCTGCTCTTCGCCTTGGGAGCGTCCATCGTCGCTCCCACTGGAATCGCCATTGGCCTCGCGATTGATTCAGCAAGCGGCAAGCAGGGTCGGGACTGGGTGAAGGCCTTTGGAAACGGCATGGCGGCTGGAGTGTTTATATTTATTGCTCTTGGTCATTTGCTGGCCAAGGGCATGAAGCCAGGACCTAATGATAGGTGGTGGATGGTGTTTGTGAAGTGGTTTGTGGCAGGTCTTGGTCTCATGACCAATGCCCTACTCCAACTCTGGCACTAGGGCTAATAAAACAGCTCTAATCTTGTGGTGTTAAGACTAGTTGATCTTTTAGAAAGTGTAATATCAGCTACTTCAGATATAGCAAACACATTTAATTTACAGATGGTGGTACGCTAACGGTAGACTTTCTGCAAAACTTTCATTTATCTATCAGCAATGGTGTCTCCTCAAGGTACAGTGCAAAGAGGACAAAGCCATACATCCAACCTCAACAAGACTCTTGATTGATCCTTCCATGGATGAACCTACGGTAGTAGAAGAACAATGTATGCTGTGCTGTGTGAGAAAAATGCTCTTCACAATCGTGTTGAATTGAGAGAAGACAAGCTACTGTATGCGGGCGCTACTGGAAGGTAGTGCATATCTTGTGTTGTAACGTACATGCAAGTTGGAGCATCTGCTTGTGTGTGAGTGCGGACAAGCCATGGAGGTGAAACAAGGGAGTGCAGGTGAGTGCATGTTAGGTGTTACACAATCTTGCAAACATTCAACTTGACAAAGTAAAACCAAAAGGCGAAAACACCAACACAAGCATTGATCAAGCCACCAACCAAGCAGGTTAATACTTCAACCAAGCAGGAGACCCACAGTGGCATGCCGCTAGCTGCTCCGACTCATCTCATTAGATGATACCTCCACTCGTGTCATCTCATCTCATGCCAAAGCTTCACTCTACACTTGTTGTTTTCGGCACATGTTTGTATCTCATGATCTCATGTCATGTCAGGGTAGGCGCAGACTGATACGGTAACCTGATTAGACAGGGTGGCCCAAAACCAATTGTGGGCCCTGCTCCCCGCATCTGGCCCCTGTTTTCAGCACATGTCTGAATATCTCATGCCAAAGCATCACCCTGCACCTGGAACATCCACCACCACCTCCCCACCACCACCCACTCCATCCCTCCGCTCCTTCCCTTCACTACCCTCCCTATGATCACTTTCGTTCATAATCCCACCGCCACCAAACCCACCGCCGTCTCCTGCAGCCCCACTCGTCCCCTCCAGCACTACGATCTCCTCCCCTCTCCGCCTCCCACTCCCACTCCTCCTTCCACTCACACTCCTCGGCACACCACTGCTATCCACACTCTCCTCCCCGGCTCCACCTGCCGTATAACCATCCGGCATTCTCCCGAGCTCCACAATCTGATCCGCAATCCTGCCTCCCTCGTCATCCGTGAGTCGGGTTGATTCTACTAAATCGTTTTCTGACTGCCTCTTATTGACTGGTGATCTGCCAGATAGCCCTGGGGAGCTGAGACGAGACGACCCGTGGTGGGTATGGGGAGAGTTTCGCTTTGAACCATGCCCTGGGGAGCCTTTCCACGAGCCTACTGGGGAGGCTCGGCGAGACCCTGGTATGGAGGCTGGGGAGGTTCGGCGGGAGTTGGGTTGGGAGTTGCGGTTGCGCATGGCGGGAAGAATGGGGGCTTCTGATTCGTCGACTGCTGCTGCTGGGTCTGTCACGCTCGTTCCTCCCGCCTCCAGTCCCCCTACACCCCCTCCTCCTAGCCCTCCTGCTCTTCCTGATCCTACTCGTGGCACTGATACTGCATTCACTGCTACTCCTGCCACACCCGCTGCTGCTGCCACCGCTGCTGCTGTTCCCGCTTGCACTGCAGCAGCAGCAGGGTCTGAAGGCGTGGAGTTGTACTGAGCATATGGGGCATACGGGACCAAACCATTCATATACGGCACCCCGTTTCCATTCCTCTGCGCGTCGTCATGCGCGTGCCCGTTGGTATTCGCCGTTGGTATCAGAGCATGGTTGGAAGAGGAGGAAGGGTCAGTAACGGGTGGTACGGCGGGGGGAGGTTCGGGCGCGTCGGCTCGGAAGTTGTGGCGGGAGGGGGGGATGGGCGAGCAGAGCACAGAGCGCCAGTTGCTGAGGCAACCGAGGTTGTATGGATTGGCTTTCTTCTCGTACCGAGCTCGGAAGTTCTCGTATGTGGTCTGATGAAGGGGAAGAGGACGGGAGGAAGGAGAAGTGGGGAGAGGGATAGGGGTGAGTGAGGGAGAGTAGAGCACAGAGCGCCAGTTGCGCAGGCAACCGCGGTTGTATGGGTTGGTTTCTTCTTGTAACGCGCTCGAAAGTTCTGATATGTGGTCTGTTCAAGGGAAGAGGATGGGAGGAGAGGGACGTAGGGAAGGAGGGGGGCGTGGGGAGAGGAATAGGGGTGAGTGCGGGAGAGAAGAACACAGGGTGCCAGTTGCCGAGGCAGCTGCAGGTGTATGGGTTGGTTTTCTTCTTGTAGCGCGCTCGAAAGTTCTCATACGTGGTCTGATGAAGTGCAGCGGGGGGGGGGGGGGGGGGAAGAGAGAGGGGGATGTTGTTTCAGGCACTTTTTGAACGTCATATTGCGCTCAAAACTTTTTTTACCTTCTGCTTTCTCCTCATACTGCGCTCGAGTCTTTTTCCACGTTCTCCTTTCTCCTCATATTGCACTCGAAAATTTGTGACCAGGTACAGACCTGGTTGTGCTGTGCAGTTTCCCACTGGCAACACACCTAGTTGCGCGAGATGAGGAAGGAGTGGAATCCAGTCAGTCCCCCAACGAACCACACCATGATGAACGTGTAGACCATCAACACCGCTGCCATGTACCCCTTTCCCAGCGCCTCTAGAAGGGAGATGCTCTGCCCGTTATGAGGCTGGTGAACTTGACGCATGTGCAAGGTGAAGGGCTAGCTAGTCTTCTGAGAATTCTCAAAAGTCGCACCATGCTACTAGCCACATACCTGATTTCGTGAGATTGAAATCACTTTTGAGAATTCTCAAACGCGATTTCATGTGCGAGGTGAAGTGCTAGCAAACCACACACCTGATTTCGTGAGATGAGGAACGAATGGAAGCCCGTGAGGCCCCCAACGAACCACACCACGATGAACGTGTATACCATCAGATCAGCACCGCTGCCATGTACCCCTTCTTTTGAGACGTCTCAAAGCACCGCTGCCATGTACCCCTTCTTTTGAGACGTCTCAAAGCACCGCTGCCATGTACCCCTTCTTTTGAGACGTCTCAAAGCACCGCTGCCATGTACCCCTTCTTTTGAGACGTCTCAAAGCACCGCTGCCATGTACCCCTTCTTTTGAGACGTCTCAAAGCACCGCTGCCATGTACCCCTTCTTTTGAGACGTCTCAAAGCACCGCTGCCATGTACCCCTTCTTTTGAGACGTCTCAAAGCACCGCTGCCATGTACCCCTTCTTTTGAGACGTCTCAAAGCACCGCTGCCATGTACCCCTTCTTTTGAGACGTCTCAAAGCACCGCTGCCATGTACCCCTTCTTTTGAGACGTCTCAAAGCACCGCTGCCATGTACCCCTTCTTTTGAGACGTCTCAAAGCACCGCTGCCATGTACCCCTTCTTTTGAGACGTCTCAAAGCACCGCTGCCATGTACCCCTTCTTTTGAGACGTCTCAAAGCACCGCTGCCATGTACCCCTTCTTTTGAGACGTCTCAAAGCACCGCTGCCATGTACCCCTTCTTTTGAGACGTCTCAAAGCACCGCTGCCATGTACCCCTTCTTTTGAGACGTCTCAAAGCACCGCTGCCATGTACCCCTTCTTTTGAGACGTCTCAAAGCACCGCTGCCATGTACCCCTTCTTTTGAGACGTCTCAAAGCACCGCTGCCATGTACCCCTTCTTTTGAGACGTCTCAAAGCACCGCTGCCATGTACCCCTTCTTTTGAGACGTCTCAAAGCACCGCTGCCATGTACCCCTTCTTTTGAGACGTCTCAAAGCACCGCTGCCATGTACCCCTTCTTTTGAGACGTCTCAAAGCACCGCTGCCATGTACCCCTTCTTTTGAGACGTCTCAAAGCACCGCTGCCATGTACCCCTTCTTTTGAGACGTCTCAAAGCACCGCTGCCATGTACCCCTTCTTTTGAGACGTCTCAAAGCACCGCTGCCATGTACCCCTTCTTTTGAGACGTCTCAAAGCACCGCTGCCATGTACCCCTTCTTTTGAGACGTCTCAAAGCACCGCTGCCATGTACCCCTTCTTTTGAGACGTCTCAAAGCACCGCTACCATGTACCCCTTCTTTTGAGACGTCTCAAAGCACCGCTGCCATGTACCCCTTCTTTTGAGACGTCTCAAAGCACCGCTGCCATGTACCCCTTCTTTTGAGACGTCTCAAAGCACCGCTGCCATGTACCCCTTCTTTTGAGACGTCTCAAAGCACCGCTGCCATGTACCCCTTCTTTTGAGACGTCTCAAAGCACCGCTGCCATGTACCCCTTCTTTTGAGACGTCTCAAAGCACCGCTGCCATGTACCCCTTCTTTTGAGACGTCTCAAAGCACCGCTGCCATGTACCCCTTCTTTTGAGACGTCTCAAAGCACCGCTGCCATGTACCCCTTCTTTTGAGACGTCTCAAAGCACCGCTGCCATGTACCCCTTCTTTTGAGACGTCTCAAAGCACCGCTGCCATGTACCCCTTCTTTTGAGACGTCTCAAAGCACCGCTGCCATGTACCCCTTCTTTTGAGACGTCTCAAAGCACCGCTGCCATGTACCCCTTCTTTTGAGACGTCTCAAAGCACCGCTGCCATGTACCCCTTCTTTTGAGACGTCTCAAAGCACCGCTGCCATGTACCCCTTCTTTTGAGACGTCTCAAAACTACACTTTTATCAAGAGGTTGGTGAACTTGACACATGTGCAAGGTTAACCCCTAGGGAAAAGGAGCAGCACACCTGATTGCGCGAGATGAGGAAGGAGTGGAATCCAGTGAGTCCCCCAACGAACCACACCATGATGAACGTGTAGACCATCAGCACCGCCGCCATGTACCCCTTTCCCAGTGCCTCTAGCAGGGAGATGCTCTGCCCGCTGGCGCCCGAGTAGGAGTTGTCTACGAGGAGTTTGATGTAGAAGGCTGAGAGGGTGAAGACGAAGACGCAGAGCAGCGTGGTGGAGGTGACGAAGAGGAAAAAGAAGGGGTAGTTGCGCTGAAAGGAGGGGAGGGGAGGGTGCGGGAGAAGGGGGAGGGGAGGGTGCGGGAGAAGGGGGAGGGGAGGGAGGGGGATAAGGAGCAGCGAGAGGGGGAAAAGAAATATTGGAAGGGCTGAGAGGGAGAAGACGAAGATGCAGAGGAGAGTGGTGGTGGTGACAAAGAGGAAAAAGAAGGGGTAGTTGCGCTGGGGGGAAGAGGGGGAGGGGGGACAGGGGAGGGAGGGGGAGCAGAAGATGAGGAAAAGGGTAACGGACTAAAGGGGAGGGGGATGGCCGGAGGGGGGCTCCATATACCCCTTCCGGGCTTGGGCAGTGGGGGGAGGGCAGTGGGGGGAGGGCAGTGGTTTGGGAAAACGGAGGTACGTTTTGAGCACAGGAGGGATGAAGCGGATGCAACATGGAAGGAGGGAAAATGTTATGCTGCCTATGTCGCTACTCACCCGTCCAATGCATTGCCCCACCCACGGGCAGTGGTGGTCGAATTTCTCTATGCAGTTGTCGCATATGCTGTAGTGGGAGCATCTGCACTCACCTTAAAGCCCAACAATACACTTGGCTCACCCGTCCAATGCATTGCCCCACCCACGGGCAGTGGTGGTCGAATTTTTCAATGCAGTTGTCGCATATGCTGCAGTGCGAGCATCTGGGCGGCCTGGTTTGTCACCATTCAGGAGCAGGAAGCGGGTTGGAGGAAAAGAAATGGGAGGGTAGGATATAGGTTTTGTGTGGTGGATGAAAGACGGATATGGTATGTGAAGAGATTGTGGCAAGGTTATTCGAATCAGTCGAGGTAACTTAACTTGGATAACGATTGACGCATCGGTGTATAGTTCCTATAACCCCCCCCCTCGATAGGTATAGCAGGCGCCCACAAATGCAGCAGGCGCCCACAAATGCAGCAGGCGCCCACAAATGCAGCAGGCCCTCCAACACGCCACCCTCCGATACACGCACTCCGCAAGTCGTGAGAGATTTTTGACGCGCCTCAATTAAGGCCCTCCAACACAGCCACCCTCCGATACAGGCACTCCCCAGTACAGCAGGCACGTGTCGCAGTATTTGACTTTGACCGTATGCTCATTCACCACCACCTCCTTGGCTCTCAGTGTGAGCCCCTTCAAAGCAGGCACACACAAGATCACAGCGCACACAACAGGCATTCCAACACACTCACCCACCCACCAGTACAGCAGGAACCCATCAGTACAGCAGGCACCCACCGGTACAGCAGGAACCCACCGGTACAGCAGGCACCCACCGGTACAGCAGGCACGTGTCGCAGTACTTGACTTTGACTGTATGCCCGTTCACCACCACTTCTTTTGCTCGTGGCAGTTTCTTCGGCGCCCCTCCCGCTGCCTGCTCCCCTGCCTCCTCATCTGGCTGTGGTGGCACGAGGTTGCGAGGTACGATGCCCGGGTCCCTGCTCGCTGTCACGAGTAGGATGAAGAGGTTCTGCGCGAGAGAGGAGGGACGGTGGTGCAGAGGGAGGGAGTTTTTGAGTCGACTCAAAAGCAGGATGAAGAGACTCTGAGGGAGAGAGGAGGGACGGTGGTGCAGAGGGAGGGAGTTTTTGAGTCAACTCAAAAGCAGGATGAAGAGACTCTGAGGGAGAGAGGAGGGACGGTGGTGCAGAGGGAGGGAGTTTTTTAGTCGACTCAAAAGCAGGATGAAGAGACTCTGAGGGAGAGAGGAGGGACGGTGGTGCAGAGGGAGGGAGTTTTTGAGTCGACTCAAAAGCAGGATGAAGGGACTCTGAGGGAGAGAGGAGGGACGGTGGTGCAGAGGGAGGGAGTTTTTGAGTCGACTCAAAAGCAGGATGAAGAGACTCTGAGGGAGAGAGGAGGGACGGTGGTGCAGAGGGAGGGAGTTTTTGAGTCGACTCAAAAGCAGGATGAAGAGACTCTGAGGGAGAGAGGAGGGACGGTGGTGCAGAGGGAGGGAGTTTTTGAGTCGACTCAAAAGCAGGATGAAGAGACTCTGAGGGAGAGAGGAGGGACGGTGGTGCAGAGGGAGGGAGTTTTTGAGTCGACTCAAAAGCAGGATGAAGAGACTCTGAGGGAGAGAGGAGGGACGGTGGTGCAGAGGGAGGGAGTTTTTGAGTCGACTCAAAAGCAGGATGAAGAGACTCTGAGGGAGAGAGGAGGGACGGTGGTGCAGAGGGAGGGAGTTTTTGAGTCGACTCAAAAGCAGGATGAAGAGACTCTGAGGGAGAGAGGAGGGACGGTGGTGCAGAGGGAGGGAGTTTTTGAGTCGACTCAAAAGCAGGATGAAGAGACTCTGAGGGAGAGAGGAGGGACGGTGGTGCAGAGGGAGGGAGTTTTTGAGTCGACTCAAAAGCAGGATGAAGAGACTCTGAGGGAGAGAGGAGGGACGGTGGTGCAGAGGGAGGGAGTTTTTGAGTCGACTCAAAAGCAGGATGAAGAGACTCTGAGGGAGAGAGGAGGGACGGTGGTGCAGAGGGAGGGAGTTTTTGAGTCGACTCAAAAGCAGGATGAAGAGACTCTGAGGGAGAGAGGAGGGACGGTGGTGCAGAGGGAGGGAGGGGAGGAAGGGGAGGAAGGGGAGGAAGGGGAGGGAGGGAAGGGAGGGGTGGGAAATCAGGGAGAGGGAGAGCAAGAGGAGAGTAAGGGGGTAGAAGCGGGAATTGTATTGGGAGAAACTAGTAAGGGAAAGGGGTTCAGAAGGTCCTTCATAGGTTGTTCAATGTTGCAAGGAACCTATGAGCTTAAAAAGCGTACCCAGATGACAAAGCAGATGGCGACGGGGAGCACGGCGATGCCACCAGGAAGCTTCCCAGCATAGGGCGCAGCAACGAAGATACAGAAGAGTGTGGCCGGCACGAGGATGAGGACGAAGGAGAGGACCAGTGAAGGGTGAGAATGTGGGTTGTATTGGGAGAAAGTTGTACGGGAACAAGGACCCAAACCCTAGAGTGCGTACCTTCATAGGTCCACGCAGTAACAACACGTGTAAGGAAGGGCCTATGAGCCTGAGGCACGTACCCAGATGACGAAGCAGATGGAGACGGGGAGCACAGCGATCCCTCCTGGAAGCTTCCCCGCGTAGGGAGCAGCGACGAAGATGCAGAAGAGAGTGCCGGGCACGAGGATGAGGACGAAGGAGATGACCAGCGATCGTACGTCCGGGCCAAAGATGAAACGCCCCCAGCACAAGAAACGCTGGGGAAGCGTACGGGTGGAGAGGGGGCGGGGTGGGGAATGGAATTGGTGAAGGGGGGGGGGGAGAGGGAGGGACGGGGGGGGAAGGGGAGAGGGGAGGGGAATGGTAGGGGCGAGGAGGAGTGGGAGGAGGTTTGGGTAAGTCGGAAGAGGGTGAGGAGAGCGAAGGACATGTGAGGGGAAGGGATGCGCGAGGGGAGGGGGATGGGGGCGGATGGGGAGGAGGGTGGGGTGGGGTGGGGTGGTGGTCATGAGTAGATGGTGGGAGGTGAGTCGGAGAGGGAGCGAGCTGGTCTACAATCTGCGTGGTTGCTTGGGTGCATGGGTGCATGGGTGCATGGATGCATGGATGCATGGCATGGGTGCATATGGGTGCATGGGTGCTTGGGTGCATGGGTGCATGGGTGCATGGGTGCATGGTCGGATGGGTACATGGCTACACGGCTGCATGACCGCATGGCTGCATGGTTGTATGTGCGCATCGCTGCATGGCTGCAGGGTGCATGGCTGCATGGTGCATGGGTACATGGCTGGAAGGGCGACGCATGCTTACATTGCTGCCTTTCCACGCCTGGTAGACCTTCGTCATGCTGACGTCCGACAGAGCCGTTGCTGACGCAGGCCTGACGTCATTCTACCCCGTTCCCTCGGCCTCCAACCGTATCACGCCACGTAGTCCCACAACCTGCTTCTCGGGCTTCAAACCCTAACTCAGGCTTGCAGCGGATTCTGATTCGACTTCACTTCGAAAGTAGGTAGAAATACACGACTCGGTGTCGATGGTATTCCTCGATATTACTATAAGGTCCCGTGCGACGAAGTTGAACAAGATCTGCTTATACTCTCTGGTCTAGCGATGCATTCGTGACTATTAACTTGATTTTTTAGAGCGTGACTTCAACTTTATACAATAATACTGAGGAATGCTGCACCGCACGGCACTGCTATCGAGAAGCCTGAACGGTTAGCGGTGTTTGCGGAACGAGTCGTCGACAAACGCGTACGGAATGTTGCGACAACCAAAGGTTGAAACGTATCCAGAACTAAAACAGTCAGGTTATAGAGACGGAAAAGAGCTCGAATCTTTCGAAGCTAATATTAGGGCGTGCCAAATAGGGTAGTCAAAGCCGAGCCGTGAGAGTGCAGCAGGCATCTACACTCGAGTCGCAGTTCGAGCAAAATGTCACGACTCGTGTTGAAGCTAGACGTAGAAAGTTAGGTTATGACTTGAGACCCAGCAATGCAATGGCTACAGCTCTACGGAATGAATGACAGTTGAGTCGAGGGATGTGACGTGAGGATACTACTATTTAGCTGGTGTTGTGTTCACTGAGTGGGGACTGGGCAGCTTGTGTGGTGTAAGACCACTGGTGGTAAGATGCGTACGCGTTTTTGCGCAGAAGCTGTTTCGTTTGAAGCGCTTGTGGCTTGTGACCAGCCGAACCGAGATGAACTGGACGACTGGGGGCTACGAAGTGGGAGTTCACGAACTACTTCGCATACTCGCAGGTCGTACGGATGGGTGGAGGGGTGTGGGATGAGAATCGCGAGGTTGGAAAATAAGAGGCCATAAGATTGCCCGACATCGCACTGAGTGCACGCTATAATATTCTAAACCCTACAGAACCGCCTGTAACCACCCCTTGACAAGCGGATGGAGTAGGAGGGATCTTATGTGATTGGACAGGTCGTCGAGGGCGTCGCACACATCGTGTGAACAAATCTTTCAACGACATTGACATTTCTAATAGTGATTTTATTGATGGGTATTGTGCAGTAAGGGTGACTTGCCTTATCGAAGACAAATTCCTTGGTCGCTGACACAACTCGAAGCGCCTTGCACCAAAAGCCGGAACGGTCATGCGAACAGTGCGACACGCATTTCCCCCACCTGAATGCTGGTTACAGCAGCTGCAGGTTTCGCTCTGCGGCATCAGCGCGTTTCGGCTCCCAACCCGACCACCCCTTTCCATGATCCATCCAGCTTCTTCACGCGGCCTCGTTTCGCCTCCCCCCAAATACTCATGTCCGCCCCCGGCTCCCCCATCAGCGGACATACTTCCAGCCCTGCGAATTGATTGGCGAAAGCATCAAGGTCAATGACGGATGGGCGATGCCTGAAATGGTTCGCCAGGTCGCACAGCTGTGGATGACAGACAGTCCCGCGCAGCCGCACCTCCTGACCGCGACTTTCGGTTTGGTTTCGAGCATCTAAGGTCGACTCACCGCTATCAACCACGATCAAACGTTGTTGAACCAATGAAACCGTCTCTCACGCCTCGCGTTTGAAGATTTCAAGTCGATCTTTCAGTCTGGTTGGCTGACAAGCTCGAGTAGCAGCAGGAAGCGCAGTCAGTCGGACTTTCGTGCCCTTGAGCCCTAGACTAGTTTTCTTCCGCCTTCTCTCAGCAGCTGCTTCGATCTCGCGCAACTAGTATGCGTGACTCTTAACTGGTTGCTATTTGTCCGCGCATTCTCACTGCTCTCCAATTTTGATACCCCGCAAAAGTGGCTGCTGACTGCTCGCGTTCGCAGGCCCTCTCCTGTGAATCTCTGCTGCAAGCATTCGTCACTCCGAGCCTTGTCTTCACTTTTATCGGTCCCATTGGTGTTATTAGTTCTATCGGTTCTAGCGGGACATTTCCTGCCTCTTACAACCGCTTGCGCGTGGAGGCTCCTAGTGTGTCCTGGAAAGCATTTGACGTTGCTCCCTGACTCGGTAGTTCTATCATTCTGACTTGCCAGCTGAAACAGAATTCGAGCTCTTCGCAGCAGTAGGCGGTTCCCGGGCTTACTAGTAGGACCTAAAACAGGGGTCTAATTATTCCGCATAATCCACCACCGTGCTCTCCGGATTTGTTTATTTCGTGAATCCCGCAGCAGCTCCGTAGTACCCTTGCAGCACAGCAGGCAGCAACCCTAGCAGCCCTCGCAGCCCTCGCATTGCAACTGTCGCAACTGTCGCAACCGTCGCAGCCGTCGCAGCCGTCGCAGCAGGTCGCCATGGCGAAGCCGCAGAAGTCGCTCAAGGGCAACATCTCGGAGATGTCCAAGAGCTTCCTGCGATTCGTCAACATCGTCATCGTCCTCGGCGCAATCTCCACCGTCGTTCTCCAGTTCGTTATAAGGTCCTCGCCTACACTCACCGGCTGGGCCTTCGTCCTTCTCGGCATCCTCGTTTTAATCTCGGGGCTTTTCGGTACGATTTCCTCCGGCCAGGCGGGGTGCTTCAACTGCCACATGTTCTGCCTCGCCGTGAGCTCCGCCGGGTTATGCGCGTCGTTTCTCTGCACCTTCCTCCTGTTCAACAACACCGTTGATGCGATTGATCCAGCGATGTCGACAGAGGCTGTCGGCGAGCAGTACGTGAGAATCGTCGGCGCGCTTTACTTCGTTCTTTTCTCCGCGCAAATGGTCGTTCTGCTGCTCGCGACGATGATCCACGTGTGCGGTTTTATTGACTATAACGAGGATCTCGAAGCGGTGGCGACGGCGAAGCTTGTCGCGAAGATGCAGCGGGAGGAGGAGGCGGACCGCCGCGCGAACGCGGAAGCGGCTAGCGCCGCAGCTTCGTCGAAGCATCAGATGTCGGATAAGCTCAAGGGCAAGTACAAGCAGTGGACGCATGGCGAAGCGGCGCCTGCCATGTCGGATTACGACATGGAGGCTTCGCAGATGAGCGGAAGCAGAGGGTACCACGCCTGAAGAGAAGCAGTTTTACCTTTGAGGCGCCTCAAAGGATGCATGGGGATGCCGTTCCTGCCATGCCGGGTTATGATATGGAGGCTTCGCACCTGAGCGGTAGCAGAGGGAACCACGCCTGAAATGAAGTGCCAGGGTTTGGGGCAATAGGCCTAAAAAAACGGAGATTTACTTGTTGTGCTTTCAAAGCTACAGTGCAAGGAGGTAATTAAAAAAAGGGCTTGCTTTTTAGTGGCATGATGTTGATGCCGTCTGCTCTGCTACGACTCTTTTCCCACATTATCCCTTGGTGGCTGAGTTGCCACCATCGAGCTGTGTGCAATATAATCTCCTAGGCTTTCGTATGCCAGTTAGTCTACCTGCAAAAAACTTGTTACATGACTTACCGTATCTCCCAAACGACTATGCTTTCCAGTCAACATGAGTGATGGCCTTTGTAGTGAGAAGACTTGCATATCATGGCATTGTGTAAAGATCTTAGCTGCCTTTTTTTTTTTGCTGGACCAAGCGCTACACCCATGCTACTTATTACCAAGTATGGAACCCTATTGCCAGGGTGGCACATTTCCATGTATGGTACATGCTTCCAAAGCTGAAGTATAGGGCTGATGATGTGGGCTGACAGACACTCGTCCGCATGCCAGCTAGTATAGCTAAGGATAACTACTCCACATCCCACATGGCTGCAATGAGAATCCTACATGCCCTAACAGCCACTTAGGCCGTCGTGTCATCCGGTCTCCGTGTCATACTAAATTGTAGGATCCAATCGGAAAACCCGAAGCTCAAACCGCGGGTTTTCCGACTCCAGCTTCAGGTTTTCCGATTGGATCCCACAATTTCGGATGACACGAATACCGGATGACACAAAGCCAGGAATGCGCCCTAACATCGCAATGCTTGTGCCTCAGTAGCAAGGTAGTTAAATTGTTGCAACAATCTCTGTATGAAGCCATTGGATGAGGGCCTTTCAGGCAAACAAATGATGCTAGGAAATGCACAAAGCGAAAAAAATGTAGGCCACCTTCTGCTCAGAGGACCAGGGGAACCAGCAACACATGCTACTTCTTGGATGATGTGAAACCCCAACCCCGATCCATCTCTTTCCGTCTGTCAAAGATAGGTCTGCGTTTCCTCGACGAAATCAAGCTCCGAGGCGCCCCAAAACTACCCAGAAGGAGTGAAACCCTAATTCCGGTCCGTCTCTTCATCCATCAATGATTGGCGCCCCCACGAGGAAATTAGAGACCCCCACACGCGCTGCCCCCACGCCGCATCTGCCTGCAGCACTCGAGCTGTTGGCGACGACGGCTTCTTATTGGAGGGTTGACCTGTCTTAGAGGCTTGCCCCGCCTGCTTGGTGCCCTGGTTGCAAGAGAGGGGGGATCAAGGAGGGTCGGAAAGATTTTGAATGGCGAACTTCGTGTGCAAGGGGAGGGTGGGGAGGGGAGAGGGTGTTGTGGGAGATCGGGAAGCTCGTGAGAGGTAATGAGGTTGGTGGGATATTGGAGCTTGTGAGAATGGGGAGGACTGTGGGGTTTAGGGAAGATTGTGGCGGATGGGTAGGACTGAAGAGGGAAAGAGTTCTGCACCCCCCACAGTTGCTTCCTGCACACTGCACGTGCGTGTATAGCTCAGCTCCCGGAATGCGTTGGCTTGCAGACATATGGCTGTTGCCACGCTAAACTCCTCTCCTCAGGGGGCCAACAGTTACAGGTTATTGCTATGCAGTATCGGAGTGGGAGGCTCACTTGCAGCTTTTTTTCGGGGAGCGAAAGTGAGGGGGTTGAATTGGCAGCATGGGTGAGGGGAAAAGCAGGTGAATGCGAGGCAAGGGGCGCGGTTGTGTTGGAGGGTAGGGGAGGGGATGAGGAAACAAGTCCGCACATGGCACCTTTGAAGACCCCAGATATAGTTCAGAGCACGCTTGAGCGACCTTGGCCCTTCCAAAGCTTCCTCACAGTTTCGAGCATTAGGAAATTCGGGTGCAAGACGTTGGAATCAAGAAGATAATCTCGAACCCTGTCTTCCACAGGACGCAGACTGTTGCTCTGTTCGCCACCCACTTTCGCCCGTCCACCATCCCTAAAAGGCACGATCGAAGGCCAACGCCTCACCTCTTTTGCGTCTGGTTCCGGAGGGGAAGCCTCGGCACGCGTCTCCTTCTCCGAAACGACTGCTTCCTCCCTAGCCTCCTTCGCGGCCTTCTCCTCCGCCTGCTTGCCACTTGTCTCCTTCGCCTGTGCGACGGGCGCTACCGCCTCACCCGCCGGCTCAGTGCCTGCAGCCGCCTCTGCTTTCTCCCCGTCCGCCCCCTGCAAGCCGTTGATGACAGTGAATCGGTCGGTCTTAGGCGGCCGTTGGTGACTGACAGTGTCTAGACGGGATGCCATATCTGCGACAGTGGCTTTAACTCTCGATTGGACGCGAGACGTTCGTCTCTCGGTACTCCTCTGACATTAAACATCTACTTCCGCCTCAGTTGTGGAGCTTTCTACGACGAAGCTATGCGAGCCCCAAAAGCAAAGAAAACAGACCCTGGGACCGTACCTTCGCTGATGCATTCCCGCTCGCAAGTTCCGCCTCTTGAAACTCCGGAGCAAGCGCTACCGCGGCTGCTTTCACTCCGCCTGCGTCCGCCGTCCGGGGAAGAGGAGGAAGCTCCTCGTTGTCCCAGGGGAGGTGCAGAAGCTGCTTTCCCTTGGCGTTGGAGACCACGGCTGTCTTATTCGGGCCTGGTTGCCACACGATATCCCCACCTTCCGTCACCATGATGATCTTGAACTCGATCCGTGACCCCGCAGGCAACACCTGACAAAAACGAAGGGGGGATTGACAATTAGGTTGGATACAATCTGTTTAGTCACGTAGATCCTTTCGAGTTATCATTTTCGTAGGTTCAGCTCGAGGTCACTAAGATTGATGAGTACTGACGGGAATTTAAAACTGGGGGTTGAAATGGATGGAAGAACAGAGGTGTGAGAGAGGAAAGCAACTCACAGTTTGAGCCGACCAGACGTGACCAGGCGACCATTCCATCTGAAGCGCTCTGCTCGGATCCCATTGGCCGAGTTCCGGCGCTCCTCCTACGACTCCGAAGGCCTGACCGAATCCGCATTCCCTGACCAGAGTGATCTGCACCTTTACTCCCTTGGCGGAATTCGCTGCACTTTCCGCAGTTGCAGATACAGCAACTGCAACCAGGAGACAATGCGTTGACAATAATATGAATCAGAAGGTATGAGATAAGGATTGAGCGGACGAGGGATGGAAGGGGTAGCAAACTGGTGGTAGAGAACGGTGCCGACTCAGCTTACCTGCTGGTATTCTCTGGTAGCGAATCTGATTTCTTGCCTGCAAGACAGAAACACACCGGAATAAATAGGAACGTTCAGTCAGCTTACAGGGAATGCAGCTACTGCATAAGAGACGGGTACCAGCAGACCGGCGACATACCAGATGCAGCTTGAACCGTTGCAAAGCAGTCTTAGTTTCTGGTTGTAGGGAGAAGGAGGATGCTGGAACGCTTGTTCTCAAGCACACAGTAGCGTTTCGTAGTCTGGCTGTGCCTGAATGGCATCTGGGGAGGGACAAACCTGGAGTCTCCATTTTCGAGATAATGCTCGACAACACCATCTGCACAATGAGGAGAAACCGTTAATGAATGTCTCACAGCCACCCGAAACAACCGACCTGGGCTAAGCGCACAGGTGCATGCAAGTGAGGGTGAAGCTGGGGACTAATTATCACGAAAAGAATTTGGTAAAGGATGTGGGAAAAGGGATGCTGGATGCTTGACAGGGCAGGGAAGGACAATCTGTGAGTACATTCATGCAAGGGCGAGGTGTAGCAGAAGGATCAGCAGCAACAATCTTGGGAGTCCCAGGTTCGCGGAGACAGATTTCGTTCGCAAAAGGTTCTCTGTTGTGGGATCTGCGGTGGTTTACGAACTAACGAAAACTGTAACACGTCGTTTGCTTTGATATTGGAAACTGATCTCGAGAAAAAGGCCGGACACGCTGGCCTGCCAGTACCAGGTGTCGAGTCTATGACCAAGCATGGATACATGCCACGTGTAGCCACAGCCCTTCCTCCATATCGAAGGTGCTATTGTCGGGTGTGCAATTATGCCATGAACAATAAATTTCGATCAATGGTGCCACGACCCAGCCTGCTACCGATTCGCTCGGAAGCCTTCTGACCTGACAAGCTGGAAGGCACAGAAGTATCTGGAAGTTTAGTAATTTGGAATTCAATGTTAGCGACGGACATTTTAGATGGTGTAGAGTAGACACATTATTTGAAAACACCACTAAGTAATTCAGCCTGACACACGTGCTGAACGAGCCTCGATGTTGGTGTTCAAATATCGGCGGGACAAGATACGCGACTCGTACCCTGGGCTGTTTTGGCGTGGTCAACGGCTTTGTTCCCCTCCCAAACAGACGGACGGAGGTCTGGCGCGCTTCGTGCCTTCCATACGGGCGCCAACCTGTAAGGCCCCAACTGGTCCTGGTTTGAACTTGGCTCTCGGGCAGCATGTCGTTGGTTTTGACGGACTCGGTCTTGTAATCACGTTAAAATCGACGCTCCAGAAGCAACGAACAGCATCTCAGGCTCCGAACCAAACGAAATCCGTCTCGATGCAAACATGTGGGCAGTCTTTTCCAGCTTCGTCGGCTCTGCACCAACCAGCCAAGCACCCATCCATCCGTCCAACGCGATCACTCAATTTCCGAACATAGTCAAAAATCATCTTCTCTTTTTGCCTCTTCAGCAAACCTGCTCGTTGATGCGTAGAGACTGACCCGCTCAGCTGTCCGAACTTTGCGGGAATGATTCTTCCCTGTTAGCAGGCAGGACCATTAATCAGGCCCTCTTTTTGTCGTAGTTCCGTTCTTGGACATGTTGATAGCTGCGTAAGTTTCCGTAGATAAAGTGACAAGTCGTCGGATTAGATTGTACAGACGCTTATGTTGCCAATGGAGTGGGGAGAGGTAGACGAGGGTCCCGATTCTATATCCGAAACTCCTGGTCACTCCTCTCCAGGAGCAACCGCGGAGTCCAGTCTAAGGAGGGAAACCGTTGTAGCATCCGAATTTGCTGATGTTAGTAGTCGTTCCGATTTCCCTACCAGCACGATTCAGGGCCTGAATGAATCCCCAGCCAAGAGTTCCATCTATGCAGATGCGGTATCTGAACCCGAGACACTAGACTTGATTCACCCGGAAGATTCGGAAGATGTATCGCTAGGAAGCGAGGAACCTGCGGACGAAGAGAGGGAGGGAAGAGGGAGGAGAGGAGCGAAGAAGGAAGAAATCAAAAAGTTCCAAAGCTTGGAGGAAACAGGGAATCAGGAGCAGTTTTACCAGGCGGAGAGCGAGTCGGAGGTAGCTTGGCTGGATGGGTTTGCCGAATCGGTAGACTCTTCCGGCCTGTTCTCCAACCTCACTGATGACCGCGGGGACGAGTCCCAGGAGGCGACATCGGCGCTGTTCGCACCGACGGCCGTGGAACCCGCGCAGGCGGAGGATGGAGGAACGGAGAGGAGCACGGCGAGCGAGGATAGAAATGCGGTTTCCGAGAACGGAGGAACAAATAGGAGGTTGTTGAATGAGGGTAGCGACACGGCGAACGAGGATAGAAAACCGGGACGTGAAGCTGAACCGGTCGAAGTCGCGCCTCAGGAGAATGTGCAGGAGAAGATAGAGGAGACGATGGAGAAGGTGATGGAGGAGGAGGTGGCGGAGGAGGTGCAGGAGAATTTGCAGGAGAAACCAACAGAAGTCCAAATGGAGGTACTGCCCAGCCACGAGGTGGAGGCTGGAGAGAAGTTGGTGAAGGAGACGCCTATGACTCAAGAGACGCCTGTGAGTCAAGAAATACTGAGGGGTCCCTCAGAGGTGGTAATGCCTTCTCACCAACCTCCTCAAACTAGAGACGACAAGCAGCAGCAGGGTCAGCAGCAACAACAGCCGCAACGGCTGCAGCAGCCGCAGCAGACTCCGCTAGAAAACCTCGAGGGAACTTTGGAGGAGAAATCGCTGGAGCAGGCACGGCAGGTCAAGGCAGCGACTTCAGACGAGTCAACGCATACGACTACTGTGGCTCTTGACGACAAGAAGACGCAGCAGACAGTTCCTGAAGAGCTGGTGAAACTCGCTGATAAACAGCCAGTGGAGGCACAACCGGGACGGCAGGAAGTGAAAGTAGCGGACGCAGCCATGAAAGGATCGCCGCAGAGGAGTACTGCGGGTCTTGAGCTCGGGAACACGCAGCAGCAGGAGCAGAAGCAGGAGCAGGAGAAGCAGCAGCAGCAGGAGAAGCAGCAGCCGCATCAGCAGGAGAAGCAGCAGCAAGGAACTATCCCGGAAAATGCGGCGCAGGTGGCGCTGCAGACTGCCCAGTCGGCAGGTGAAGCGCAGCCGGAGAGGCTGGCGAGATTCACGGCGAGGCAGCAAGCGCAAGCGGCATTCGGTACAGAGCAGCAGTCGGGAGCAGAGAAGAAGCCGCATGCGGTCGCGAACACGGAGGAAAAAGCAAATGTGGCACTTTCCCCGAAGCAGCATTCGGGAGCAGAGAAGCGGCATTCAGTCGCGAACGCGGAGAGCACGGTTGCGGACACGGAGGAGGAAAGCACAACGGAGCTGCTGCTCCCGGATTCTGATTGCTTTGATACTGCTACGAAGCCGCTTGTAACGGTCAGTCACCATGCGGGAATAACGGAGCCGGCATTGTTCTTCGATGCCCCGCAAAAGTCGCCGTGTTCCACGGTAACCAATCAGGGAGATGCCAGCGACTCGCTGTTGACTCTTTACGCTCCCCAGAAGCCGCGTTTGTCGGTCAGCACGCAGCAGCTGAGTGCGGCGAGTTTTGAGACGACTCAATACAAGCCGCTTGTAACGGTCAGCACGCAGCCGCGGAGTGCGGCGGAACATGCGGAACGTACCCAGCTGCAGCTGCTTCCGCGAGCTGCTACCCCGGAACGATTCGGACGCTCCCAGATCGCCCAGCCTTCCCTCATCACCCAAGCCGCTCCGATCAACCAAACTGCCCACATCAGCCAAGCTAGTCACATCAACCAAACTACGCACTCCACCCAAGCCTTCCAAGCTAGCCACGTCATCACGCAAGCTAGCCACGTCATCACCCAAGCTAGCCCCATGATCTCCCAGGCTAGCCCTCAGCGGTTCGGATGGACGCCACGGCCCAAGCCCGCACGCAGCGCGTCCCCGGATCCCTCAGACTTCGCCGATTACCGACGTCCGTCCGAATTTAACGATTTCCGTCGATCCGCGGAGGTGACGTCGTCCGTCAGGGCGTCTGGAGATTTGGCGGCTCCGTCGTGGAGGAACGGCGGTTCTGATACTGACGGATGTTCTTTTATCGGGGG